GCATCCAGTTCAAAACATTGGTGCTCACCTACCATGCTGTGAATGGATCGGGTCCAGCTTACATCCAGGACATGGTCAAACCCTACATCCCGACCCGCACTCTCCGCTCTGCATCTGCAAAACTGCTCGTCCCTCCCTCACTGAGAGCAAAACACTCGACAAGATCACGACTCTTTGCTGTCCTTGCTCCGAAATGGTGGAACGAGCTCTCTGAAGACACAAGGAACGCAGAGAGCCTTCACATCTTCCGCCGCAAACTAAAGACACACCTCTTCAGACTCTACCTCCACTAAAGACTAACAAATTGTAGCACTTAAATTGTACGTATAACGGCACTTATCTATAGCAAATTGTAAATTGGCTTATTTGAGGAAATTGCACTTTCTTGTTTCTTGTTCTTCTGAGTTTGTACCATTATGGTTGAATGCACTTATTGTAAGTCGCTTTGGATAAAAGCGTCAGCTAAATGACATGTAATGTACACTCCAGCCACAGCCAAGGACAAGGGCAGGCTGCAGTGTGTCATCCACTCTGCAGAGAGGGTGATCGGCTGCAATCTGCCGTCCCTGCAGGACAAAAAAGATTGTAACCGACCCCTCTCACCCCGGACAAAACCTGTTTGTGCCTCTTCAATCTGGCAGGAGGCTGAGGTCCATCAGGACTAAGACCTCCCGCCACACAAACAGTTTCTTCCCGTCAGCAGTCGGGCTCATCAACAGAGCCCGGTCCCCCACTGACTGACTCTGACATTCCACTGGTCACTTTCTTTCATTCTGCACACGTCACTTTAACTTGTCACTGTCAGGGATGTGGGTGGAGGAGGCAGGACTCAAGCGCAGACTTCTCAGGAAACAAAAGACTTTAATTGTCAAAAGGCAAAATCAAAAGGCCAAGGGGCAAAAACACACAGGAACCAGGGGAAAACAGCAGGCAGGAAACTATGAACATCCACGACAATAGACAATGACGCGATAAGTGACACAAGAGACACACGGCTTAAATACACAAGGGAGGTGCAGGTGATTGGACACAGGTGGAAACTATTAGACAATCACAGGGGATGACAGAAAGTGAAGTTACCCGGGGACACGAGTGGCAGAAAACTACGAAATACGACAGGAAGTGAACCACACCGTGACAGTCACTTTTCAATCGTCACTTTTGTCACTTCCTGTTTGCTAGTGCACTTTATTTTTTCATTTCATATGTTTTTATTTTAAACTAACCCATAGCCCTATTCTACTACCTATAGCATTAGCATTTTATTATGTTTTAGTCTATTTCAGTCTATTGTAATACCTTCTACTGTCACGCACCAACCGCCAAGTCAAATTCCTTGTATGGAATGACATTTTGGCAATAAATGTTTCCTGATTCTGTATATATATGTATGTGTGTGTATATATTTATATATATGTATGTGTGTGTGTGTGTGTATATATATATATATCCGTGTATACGCACTGCAAACAACCGAGGGTCAAGCCAGTGGTACTAATTACGTTGGTTACGGATCGGAAGACAGAGTCTTATTCATACGTTCCACCAGCCCATCCGTCTGCGGGTGATACACGCTCGTACGAATGGACTTAATGCCCAGTAACCCGTAAAGTTCTCTCAGTGTGCGCGACATGAACGAGGTGCCCTGGTCAGTCAGAATCTCTTTCAGGATTCCCACTCGGGAGATGACCTGAAACAGAGCCTGCGCGACGCTCTTTGCAGAGATATTGCGCAACGGCACTGCCTCCGGATATCGCGTTGCGTAATCCACGAGAACTAACACAAAGCGATATCCGCGTGCACTCCAGTGAAACGGCCCGATGAGGTCCATGCCGATCCGCTCGAACGGAACCTCCACCAACGGCAGAGGACGCAACGGCGCCCTCCGAATTGCCGGAGCGTTCACTAACTGACACTGGGCAGGACGCGCACTGGCGGTGCATGTCCCCCCGGATATACACGTGTGTGTGTGTGTGTATGTATGTATATATATATATATATATATATACATATATATATATACACACTCCACCATACTCGCCAATTCCCTCCGAACCACTTCTTTCTTGTGTTCGGGCAACCTGTAGGGCCGTGACCTCACCATCACGCCCAGGGGCGTCTCGATACTGTGCACTATGAGGTCGGTCCGGCCTGGCAAGGGAGAGAACACATTAGCAAACCGCTCCTGCAACCTGGCAACGTCCACCCTCTGGCTCTCGGAGAGATGAGCCTCTCGAGGGAGCGAGGTATGATTACCTGCTTTGGAAGCTCCGGCCCCAGCTCCTCCCTTTCCGACACCGCAGAGACCAGAGAGACGGACTCCAACCCCCTCAGGCTTTCAGGAGGTTCAGGTGGTATATCTGTGTATCCCCGCCCCTGTCAGACCGCACCACCTCGTAGTCGACGTCCCCCACCTGCCGTGTGACCTCGAAGGGCCCTTGCCACTTGGCTAAGAGTTTAGAGTTTAGAGTTGGAAGAATGAAGTAATACAAGTACCTTTTCTCCCGGTGTGAATCGTCGCAGCCTGGCCCCTCTGTCGTAGCCGTTGTTGTCGCTCCTGGGCCTGCAGCAAATTCTCTCGTGACATCCGGCCCAGTGTGTGGAGTTTTGCTTGCAGGTCCAGGACGTACTGGATCTCATTCTTGCAGGGGCTCGGACCTTCCTCCCAGCTTTCTTTAATCAGGTCCAGCACCACACGCGCCGTCCTGAACAAAACAAAAGTTCAAAAGGGAGAAAATCCCGTGGAGGCCTGGGAGACCTCCCGCACTGCGAAAATCATTTCCCAGCGGCTTTTCGGCACCAGAAACTGAGTGTTTTCCTTCCCCGTCCGAGTGTCACGACTCACCCTGTACAGTCTGTCCCTAATCAATGAAAAGTGCGAAAATTACTGCGCTGCGTCAGGGTGCACCACGTGACCATCAATTCGTATCACTTCGTCGTAGGCTGAGCGTAGGGTATCGTTACGAGACTGTTTGAGTGGAAAATCTTCCATGGAGCGAAACTCGGGAGCCGGTGGAGTCTCTACGGGCGGCCCCGCAGGCTCCCCCTCCCCGTCTGCAGTGTCGGACGTCACCACTGAGCACAGCACACATCTCGCATAACCCTGTCGGTCGTGAACGCACCAATCTGAACCCAAAAAAACGGGGTGCGTCAGGTGGGAGGTAACCGCGACCTTCACTCTATGCTTTTTCCCCAGATATCTAATTTCCACCGATACCACAGGACCCCCCTGGATTCTTACCGGAACGCAGTACGTCGCTCCCGGGGGAGGGTGCCGAAACAGCGGCAACCCGGATCACCTGTCCCACCTCCATCAGCGGGCACTCTCTCTGGAGGTGACTGAGCCGCCCGCACCTCCAACAGTCCTGCCCCGGCACTTGAGAACCTCTCTGTGGGTTGGGAAGGGTGCCTGGGTTCCCCGGGGCCGGTGGGTCGTGGGCTGGGGAAAAAGGCGCCTGCGGCGGAGCCAGTATGGGTTGCTCCTCCGTCCGCGGCAGCCTCCCTCCCAGCGGCGTAGCTCCTGGTCGGGCCGACGCCGGCGAACTCTCCCGGTCTCCCTGCCCGCTGGAATGCCCTGCCAGGTGGTCCTCCGCCAGGGTGATGGCCGCCTCCAGGGTCGTCGGACGGTGGCACTGGACCCACGCCGCTGTCCGGGCCGGGAGCCCCTCCCCGAACTGCTCCAGCACCACCCACGTCATCACCCCTTGGACCTCTCCAGCGCCGTCCGGGTGCAGCCACCTCGTGGCGGCGTGTTTCAGCCGCTGGCCGAACGCAAACAGGCGGTCCCACGGCCCCAGCCTGTCCGTTACGGCCTTTTTGAGGTTGTCGTAATCGTGCCGCGCCGCCGGTGGCAGCCCCATGGCTGCGGTCTGCGCCTCCCCAGTCAGGAGAGGCAAAAGCCGGACCAGCAACTCCTCCGCCGTCGCCTCGAAGGCCTCCAGGAACGCCTGGACGTCGCCCCCCCCCCCCACCATTCGGTGAAGTGTGAGACCGGCGAACGCAGCGGGCTCCTGCGCTGGTGGCGCGGCCACAGTCCGCGCCGGCAACTGCTCCAGCACCTGGGCCTGTCTCCCCACCTGTGCCTGGAGCGCCGCCAGAAACAGCCGGTTGGCCTCTGGCTGCTCCCGTTGGACGGCCGCCACTTCCCCGATCATGTGGCCGAGCGTCACAATCGGCTGGGCCGGCATCCCCCGCTGGTGCTTGCCATCGGTCAGTTCCATCCCCCAGTCACGTTGGGCGCCACTGTATTGTGTGATCCTCTGGGGGAACGTGGAATGACGAATATACAGCGAATCGGTTTGAGCAACAGTCTGCACACAGCACGCGTCCGGCTCCAGCTCCTTCGCCAGACTCTCTCTCGCTGTCGCCAGATCTCTCCTACTTAAAGGCAGAACACATACACTGATTAATCCCACCTGAGGCAGATTATGCCTCCCCCGGCACCGTTCCCCGAACCACTCCCTTCTCCGTCCCCCCTGCAGCTGAGCCAAACCACGCCCGCCACCACAGTGTGTATATATGTATATGTGTATATATGTATGTATATATGCATGTATATATGTATAAGTATATATGTATGTATATGTGTAAATATATGTATATGTGTATATATATGTATGTATGTATATATAAATATATACAAATGTACATATATTGATTGGATTGAATCATACTACGATGTTTGCTGAAATTTCTACCAAACAAAGACAGCTTTTCCTTGCCAAAGCAAGTTCAACATCAGAGAGCCTCTTTCCTACCTTGAAGATGGTTTCTCTTGTAGAATATTTTTTATTTTTATGAATTCGGTACAAGTTGCTTCATGCTCATGAGCCATTGGTATACGTTTTCAATTTGGAAAATTCAAACTAAGCCCTTGCTTAACTCCACCAGGGGGTGCTGCTTGGTAGTGGTGAATAGTATTTGCAATGAATGTACAAAACTCTCTCTCTCTCTTTCTCTCTCTCTCTCTCTCTCTCTCTCTCTCTCTCTCTCTCTCAGAGACAGACACCAGCAGACCAGTTTGGTAACCGTTGTTCCTCCAGCGACGGGCTACACGCGCGAAGAGGCATCAAGAGGACCGGGCCCGGGCTACCGGCTCACAACAAACCGCTCGTTGGACTTAATAGCTGGATAAGTAGGAGCGACCGGATCCGTCTGCCATGTCGAAGTGGGCTCTCCGCCCCGGGATGTCTCGGTGCTGCGGCAGCATGTAGGGGACCAGACCCTCTCGGAGGAGTTGCCGCTGCGACACGGTCTGGTTCGGTGCACTTAACAAACTATTGCTGTGAGAGTGGAGTCACTTTTTCTGTTTGGTTTCATATGTTGACACTCCTGGACAGCTCACGACAAGTTGTGAATTATGTACCTCACAACCCTGCTATAGATGTGGCCAATATGACATAACTACGTTTTAAAGTGCTCATGAAGAATATTCCTATTATTGTGTCCAGCAGCTACGCGGTGTGTCCGTGTGGGTTATTCACAGGGCTGCTATGCAGACTGACTGGAGCCACGCTCAGACAGCCCCACTGTAACCCAGCTCCAGGCACAGAAAGAGCCCTTCACAGCGAGTCTCCATGCAGAGGGGCCACTGAGTAGCAGATGTTACACAGCTTTGTGTACTAATGTGGATTATTCAGGATGCTGCTATGCAGACTGCGTGGAGCCACAGGAACTCTGCTGGTGAAGCTGGAGTAACACACACGGCTGTGCAGCTTCTGTCAGTGCAGTTCAACAGCTTGTGTTACACTGTTGGCAGCTGAATGTTCATCAGGGAGTTTTTTTTTTTGTTGAAAACTCATACTGGTTTGGGTATGGGTACATTATGAGCTGGAAACTTTCACATAGACTTGGACCAAAGGTCCCCTTTCACTTTTTTACAGTATCGAAGTTAATGCATGCAGCTGGACATTTAGAAAAAATGACAGTAAAACTTCACTTTTGAAAGCTTTGTGTTCGAGACACACAGTTCAGTTTCACTTGCATTTTGTATAGTTGCAATTAGATTTGTTTTTAAAAACTTCACCTCAATAGCTTGTAACATAAACTCATTGTTGGAAAATGAAGAATCCTCATCTGCTGAGTAACACCTGGAGCAGATCCATTGACAAAGACCCAGCACTGATCTCTGTGCCTGGAACTAATAAGAAGTTCAAGAGGAAGTCTCGGGAGCCTAAGAGGCTCTACAGTGGGCCTGAACCTGAGAGCATGACAACCTATGCAGAGAATATGTCTGATATGAACTCAGAAGACGACAACCAGACAGAGGCGTGTAATGTCAACAGGTTGGCTCCTCTACAGAGACAGCTGATGATGTCACATGAGGGGATGGCCAGTACAACAGGGGTTCTATCCAGACTACCAGAGAATAACATGGCTCCAGCTCAAAGTGCTGCCATAGACATGAGAATTGGCATTAACGTGCCTGCCATCACTCCCAAACTCTCCCAGTTACCCACTTCTTCGTTCTCCAACTCTGAGATCTCCCACTGGCCCACTGCTATCTCCCAGCCTCTGTCCAATAGAATCAAACTGGGCCTCCGCTCCACCTTCCCACCGTCGACATCCTCCAGCATCAGCCACAGCCATTCACCCAACCACCAGGCCTTCTCCCTGGAGCATCAGACTTCAGCTCTGCCGGTCCCGAGAGTCTCCCAGCCCCCCGTGTGCCACGAGTATATGGATCTCCAGGACCAGTCACCCAAGGTGAATGTGAGTATTTGTCGGATGTGTTGTGATTATTTGGGATGGGCAATGCTCAGCAATTATTAATAACTACTTTTCAAGGGGATATTTGTTTGGTGCTCGATGACGTTTTTGAGTTTGACTTCCTGTGGTACGGATTTCCCCATCCTCAATATTTAAGTGCCGTTCTGTAATAGAAAGACTGCACATGGCAACGTATGTTGGCTATCAGTACAGGCCTATGAGTAAATGATGCTTTCATGTACTGATTGTCTCATTGTGGTGACTTATGACACATGTAGCACAGCATTGTTGAACAGTCCTTACACTGCTTCAAGCTGTCTTGTTTTCTTGGTTCCTCTATAAACTCCCTTCAAAACATCTAGCTCAACTCTTCTTCGGAGTAAAACCCAGTGGGGTAACACATTTATTACAAAATGTATAAAAATGTATTTAAATCAATCATTTGCTTTAGTGAGGTGCACATGATCCTGAGGTTGATTATGGTGTTAATCAGGGTTTGGCTAGAATGATTAAACGCTGCCTTCTAGGTCTGGTAGGGTTTTCCCATGGGCTCGGGTCAGCCAAACCTACTGCTGCTGTTCACATTAAGGAATATATTCACTATGGAGTATTAAATGTAAGATAACCTTGCTGTCCTGTGGGAAAAACCCTCCGAGTGACTTGTAGGTTACAAGCTCTGTTCCAGAGGACACGTTCAGTAAAATTCTGTTGCTCTGTTGTTTATTCATTGAAAAAGAAAAACAAATGTCCTTCTGCTCTCAGGAGTCTCCAGGGATGCTGGCTGGGGGGAGCGCTGATGGACATGGCCGTCTTCCAGAGGTAAAAGCAATCCAGCAGACCAGGAGGCTTCTAGCCAACGCCCGCGAGAGAACACGAGTCCACACCATCAGTGCTGCGTTTGAGGCCCTGAGGAAGCAGGTCAGCCTTAAGCCGAGTTTATGCTTCTTTTTCAGAGAGACGCAAGGACACGCAGACGCAAGAGCCCCTTGCGTGTCCCTTGCGTGCCTTTTCACACCTCCTTGCGTGCTTGTGTGCGTTGACCCATTTTTCTAGACTAGCGTCAAAAGCGACGCAAGCCTCCTGCAGCCCGCAAGGCTGCGATTGGTCTGCTAACTACGTCCTTTACGGAGTCTCACATTTCTGTTTTCATAGCACAATACCAGCATTACTAAAACGAAGAATGTTTACGAGAGAACGGATCAGATTGAAGAACTTTTGGCGGAAAAAATTCGTAAATATGACCACGTATACAAGCCGTCATTGGACGCGCGGATGGCCTCTGATTCATGGAGGAGGATCGCTGCAAACGTCGGTTTGCCGGTCGAGGGGAACAAAGTTGTGGAGGAAAATACGGGACAAATGTGTCGGCGATGAAAAGCAGCCGTGTCGATGCACGGGGCAATAAAGTCTATGATAAATAAATAAACAAACCAACAACTTCCACACACAAAGACGTGACTCTCTAGGTCGTCTTCAACAAAACACGTTACTCCCCCTGTTGTTCTGGCCGTGAATTGCTCTGCAACACACGCAAGCCTTTTAGAACCATGAATTAAAACAAGTGCATCGACGCAGACGCAGAAGCATGAGCCAGCCTTTATACTCGATACTGATAACACAACTCTCACACACCCACACACACACACATATTCAAGCCTACTGCACATCATCAACATCCAACAGCATCACACACATTGCTTTGGCTTTCAGTAAATATCAATCAGTCCGTAACTGAAGTGAATACAGATTTGCGTAGTTTCTGATTCAAACAGGCCATGATGTTCTTATATCAGACCAACATCAAGATGACCACATGCAAAGCAGCTGTACAAGAGACTGTCTGATCAGATTCAGAAAGTAAGGCTTCGCCAGTTTACTGCTGTAGTCTTGCTCATAAGAGTACAAAACATCATCAATCTTTTGCCTCCATGCCGTAAGACTCCGCTGGCACCTGAAACTGATAGAAACTTCAAGGAGGCCTGCTGTGGCAATGGGTGACCTTGGTTCCTTCATTTGGATAAAAACTGAATTTATTCCTCTAAATTATGTAAACACAAGACTGATCACACTGAGCTACTGAGGTACTCGTGCCCATTTGAGCATGGGGGGAAAGGTGAGTGAGCCGTCTTGCTTCTTCCTCAACTTGGTTGAGAGTTGCACATGAACGGTACAAATAGGAAATCCACCACAAAATTTAGGAAAGTTTAAAAAAATGGTTTTAAAATATCCTGGAAACAGCTATTTAGTTTGGTGGCGTTGGCGGATGTGTGATAAACTCCAGCTATGGAGCTTCTTTATATCTTTATTCAAGGGGCGGGTCTTTCAATTTCAGCGCAAGACTCATTGATTTCACGTGGTATAATTCTATTCCTTATAACTCTTCTCGTACCCAGCTATGTGGACGTCGTGAGGAGAAAGGGGAAGTCCGTGTCAGCAACAAAATCAGAGTGCAAGAATATAGTGTAGAGCAGGAGCAGAGCAAATCCAAGCACAGGCAGGGGCTTTGAGTTAACTCACTAACTTTATTTCATAACCACTTAGAAAAAAGGCATTACAAAATAACACAGGAACAGCAAATATATAGTCTACACAATATAAATATTATACTAAATTCCACTTAAGATATAAGAAACCACGACCAGAATATACATTGCAAACAATAAAATACCAAATACTACCAGTCAAAATGGAAATGAAATGGAGTAGAGTGGGAGTAAACTCCTATTGAACGAGCAGCAAGCAGTTGGAGTTAGATGGTCCGGACAGGAACACGGTTTTCTGTTTGAAAACCACTGTCAGTAGAGGTGAAGGTAATGTCTGGCCAGTCTGCAGTCAAAACAACTTGGCAGCAAAGATCATGGTCAATGTAACCAGCATCAATTATTAGCAAGCACACATAGCAGGCTTTCTTACAAATAATAATAACTTATAAATTTGCTCTAACACTAGGGCTGTCAAAATTGCTCAAAAAGGACGTTTGTGGTCTCCTGGGTAAAAGATGGTTCATCCGCCCCTGCTGCATGCCCTCGGGTGTTTATTATAGCACGTAACCTTTAATAAAAGTCTTCTGATATACGTCATCTGCTTATTGCCTTGCTCATAGTCACACTGCAATAATGTCCACATCCGACATATTTGTGGTGTGCAGAATGATAAAAAATCATCTTTTCTCCATTCTCCAGGTGCCATGTTACTCTTATGGGCAGAAACTATCCAAGTTGGCAATATTACGTATAGCCTGCAACTACATCCTGTCTCTAGCTCAATTGGCTGAGCTGGATTACAGCCCCGACCACAACAGCCTGAACTTCTCTCAGTGTGTGGAGCAGTGCACAAGGACCCTGCAGGCCGAGGGCAGGAGCAAGAAGAGGAAGGTGAGACTGCACGCACACAGACCAATACAACCTGGATTTATAATGATCTTTGATCATATTTCAGTTTGAGGCTCCGGCTCTAAATTGTGGTACACACTTAACACACACACACTTACTTACTCACCACTGCACCGGGAACACTTTCTCACAAATACTGTTTTGACTGATTATTTCTTTTCTAATCATTTTTACTTTGCCATACTTTTATTAGCTGTTAAGCTGCTGTCGGTGGAACTGTAAACAGGTATTACCCCTGTGTAAACGTATAGTGTACCTAATGTAGCATTTCAACCATTATAGTAAACGCTGATTATAAAGGGCCAATATTGTAAAAAGGGATATTTCAAAATATAATAATAAAACAAGTTTTATATATCGTTAGATATTGTGAAAGCATCGATGGAGAAACACAGTGTGTATTCAGAAGTATAGACCACTTTTCAGATTAAAACATTCTGAATGTGTCCTTGTTAATCAGTAAGGAAACATGGGCCGAAGTTGTTGCCTAGCAACGCAGTTCTGATGAAAACTAAGCATTTCAGAGGTACAGAATATTGTGACAGTTTTTTTTTATATATTGAAGGACGTAGATATGTTGAACTAACATTCAAATATTAACCTGGAATTGAGTATGGCATGTCCCCTCTAACTCACATTATTTAATTTTAGGAATTTGTAGTGTCTTTACTGTTCTATCTATGTGTTTTACTTTGTTAACATAGGTAAACAGCCAGCAAAAATCCTATTCAAGAGCCAGGAATGCAACCGTGCTTGCTCTTTTTAATTTCTGCATACAAATTGAATCATCTTGAGAACTGAATCACGGTGCATCTAGATTATACAAAACATTTGAATCAACTGAAATATGAATATCATAACCAGCCAATGTTCACGTTTACATCAAAATCCTAACAAAACTCATTCTTAATCACCAAACACATGAAGGACATAATCACTTACAGCCATTTTAATTGTCAAATTGGCTTAGAAAGGTTCCTAATTTGAGTGAAATGACCCGGAAATAGTGTCTGCGATGGTAAGAACTGTTTGATTTCTCTAATGCTAAAAAAAAAAGCTTCAATGCTTCCCTACTTAACTCCTTTAGCATAGCACTGGGATAATTCCGTCGTTCACAAAACCGAGGACAGCAGATCATGTAAGTAACGGTTAGCATAACTTATTTATATTGCAACCTTGTTAATAAAGTAATACTTTGAACCTGGTTGTTTATATTGACTACATGACTCAGCACTGTAACAACTCATGGACGAAGACATCTAAGATGCGCTTCATTGTATTCCGTCTTCGGAGAAATTGTAGTTTGGCCGGTATAGACTGACGTCATTAACAAGCGTCCCCTGTCGCATTTCTTAAAATCCGCGGCTGTCTTTTCCTAACCCCTCATGAATTCTCCTAACCATCTTTCTTTGACCCCGTGATGTTTTCTAGGTCAAGGAATGGTGGTTAGGAATAGACGTTAGGAGGTAATTTTTCGACAATTTCATTCCAGCCTAGGAATGCCACATGGCTGTGATTACTCCCTCTGCAGTTTACAGCACTGAAACGTCCTACTTTCCTGTTTCACACTTCTTGCTTCATCACAGATGTCATAATAAAATCACCACGCCTATAAGCAATAAAACACATCTCAAACATTTCTTCTTGAGGCAGCTGAAGAAATTCAACCTGCCAAAGACGATGATGGTGCACTTTTACACGGCCATCGAGTCCATCCGGTACTCCTCCGCGTACCATCACCGTCTGGTACGCTGCAGCCACAGCCAAGGACAAGGGCAGGCTGCAGCGTGTCATCCGCTCTGCAGAGAGGGTGATCGGCTGCAATCTGCCGTCCCTGCAGGACTTGTTCGCTTCCAGGTCTCTGAAGCGAGCTAAAAAGATCGTAGCCGACCCCTCTCACCCCGGACAAAAATTGTGTGTGCCCCTTCCATCTGGCAGGAGGTTGAGGTCCATCAGGACTAAGACCTCCCGCCACACAAACAGTTTCATCCCGTCGGCAGTCGGGCTCATCAACAGAGCCCGGTCCCCCACTTTTTAATTTCTAAATATTTTTAACTTTAACTTTCTTTCCTTTATTTGTTAAAGTAACCCATAGCCTTATACTACTAACCCATGACATTATATTTTAATTAATTCCTCGTGCACTGTTGTCTTGTCGTCCATTGTCGTACTGTCTGCTGTTACGCACCGACGCCAAGTCAAATTCCTGGTATGTCTGACATATTATGGCAATAAATGTGTCCTGAACATATTGTGAGCACAACAATGTCAGAAGTGTGAGAAGACGGAAAATATAAAAAGGATGACAGGAACCCTTGAGATCAATAGTGCATCACAAATGTCACAACCCTAACCCTAACATGATGTAGTCCATCATCTGGAAGTTGGGGGAATGTTCTGTGAAGGCCTCGGAGTTTGTTAAAGAGCATTATTGAACAAAGAGCATAATGGAGACCAAGGAGCTCGCCACAGCTCAGAGATAAAGTTGTAGCTAAGTATGAAGCAGGATTAGCTTCTAAAAAAAATATCCCATACTTTTGACAACATGTAGCACCATAAAATCCGTCTTTAAAACAGTGAATATAACACAACCGCGAACCTACCAAGAGAACGCCGTCCACCCAAACAGACAAGCCAGACAAGGAGAAAATAAATCAGAGAAGCAACCCATGGTAACTCTGGAGGAGCTTCAAAGATCCAGGAACAGGACAACTATTAGCCGTGTACTCCACAAATCTGGCCACTGTTTAGTTCCTGTTTGCCTCAAGCAAACATGTGGAAGAATGTGCCCTGGTCAGATGAGACCAAAATGACACTTTGTGGCCCTCAATGCAAAACGCTATGTGTGGCAGAAGCCCAACACTGCCCATCAACCTTGAGACTGGGGTGGAGGTTCATCTTCCAGCAGGACAATGACTCTAAACATACAGCCAGAGATACAATGGAATGGTTTGGATCATGGGTGTCAAAGGATCCGGGGGTCCAGTTCGGCCCGCCAGATGGCTATGGCTATTGTGAGAATTACAGAAAGACAAACATTTTGCTTGAAAAATGATGTCCCTACCCCCCATCAAAATTGGCAGTATGTGGCCCCTTACCTAAAATGAGTTTGACAACCCTGGTTTAGATCAAAGCATGGTTTAAAATGGCCCAGTCAAAGCCCAGACCTAATCTGTGGCAAGATGCTATGTTTTTCAGAAAGAAAAGTTTTTTCTATGACTTTCATACCAAACGTTGCACAAAATACCTGAAGAGTTTATTTTTGCTACACAAATGGATGGATGAATGTGATTCCTTCGTGGTTATGGATACATAAATGGATACATTATAAAGTGAGAAAGCTTGGATTGAAAATGTTCAATAATGAGACAGTCAGTGCTCAGCCTTTACATCATGTTGCTATTTTAGATGTCAACTAGCTGAGGGCTTTTTCACTGCTTGCTGGCTGTTTCGCTACTTGTGCATGCCTACATTGTGTGTGTATGTGTGTTTGTGTGTGTGTGTTCTCAAAGTTCCAGACACCAGATGTTTAGAGTGGAAGGGAAGTGGAGCTGGCGCCATGAAGGGCAGAGGGCAGCGAGAAGGCACGCGAACTGAAACCACACAAACGTGCACACACACACACACACACACGCACACGCACACTTGGCACATTCCCCAGCAGTCTCTCCAACACATTCCCCCACGCTGCCTCTCCAGACCATCTGCTCCAACATACTTTGAAACAAGGAGGGGAAAAAACACAGTCATCATCAGCCTGTCAGACATCAGCAGCTGGTGGAAAGACAGAAAGGGGGGAGGGGTCCATGCATATGTGTGTGTGGGGGGGCTTTGAAGGGGGTTGGGGGGACACTTTTAAAAAAACATTCTTCAGAGACACTAAGTCTGTGCAGTTAGCAGGGAAAAAAACTTTTTTTTTTTGCCCCACCATAAACCGGTGGTTCCTATTTTTCTACAGTTTCTACTACTCACATTGTAGTTTAAGTCAAGAAAGAAGTACATAGATACGTAGGATGACAAACAGTTTCGTTAGCCGTGATAAACAGCTCCAGCTATGTAGTAACCCCTCCTGCTAACAGGCCCAATAAATTCATAGGCGAGAGTTGAGTAAGACCCCATGCAGACGGACTCTAGTTTGCCTCAACCCCGGTTCATTTTTCACACCTATCCACTTTTTAAATCGCTTGCACATGAACCCAGTGAATCCGATTGACTCCGCTGTAGTACATCCCCCACGCCTGTTGATGGCGCTTTAAGGTGCTACAGACAACTGAAGAAGAAGACAGGAGCATGCGTATAAGACATGCGCGCCGTATACAAACGAAAACTCCACAGAAGAAGAAGAAGAAGAAGACGACTGGGTTGGATTGCATCACGTGGGGCAATCCGATTAGGTATGCAGATAGCGTGCAGACGAACACCAACAGCAATCGGATTTCGAGTTTACTCACTTTGGACCCCCGATTCGAGGGAGTGCGGATACAGTGCGTTCGTCTGCACGATAGGGCCATCCGGAGACAGGGTTCACCGGGTTCAGGCAACCTAGAGTCCGTCTGCATGGGGTCTAGATGTTTCGGTGTCATGTTCTTATCTTGCTATAACTTCAAGTTTTAGTGTCTTTCTTCCTATCATTCAAAATATATTTGAAACCATTAGCTTGTTTTCAGACAGTACATAATTTGCACACTAATTTGACAACAAACATTTACTGAGCCCACAGACCTTAACTACAAGAAACATTTGCATTGTGATACTTACTTTTCTTCGTACATCTCGCAATTCTTTTTTATGAAACAGCATAACAGCATGTAAAAATGTAGATCAATCTATATTCAGCGGATTTTGAAGAAACTTTACTTACTCTACTTGGTGCAGCCTGATGCTATAACTGAGTTACATTTCCTTCAGTCTACAGTACAATATACCATACTGGCAAACCAAAACCAAACGACGCAGAGAGCCGTCCTCAGCTCTCCAGAGCCAGAACCCTGACGTGAACCTGATCAAACAAAATGGAATCTTCCGAAATTCAGAGTCACTCTTGCATGGTATTTTCTCTGTGCTCAAGGTCGTTGTCCTGTTGGAAGGTCAACCTTCGGTCCAGTCTGAGCTTACGAGTTCTCTGGACCTCAACCCTTCTTAGTCCCTGAGTCCCTGCTGATGCCGCCCCCACTACGCATCACCTGGTCTCTCCTATGACTAGAATGACCAGTGCCACTGTGCTCTTTGGAACATGTAGTGCTACAGTGTATTTCTTGTTCTCTTCACTCTATCTTCTAAGTCTACGTCAGTTTCCTCCACATCCTGGCTTGTTTTTACTGATGAACATAGTCAGTTATGAGACCGATGCATGTTTCTCCTATTCATGTCCAACCAGTAGAATTCAGCACAGGTAGAATGCTGTTGTCGAGGCTCAGTTTGCTCAGTCTGAAACCGGTCTGAATACTTCTGTCGATGTCATGGATAAACGTATGGATAGAAAAATCTTTTGATTGTTTGTGAATATTGGACTCATGTGTATAGTACTATAGTCGTAGTTTGATACGTTTCCTCTCTCATAAGTTTGTTACAGGGGCGACTGTGGCTCAGTGGAGAGCACAGCTCCTGTAGCTGTCACTACAGGGTGTGAATGCTACTCACTGACTATATGGTAGCTCCTGTCATCAGTGAGATAATAATGGCGTGTTAAAGAGCTTTAAGTGGTATGGGGGCTGGAAACGAGATCAGTCAATCTACAATGTATCCTCATTTGAGTGATGGCTGCAATTCAATTCAATTCATTTTATTATGTATAGCCAAAAATCGCAAATAAAATTTTTGCCTCAGAGGGCTTTTGACAGTCTGAACACATGCGACATCCTCTGTCCCGAAACCCACACATCGGCACAGGAAAAACTCAAAAAATGAAAAAATGAAAGAAACCTTAGGGAGAACGTCGGAGGAGGGATCCCACTCCCGGGATGGACAGACTACAATGGATGTCATGTGTACAGAATGAACAATGTAAAAGATGTATTATACATTTAATTCCTATGACAGAAATGGTTCAAATTATTGTGAGTAGCAAGTCAGGCGCATGACAGGACCACTGCAGGGACTAAGACTTTATGAAAGGGTGATGTTGGTTTATGATGACAGTAATATGGTTAATATTTAAAATAATAATGATGATGGCAGCAGCAGGTGTCAGCAGGGCCACGGCAGGTGTCAGGACCAGGATCCAGAAGAAACTACAATCTACCGAGACCTGCTAAGGGAGAAAGCACAGAAAAACTCACGGAAGGAAGCTGAATTAGTCATGTGCATTAATAAAACGTGGATTATTGTAGAAAGAGAGCGTGAGAGAGGAGCTCGGTGTGTCCTAAGCCTATAGCAGCTTAACTAAGGGCTGGTCCGGGCTAAGCTGAGCCAGGCCTAACTATAAGCAAAATCAAAGAGGACAGTTTTAAGCTTTATCTTAAAAGAGCTGACTGAATCTGCCCCCTGGACTGAAAGTGGAACCTGGTTCCACAAAAGAGGAGCTGGATGACTGAAGGCTCTGGCCCCCAGCCTACTTTTTAAAACCATAGGAACCACAAGTAACCCAGCATCTATGGAGCGCAGCTGCCTTGTAGGGCAATAAGGTGTTACAAGCTCTTTAAGATAAGACGGTGCCTCACCAGCAAGTGCCTTGTAGGTGAGGAGAAGTACCTTAAAATATATTCTTGATTTAACAGGGATTAATATGATCCCTTTTCTTAGTTCTTGTTAATACACGTGCTGCAGCATTCTGAATCAACTGGAGAGGCTTAAGAGATTTGCAAGAGCAGCCTGATAACAAATAATTACAGTAATCCAGTCTAGAAGTAGCAAACGCAACCTAATTTTTCTGCATCACTTTGATACAGGAAGTTCCTGATTTTTGATATATTACGTAGATGAAAAAAGGCAGTCCATAAAGTCTTCTTTATATGAGAGTTGAAGGTCATATCCTGGTCGAAGAGAACTCCAAGATTCTTGACGGTGCTGCTGAATACCAGAGCTATTCCATCCATAAAAACTGTATCACATGACAGCTGACTTCGAAGGCGAGATAACTTCTGTTTTTTCTGAATTCAGCATCAGGAAGTTGCCGGTCATCCAAGTTTAGATGTCTCCAAGACATTCTTGAAATCTAACAAGCTGGTCGATCTCTTCTGGTTTAATCGACAGATACAGTCGAGTATCGTCTGCATAACAGTGTTAACAGACTGCAGTGTATTTCAACCTTTTGAGCATCTTTAACATTAAATGCTTTGATACCTGCACAACCGGAAATTGTGTTGTCTGAGAGGGACTTTAGCTACTTGGTTAACGGGTCAGCCGGAAGCCTCTGGTTCACATGGCTCTGCAGACAGGTACTACTTATTTCTCTGCCTCTGGGTGAGGCTTTTGAGCTTTTTAGAGCTCTTTGTGATTTTCCTCATAAACATTACCCGTTTCCCAGAATGTGTACATGGGGAACCCCAATGGTCAATTTTGGTTTTGGAGTTACCTTTGACATTGTTTGGGACCACAGCAGCGTTGGCTGACTTCTCCCCACACAGCAAGCATAACGGAGTCTGTGAAAGTATTCCAAACCAAAGATAACCTTTGTTCTGTTGTCACTGTTTTTCTTTTTACCACCACTCATACTTGGCTTTCCATTTGGGGGAGACTTCTCTCCAGATCACAGTTCAGAGTCTGCCTCTTCCCTTTGAGAACCTTTCTCAATCGCCATTGGTCTTGTCGCCGCAACCTCTCCCGCGCAGCATTTCAGTCTTAAATGAATGCCTACTCCCCCTATTTAATTACTTAGCCAGCCACTATACTCAGACACTCAGCAATTGCAAATCAATGCAGCAACTAAATCATATTTTTGGGGACGTTTTTTACGATGTTTTCTGGCAATCCATCTGAGCACATTGGTGTGCTGTGGTACAGTGTTAAAAACCACTGGATTGCTGTGTATTTCTGTTCCCTGTAGAATTCAAGCATGAGAATAACCGTGTCAGAATGAACAGTCCATTCATACAGCATGGATAATGTACAAAGCCATATGTTCATTGCATGACATACTTCTGTCATTTCCATGTCACTGGTTGATGCTGTATGGTGTTGCAGTCCACCGTGTAATGTGTAAACGTCCCAATAAGTGTCTGAAGTCCCTCACATCTACACAGAAGGACAAACCCAGAGCTGTCAGAGCCTGGGTGTGTTTCATGGCCTCATTCCTCTCTGTGTTCTAGGAGTGAAGCTGATAGCTGTGGATGGTCCTACATGTTAACCTCCGACTAAGCGAAGAGGAAGCAGGATACAGGGAGGAGGAGCGGAGGAAGTGGATACATGAAGGAGTGGAAAAGGATGGACGTTTTTCACCACTTATTAGTAACTATCTGAGGTGGAATTGTGTACATAAAAGCCCAAGGACAACAACTGAGAAAAGGACAGAGATGCAAATGGACTTAAAAGACCAGCCCTGGAATCCCTCCACTTAACTATGCATACATTTAATGCCATTACATCACTATGGTCACTATTAGCTTGACAGTGTGTATGAAAGAATGCATTCACTTCTGAGTGAAGAACTCTGAAACATCAGTTTGATGAGGATAAAACATTTGAACATTGCAGTTCAAGCCGCTCATTCATTAAGCAGTTTTAGTAGTAGTTTATAATCCTGGTATATTTGAAAATATGCCAATTATGTTTATCCAATAAAAACAATTGAAAGTATATTCACTATTGTGATTTTTCACAAACACCGCTAATACAATAGAATCGCTACATATTATATTTTTCTCTATTTGTATTTCTATTAAAGCAACAGTGTGTATGATTTATGGGGTTTTATTGAAGGAAATTGAATATAATATTAACAACCATGATTTTATCAGTGCCTTAAAAACATCTGGCCGAGAACAGCAGATGGAAATGAGCCTTTCTGGCTAACTCTAGCTCACTTACAGTACACATGTTAGCGTGCATTGTCCCTGCAAATTAAATAAATAAATAGATGAACCACCTTTATTACCATAGAATGTTATCTTGTTATCTACGTATCAGCAGCTCCTCTCCACTGATTCGCCATGTTGCTACAGTAGCCCAGCAGGGACAAACAAACTTTCTGGGGAGAGCCTTTTGCTTGTTTTGTGACCTGAATGCGACTAGAGTTCTTCTTCACACTTATAAGAGCGGGGGGGGCGGTGTTGAGTTGGTTGCAGTCTGGCACTTCACTGCTGGGGGCCACTATATCGTACACATTATTCATTTTAAAGGCAACAATAAACCCTTATGATAACACACATGTTAAAGGACCATGTTAGTGCACCTCTGCTAAGGTGGGTGACTTGTGAAAAGAAAGATGTTCAAAGTCTGAGCCGCAGATTGTGAGACATCCAGATTTTTATTGCGTGCCTACGGGAGCAATTCAAATACACGCCAAACTCTTAAGACACTGGATTTCCAGTAATACAACCTGCTGGCTTCTTTCATGAGAGCCTCTGCCTGGCTGGTATGAAGCTATATCAGACTTGGAAGAAGACATTAAACAACTGTTTGTATCAGTATTTCTCAATTCATGAGGAGAGCAACATGTATTTGTCTCCCAAGAAGAAAATGAAAGTATCAAGAGCACTTTTAAAGATGCATCAATCATTTCATTATTTTTTTGTATCTTAACAAATTCTAATACTTCTACACATGCCAGTTGATTTTATTCATTATATTTCCACTTCAGTGTGTGCCACAGTAGGATTGAGCCGTGTATATATATATATATATATATATATATATATATATAGACACACACACACACTTATAATCAGTTCCATTAGAAGCAAAAGCCAGATGTTAGTGGGTATTAATGGTGGGGGGTTCCCCAGTGGAAAGTTGCTTGACTGAAAGGATAGTTCATTTATATTCACTTTTTATTTTTAGTGTTGTCTGACTGAATTAAGTGTTTTCAGTTGTTTACATTTAAGCATAAGTATTCTCCACAAGGCAAAATCAGAATTGTGGGAGGACCCGAGACGCCCTCCTAAAATATGTATATATGTGTTTGGATGGAATCTGATTAACATCCCTAGCAACGCTATGGATAGCAAAGATATGATCTTTTGTTTGAACTTTCCACTGTATACTCAAGCTTGTATTTATTCAACGTGTCATATGTTTCATGATTGTCTCTGTATTTTTTTAACAACATTTTCTATAAATTATAAATTCAAAACCCTACTTATGTACTGGCCGCACTTTACTAGGAAGCAGTAGTTTCTACTATTAAATGGATTGTTATTTTTTCAACCGATATATTCGGCACATCCATACAATAAAGGATGCCATTCAAATCCTGATAATTACATCATAGGTAAGTATCAATACTTCCACATTGTAAACATACAAGGATATTTGAAAAAAAATAAAAAAAATGAGGCAGATGTAAGTTTCAGATGTAAATTTCTTGGTTCTGTTTGGCTATTCAAACATTATTCCTGAATAACCATGTGATTTCTCCTCAAGGTTGCATTTACATTTTGATGTTGAGTAGCAGTAGGTCAGTTGAACATGGACTCAACACACCATTTTGATACATACAGTCTGCTTCTTTATTCATTCTTCCCTTGGACTTTGTGCTAAGCGCAACACATTGTGGATGGGTTCCCGACACGTTGAGATCAGGGGAACTGATGTCACCCCTCTTCTCTGATTGGTGCTGATACCTAAAACAAGCATTTTCCTCAAAATGCCACATTGATCATGCATGCACACCATGTCAGGGTTCCAAACAAATGTTTCTTAAGACCTGACTGAATGCCCAGAATAAATCAGTGGACAACTGATTCTTGTCCATTGTCCTGTCCACTGCTTCTCTGTCAGTGTCTGTGAGTTTGCTGCTTCATGTTGCTCATTAACATAGATTATTTTGAGCAGGTAAAACCTCCGTTTAGTCCTCTCAGTGGACCGCACAGATGTCCAGTATACAGAATTTGGCCCTACAAGTGGGACAAGGGACTCTGCTGGACAACCAGGTCTCAGGTCTTTGCTGGTCTTGGCGGCTGGCAAACCATCGACCCAGACAAGACAGACACCACATGGGTCTGCAGAAACACTGCTGGCACTCCGACTCGTTGGGGGCTCCTGTAAACACACAGCGCTTACAGGGTCCGAATAGGAACAAGGACAACAAAGCAAGACAAATAAATGCAAGAAATAGACACTCAAAGAAATTAACTAACGGACACTTGTCATCCTCATAGCAATATCAAAAAGGCCTCCGACAGCTACAACCGCCCCTCTACCACTTTTTGTAAATAGTCAAATATAATGCAACAAAGCAAACAATATTTTTGTCGTTAAATCCAATGTAGGTGAGCTAGTTAGCATTAGCTGTTTTGAGTCTACCAGCTACTCTCATCTCTTTTGAGACATACCGTCAGTTGAATAGTGTTTAAGCACTATTCAGTGAAAATGAGTATTGGGCAATTGGGCCCAGTCTTCCGGACCAACCACGCAGCACCAACCCCCCTATGATTTTTAATGGCCCACTTGAGATCAAAGTGGGCATTATCTGGCCCAAACCTAAAATGAGTTTGACATCCCTGTTCTAACGTATATACAAACTCTCTCTTACCTTCTGCCTGGCAGAGTCTGACCAGCTTGGTGTTTGCTGGAACCTGCATACAGCCACTACAGGGCTCCACCTCCTATGTAAGGAGGGAAAATATGCTTCTGAATCAGCTGAGTGATCCTGTGGTTGGAATTTAAATACACGGATAGTAATATTACCTGTCCACTGGGCAGCGTGTACGGTTGGTTGAGATCCACATGGGCCCTGAATGTTTCCAAGAAAAGTTCACTCATGGTTTGGTGGATCACTACATTGGGAGAGTTTCTGATTGGCGCGTGGAGCTTCTCCCTGAGTTCAGCGTACTCGGAAGAGATGAGCCTAGAAACAGTTGAAACATGACATGTCGTTTTTACCTGGTAACGCGCACACACACGTGCTCGCTTGCATGCACGCACGCACACACACCTGATATCAAAGGGTGTGACAGCAGGGTTGATGCTGTCCACTCTCAAGGTCAAGATCTGTGCTGGGGAAGCCATGTCTGGACTCAGCTGGTGCTGCCTGGATTGCGTCACTGTCACATGACATTCACTCTGTAAGGCCATGTAGACGTGATATGTGGTCACCTTGAGAAGCACAGAGACAGTCATGCATGTGAAAAAAAACACTGGGAGAGGGGTGTTCAATTTAGATGTCTTAATTTTCAAAACCTAAATGGGAAGCCAACCAACTCCAGGATGGATACGGTTGAGCTTGGTTTAACTGCTCTGCATCTCTCTACGTTAAAAGTTGTTCATTTGCACCTAAAATGTAGCATATGCCTGGTAGTACTTGCTAAACAAGTGTCACAAGCGGGTACTAAGCTGATCATAGTGTGGTTAATCAGGAGGAGAAAGACTCTTTATTAAGCAATATGGTACTCATGGAAGGACTTTATTGTCAATAATGTTACACATCAATGGTGTTGTTACGCGGCAAACCCTGGAACTGTAACATTATTGACAATAAAGTCCTTCCTTGAGTACCCTATTGCTTTTATAATATAGTTACCAGGGACATAAATAGTAAGTAAATAGCTGCCTTTGAGCACAAATTAGTTGTAGCCACAACGTTGTGTATCGCATTTCAGTAGCCAAGAAAAAATAGTCCGTGTACGTGTGGCTGTTCTGCCAGGACAAACAGCAACATCACTTTTGTTAGCGTAGCACCAAAGGAGTGTAGATGATTAGCTGGGAGATTGACATCAGTGTGTGCGTGGTCTGAAAACATCCCAGGTCTCCTTGCTCACATTGCTTATGACGTCCAGCTGAATTGTCCTGTTTGTGTAAAAGGTGGCCTAAATCGGTTGACCATTACAGTGAGTACACCTGTAAAAAATAAAGGGCTATTGACTATGAAAATCAATGGAATGATTGGAATCATACAATAATTATATTTCTATCACAGATCAGTGGAGCAGAGTATTTATTTCTTTACTTTGAATCATTTGTCTTTTACATTTCATGAAGCTTCGGGGGAGGCATGCCATGCAAGGCTCAAACCCCGGAGGAGTGTGGATGATGGAGGAGAGAGGAGGCAAGGAGGAGGGGTTAGCTGGCTTGTTAGCATTAAGACCTCAAACGGGTCGTTTTGAGCAGAGTTGTGCGAAGTCTTAAACTCCTGCTGATTCAGTGCTATTGATCGGGTGAGAACAAATCATATGTCGCAGCTGGGAGGCGTGTGTGAACGCTTCCTGAGGTGTAATACAATGTCATTTAAGGGGCTCTCCTCCAGACTGCTGAACACTATTTAATCACTCCTTACTGCTCACCTGTCACAGACAAAATACTGGAACTCAGGAGACTGACTTCCTGGAAGACATCTGGCAAACTACACATGTAGTGATAATGGCCACATATTCCCATAGACAGCAGGCCAATTAAAGCCGTCATTTAAGAAGAACTCCTGGAGTTTTTTGAAGCATGAATTTTTGAAGCTTCTCACTCACCTTCAACACCCAGCTGTCCGTCACGATAACTCTGGCTCCAGGCGCCCCCGTCGCAAACTTGTCTATGCGTCTGAACTCAGTGTTTACGCTGGTTGCCACAGAGCCCCAGCCGGGGTGGGGAGGCTGGATGTGGGCCTGCAGAGCCCGGCAGATTGGATGGTTGTGCCAATGATGCCGAGACCAGTAGATGACAAGTGTCCAGCTGGTCAACTGGATGCAGAGAGAGAGGAGGAGAAATGCTCTCCAGCTGTCACTCACCTGCTGAGACAACAAATACAACACAGCGGAGATCAATATTCAACAACTACTGACGACGAGCCAGTGCTGAGAAGAGCCGAGTTGCTCTGCTATCCGTAAGGACAATGATGTATGGTAGTCAAAGATTGTACTCTGTATAGCTGAGGCAGAAATGGAAAATAATCCCTCAAAGCAATGTATCATATAATACCTAACTTTTGTCATGACGGCACTTACTATCATTGACAAGGACAAGAATAAAAGAAGAAACAGATGTAAAACTAGTGCAAAGGCCACAGTACCTAAATATACTAAGAACCAAATAAATATATATACACATACCACAGTGGTTATTGCACATAGATATATGAGCGAGCGTGAGAACAGCCGTGGGCAACCCCGCTGATATAATAGGTATGGGGGAACACTGCAATTGTTTACTGATAAATCATGTAGTCCTTTTCTCTTAGACGTCTATAGGACCAGAGGAGTCTCCCCCGGGCGTTTAGTAGAGGGAATGCAGCTTTAACACATGAAGCAGGGGCTTTTAATCAGCAGAACCGCAGGTTGTCAGCCTGGTTGCAACCAGTTGAATGCCTCTCTTGTGAAAGTACAACGTAAACATCAAGGAATAATAGTCAATCTGGCCCTTATCTTGCAGTCTTATTGGGAACGGACCAACGCTGCTTCAGAGGAATTGAGGTCCACAATCTGATCCACTACTGATCTAAGTCTGTTTTGCCTTCTCTTCTGAAGCAAATAAGACTTGAATCCTTAAACTCTGTGTGATTGTTCACTCATTAGGGTGTCAAGCAATTGGTGTTTTGCATTTTGAGGAGGATGGTGAAGACTAGGGAGTTGTCCGTGGAGTCTTCGAGCGGCTGAATGCGGCGCCTCCTTCTGCTATTTTTAATAATGTGTTTGACCCCTTTACCTGTACCTGTTCGAATCTCTTCCCGCAGATACTACAGGCCTCGGGCTAGATCTGCTCTCTATCGTAACCTTTCCTTTCTCACCTATCCCACCCGCTCCACACACGTCTAGCACCTTGTCTGGAACTGCCAGTCAACTACTCGCAAGGCATCTTCATCTCCGGCTTTGATATCCACCAGTCGCTTGACTTTCTCGCTCTCACCGAGACCTGGATCACACCTGAGAACACATCCACCCCAGCCGCTCTCTCCTCCGCCTTCTCCTTCAGCCCCACACCCAGGCCCACTGGTAGGGGTGGTGGCACAGGTCTACTCATTTCACCCAAATGGAGATTTTCTCTTTACCCTCTTCCACCGTCCACCCCACTGTCTTTCGAATTCCATGCTGTAACAGTTACTCACGCTCTGTCACTCAGTCCCTCTCCTCCTATTCACAAAGCCGGCAATCACCTTGACTACATCTTCACTCGAAACTGCTCTACTACTAACCTCTCTGTAACTCCACTTCATGTCTCTGACCACTTCTTCATCTCTTACTCTCTCCCACTCTCTATAACTAACGACCATGCCCCATTGACTGACTCTGTACCTGTTCGTCACAATATGCGCTCTCTCTCTCCCTCCTCTCTGGCCTCCTCTGTTCTATCAGCTCTCCCTTCTACTGACTCCTTCTCACTCTTGCATCCGAACGCTGCTGCTGAGACTCTCCTCTCAACTCTTTCCTTCTCTCTAGACTCTCTCTGCCCTCTTACGACACGACGGACTGGCAAATCCCCTCCGGCTCCGTGGCTGTCTCAACCGGTGCGTGCCATGAGAGCCACCATGTGAGCATCAGAAAGGAGATGGCGTAAATATAAACGACCTGATGACCTGCTTGAATTTCAATATCTTCTCTCCCTTTTTTCTGCTTCTATCTCTGCTGCCAAAAGCTCTTTCTACCAATCCAGAATTGAATCTGCATTTTCTAACCCCAACAAACTATTTTCGACCTCCAACCTCCTCGAAGTCCCTAGTCCTCCTTCCCCCTCCACCCTTCTTCCGGGAGACTTTGTCAACTTCTTTACCAAGAAAATAGCTGACATACGCTCCTCTTTCTCAAACCCACCTCCTACTATTTGCGTCCCACTGACTTCACCTCTATCGCCCTCACTTTCCTCTTTCACCCCCGTGTGTCTTTAAAAATTCTTACCCTAGTAACCTCTGCCCGTCCGACCACCTGCCCTCTTGACCCCATTCCATCACATCTTCTACAATCTATCGCACCTGACCTTCTTCCTTTCCTCACCTGTCTCATCAACAATGCTCTGTTATATGTCTGTTTTACCAATTCTCTGAAGGAGGCAAGAGTTAACCCTCTCCTGAAGAAACCTACTCTCAACCCTTCTGAAGAAAACAACTACAGACCGGCCTCTCTTCTTCCCTTTTTTTCCCATGAAGACCCTTGAACGTGCAATCTTTAACCAACTCTCCTTCTATCTCCACTGTAACAACGTCCTTGACCCCCACCAGTCAGGCTTTAAGGCAGGCCGTTCCACAGAGACTGTTCTCCTTGCTGTCTCAGAGCAACTCCACACTGCTAGAGCCGCCTCTCTCTCCTCAGTCCTCATCCTTCTGGACCTCTTCGCTGCATTTGACACAGTCAACCACCAGATCCTTATTTCCTCCCTTCAGGAACTTGGTGTCTCAGGCTCTGCTCTCTCTCTTCTCTCGTCCTACCTCGACGGCCGCACCTACTGGGTAACCTGGCGAGGATCTGTGTCGGAACCTTGTCCTCTTACTACTGGAGTTCCTGAAGGTTCCGTTCTGGGTCCCCTCCTCTTCTCGCTCTACACCAACTCTCTCGGCGCTGTCATTCACTCGCATGGCTTCTCCTACCACAGCTATGCCGATGACACCCAACTAATTCTCTCCTTCCCTCACTCGGACAACCAGGTGGCGGCACGAATCTCTGCCTGTCTGACTGACATCTCTCAAAATCGACCCCGACAAGACTGAACTACTTCTCCTTCCGGGAAAAGATTCTCTGACCCAGGACTTGACGGTCAACTTTGGCAACTCCGTGCTAACGCCCACTGTGACCGGAAGGAACCTCAGCGTCACACTCGACAGCCAACTCTCCCTGACTCCCAACATCACTGCGACAACACGATCCTGTAGATACACGCTCTACAACATCAGGAGAATACGTCCCCTTCTCACTCAGAAGGCAGCGCAGGTACTGATTCAGGCTCTTGTCATCTCACGCCTGAACTACTGCAACTCGCTCCTGGCAGGTCTCCCTGCTACTGCTATTCGACCTCTGCAGCTCATTCAGAATGCAGCAGCTCGACTGGTCTTTAACCTTCCCAAATTCTCCCACACTACTCCACTCCTCCGCTCTCTTCACTGGCTACCGGTAGCTGCCCGCATCCAGTTCAAAACATTGGTGCTCACGTACCATGCTGTGAATGGATCGGGTCCAGCTTACATCCAGGACATGGTCAAACCCTACATCCTGACCCGCACTCTCCACTCTGCATCTGCAAAACTGCTCGTTCCTCCCTCACTGAGAGCAAAACACTCGACTAGATCACGACTCTTCGCTGTCCTTGCTCCGAAATGGTGGAACGAGCTCTCTGAAGACACCAGGAACGCAGAGAGCCTTCACATCTTCCGCCGCAAACTAAAGACACACCTCTTCAGACTCTACCTCGACTAAAGACTAACAAATTGTTGCACTTAAATTGTACTTATAACGCCACTTGTCTATAGCAAATTGTAAATTGGCTTATTTGAGGAAATTGCACTTTCTTGTTTCTTGTTCTTCTGAGTTTGTACCCTTATGGTTGAATGCACTTATTGTACGTCGCTTTGGAAAAAAGCGTCTGCTAAATTACATGTAATGTAATGTAACTACATTATGAAGTGTAATTCATGTGTATAGAATCCAAGTGTTCACAAATCTGCAGACAGACAGACCGACCTTGTGAATGTATCCCAGATTCTTCTCTGGCGCTGCGATACACATCCCCATGTAGTAACCTGGAGAGAGAGAGAGAGACAACAAGTTGCATGATTGCTTTGGGATCCACGTGTAATAAACAGCACCGTAACCCACATACCCCCCCCCCCTCTCTTTTAAACATGCTAAATGTGAGAAAGCAGCCCAAGAGGACTTTCACAAGCGTTTGCTGTGTTCTTCATACTTCTGCACATTGGATTGGTCATTGATGACCGTGTGGATAAACTCCTCCGAGGGCTCCGGGAGTGTGGGGCCACATAAACCTTTTCCTAAATATTTGTTTATACTCCTATTTCAAAAATATACATAAACATAACATGCCGATGTACTCCTAGAACATATTCACGGCGTACTTGTAGGCCGTGGACAAAGGGAGTTTGGTAATAGACAAGCTTATTAATCAAGATTAAAACCGTATGGATTTAGGGTTTACTCAAACTTGACTAATGCTTCAATGTGTACATTATAAAGTGTTACCAGGAGTCTTGTAATAAGACAGTCCCTATTGTCAGAGAACACAGTTATCAACTTGTGCAGTTTCCAACAAACGAAAACCAAAATTGTTGCCAATTGGGAGTTTTTGCATATCTTGGTTAATTGGAAACTTTGTCCAAGCAAACATAGCAATGAATGACCTCATGAGACATCAGTCTCTTAAGATTTTGCAATATATAGCTATTTTAGATGTACAACCACATTTTACTGCCAGCAGAGATCCAAAAAGATTTGCGCCTTACAGAAAATAAAATGCAAAATGTTGTATTTAACTTGTTCTTTTGCACATGGCTGTGATCGTGACATCTTGGATTTGGGGATTTAAAGTCAGATGTTCCTTGAAACTTATATCTGGTTTTACAAATAGGAGAGCTATTATATTGAATGGGAGCAGAACGTGAGAAAAATGAACCACCTAGTGGTTATCTTCAGAGCGCTTTAACAGTGCATGTCATCATTCACACCCATTGACACATTGACAGCTACCATACACAGTGCCACCTGTCCATCAGTAACTAACATTCACACACAGTAGTCCCAGCTACAGAAGCAATGTTGGGGCTCAGTGTGTTGCCCAAGGACACATTGACAAAAGGATCAGCAGGGCCTGGGATCGAACCGCTGATTAAAAGGTCGGCCGTGCTCTCCAATCACCCGCAGTCCCCGCTGTGGGCGACTAATGCAATATAAATTAGAGACACTAAAGAGAAACAGATGGCCACTTCAGCTACACTCTTGTTCAATATGTATTGCTTGAATTAAATGTTGTTCAAAAACTAACAGGTTGCATCGCTAGCATTTTCCAATAACATTCATACTTGTGCTACCATTCAATATGCTTCTTTGTGTTCTACCTGTGATCATAGAGGATTTTCAAATCCCTCCCCACAGGTGTATCCTTTAGGAAAGTACCTATCTCATTACAAATTGATAGGAGCCACTTCAACTACCCTTCACATTTTAGTATTTATTGTTGAACAAAATGTTGTCCATCTACTTAGATAGGAGAGTGTTTCTGTGTATAATATATATGACTCAATCATAAATATCCTCCCTGTTTGCATCATACCTTTTATACAAATATGTGTAGTGAAATACAGTGCAAATATACAGTATGAAAGGTTATTATATCCATGTGAATTAGTATTAAACAGGTTACAGATGCTCTTTAATGTGAACCGATCAAAGAGCAGAGCCACTACGATCATTTACCCATCAAACAGCGGGTAACTGCTTCAGGTTACCTTTAGGTTATGACTCAAGTGAGTTTGGGTGCTTACATGGAATATTTGTTTATTCATAGAATACAGATGGACAAAATCCATTGTGTAAGTGTAGTATAAATGTAAATGCTTGATATTCGTCGGCCCATTTATGTTACATTATGCCATGCTGAGACTTCAAATAAAAGTACATATGTTACCATGAACAGCAATGATAAAAATGCATCGGTGTATATATCATCATTTCTGGCTCCTTCCTTGATGTAGATTGTGATTTTATCAAGCTGAAGATACGTGGCAGGCTAGTTTTGGGGCATTTACGAGGAGAGGACGTGTGGCTTTATGTGTGTGTTGTATGCAGGATCTCTAGTAACATATCAAGCTGACGTCAAACAAAGAATCAACTTAGTTAACAGTGTTCAATATAGTAAGAACTAGGTTAATATCAGCCGGCTGACGTCACTGATCGCAAACCTTGTGAACAGCTAACTTACTCAGTCTTTTCATTGCAAGAATATATGACGCGTGTTGACATCGTTGTTGCCGTATCTGCGTGTTGGAGTTTACCTAAAGGCAGTGCGGAGTGGACCAGTAGGGTAATGCTGGTCCTCCTGACGTGGTACTGGATAAAGCCCACATCCTCACTCCCCAGCCAGGACGAAAACAGATTCTGGACGGTTAAACCTGCCGAGCGGAACTCGTTGGGCGTAAACACGAAGCAGAGAGAGAGCACCACATAGGCCAGAGTGAAGGATAACTCCGGGCTCTCCATTCTGTCTCCAGATATTCTACTGCCGTGGACCTACTCTACTTCCGTAATGTGTCTTCTTCTTCCGGAGGCACGTGCTGCCATCTGCTGCTCGTGGGCCCAATCCCAATCCGCCTCGCGGACTTTAAGGCGCGCTCCCGCGAGGATTCCGTCACACCGCCTAATACGTGAGACTCTTCGGCAGACATTTTAGATGTGTCTCATTTCGTTGTCCGCACACGTCACTGCGGCTTGGCTGTTCCATTCTGTCGGCTACTGATAAAGGCGCCAATTGTGAGGACACATCTGAGCTACGGCCCTTTCTCAGTACCTAAGACGGCGAGAAGGGAGAATAGGATACGGACTCGGGAGTCCAGACTCTATGCCCTTTCTCAATATGCGTTCTTGTGTGGACTTTTGTTCTCGTGGACTCGTGAAAAGTCATCAGTCGCAGCCCGAGCACTGTTATGATTCTAGAGTCCGCATCTAGCTGAGAACAGCCATAATACCCGGATGTGACTCGCCCCGCCCATTTTACCGGGCATGGATCGTAGCAGGCTCGTCTGTTCCCAGAATGCATTTCACCTCAGCAGCGACACAGGATAATAAACATTACTCTAGGTCGAAGTTTATAAATACTACTATATTGAAGTCTCGGAATGTAATTTTAGGACTTTTTCAGACGAGAAGTTAGTCTGCGCTCGTTTTGTCAACATTCAGCCTTCGTAACAATTTGCTCCGAGGATGTCGGAGATGTGAGGTCTAGTTAACGGGACCGTCTGACCCCTCCAGCACCGGTGTTACACCCCTACTGGTTTTTCCACCCACTGGTTTCCCTACGCGTGCGTGTTTGTGTTCACTCCACAGCTGCAGATGTGTCCGCCTCAGTTCCCTGATTCGTCACACATTCACAAACATATTGCTGAAAATCTACAAAACGCATCACAAATCCATTGCAGCGTTTACGATTGTATAAGTGAGCACCACATCACAGCCACGTATGAAAATATTTACATGAAAAAATATATTAAAGGAAAGATCCTCACAACCTGCATTCGAACCCGGGGGATCAAAACATCAAAATAGTACCCTTGTGGCTGCTCTTAATATATTTTTTCATGTAAATGTCTCATCTCAGCGCGCAGAGTTTTCTGTGAAATGCTCCGCTTGTATTCACGTCTCCGTAGCGGTTATACATGAGATATAACTGGGCTGCGGGTTCATAACTTTTAGTGTGGTGTCAGAGACTGATGTTGTTCACCGGTAACGTTACGTCTGTTTGAGGACAGAGTTGAGATACATCACTTCATGTTTCAATTTAACTGTAACGTCTTGTCTGTATCCGCAGAGTGCATCCTGTGCATTAAAACTAACGATCTTTATATTTATTTCATCGATAGACAATGTAAATCTAACCGTAGCACCATCGATGCCTGCATCATATTACATTACATTACGACTCACAATAAGTGCATTTCAACCATAAGGATACAAACTGCAAAGAACAGGAAACAGGAAAGTGCAATTTCATTAAATAACAGATTCACAATTGGCTATAGATCCATTATAATTACAATGGCTCTACAAGTGCTATAATTTGTTAGTCTTTTTTTATCATAGATATTAAATTAAATACTATGTTAATCACTAATGATGTCACCTATCTTACTGTAGCCTCATTGATCACTGTATCATAGATATTAAATACTAAGAGGTTAATCAATAATGATGTCATTTATCTTACGGTATGTAGCCTCATTGATCACTATATTATATACATAAAATACTATGAGGTTAATCACTATCACTATTAATGTAGACACACAGAAGATGTACATCACCAGGTACATCACCGATTTAATTTATAGTGATGTTTGTGCATTTAACTGTACGAGGACTACTACACTGATTATCGCCCTCTTGACTTGATGACGTCACTACATTAGCCGGCTTAACTAACAAGCTTCTGTTTTGTTTTTGTTTTTTTAAGTTGTATACATAATGGCGCACCAGAGTAGACATATTTTATATATATACATATATATAGAGAGAGAAAATAATTTTTAACGAAGAAGGAGCAGCTGTAGTTTGTGGTGCTGCTGAACTTTACTGCATTACACTGACAGGTGTATGTATATCTGATATATTATTGCATATTGGATTAGCGAAATAAATAAAACCTTCTGTGGTAAACATTTAATTCATGGCTGTTGTATTACATCACATTTTATTAGCTTTATAAAGTTCTCATAAAGTACAGAGAAGGTTTGATGCAGCAAATTAATCAGTTAATATTTTAATGGGCTACATTCCACATACACAACTACCGAGAGGCTGATATTCAGTGTGGTAGTCCTCGTCCAATTAAATAGGTGAACTTGACATTGTCAAATAATGAAATAAATACAAACACATTCAAGCCAACCACACATGAAATATCTTACAGAAAAACATTCAATTATTCATATATGTAAAATATTTATTTATTATTGTTACAATTCCCTACGAGTCCCTTTGAAGCTGAAGTCCTGCTGTTGGGGAGTTGGAGGGTCTCCTCATGTGCTCTAGTAGTAAATATTACTGTTGGAAAAACTTGCAAATAATGTGTGTCATGATATCAATAAGGCTGTACTACTCAAGGTTTTTGCTACCGTCAGCTGACAGACATCTTGTCAGCCGGGATGAGGGGCGCTGGCCTCAGGAACCATCCCTATGTTTTGATGCCATATCTGCAGTATATATTCCTGCTCCAAAGAGGAGAACCTTTGAGCTTGGTACATAACTTGTATGTGTGTCCAAACATCAAATAACCTGTTTTGATGATTTTACGCCAGTGTCAAGTAAGAATTTTTCTAACATAATTGGTTCTTTGAGCCGGATTTGAACAACTCTTTTTTCCTCTCAAGGTTGGACCTGAAACCGTACGGGGGAGACTGGGACTCTTTTCCAATAAGTCCTCCGCCCCAAGTCCGTTACAGGATTGGTTTGGATAGTTGAGAGGCCAGGATCTACTCAAGGTGGATGGGAGTGACGAGATCCGTTTACTAGAGAAATTTTATAACAGTTACAAATAACTTTCTTTACGTTACTTTCTAAGTCACGTTACAAACGTTGAGAATAAATACACAAAGAAACTGAACTTGGTTGCTTTGCTGCGTTTGTTTTGTTGTGGGGTTATGATCTAACTACATTTTGTTTTGTCTTAGGGAGCCAGGAGTAAGCAGAATCAAGCTCAAGGACAGCAATGTGTGTGGCACCTGGAGTCACAAAAAATTAAAAAAACTAATATTTGTGAAATAAAATATTAATAATAATATCTGCACAAAATGTATGTTTTTACTGCACAACCTCTTGGCCTGTCTGCATGTTTCTGCCTGGGCAGGTCTAAGAAGCAGTTTAGCCACTTACTGATTAAAGATAAATGACTGATTTATAATTTTAGCATCCTAAAATAGATTCAGCCTTGGGCCGTTGTAGGGCTGGACCCAGTCGCCTTAGCTTTCACACTTTACATTACATTACATGTCATTTAGCTGACGCTTTTATCCAAAGCGACGTACAATAAGTGCATTCAACCATAGGGTACTTTAGAGGTTGGCTCATGTCTTACTGAGGTTGTGACGGTTTTACAGCAATGTTTCCCCTGCCATTATATCAGGGAGGCCATTATATATTTCTCACTCATAGGAAGCTGTGGCCAAAAGTCTGTTGGATTCCACATTCAAGAGGGAACATTTTGGCAATGCGGGCAAAGTAAAAATATGTTTTCAACCACATTCTGAAGCTGCTTTATGCGGTGGAAATCCTTATGAGGAATCAAAAACATTGTTTATTACAAACTAACAGAAAAATCCTAAAGAATACACAAATCATCTAACACAAGCCATGAGCACAGACAGTTCAATGGCCGGATTCACCTGAAAAGGAAAGGAAGTGGTTTCCTACTCCTGTGGAGAGCAACAAAGTCTGGCCAAGAGAAACGGTTAATACACATATACATGTGTTCCAATTAGAAGGACACCGCTGCCCAAGGAACTTCAGTCGGATAACAAGTGTGGAGGAATGCACACGTCGACATACCCCCAAGCCCCCTTCAGTGTGACCAAGACAATCATTGTTTGACAGACATACAATTAGAACACTGTGTCCTTGTGAACCGGTTTTCGGTCCAGAATGTAGGTAACTACGTTATGAGGGAGGACACAGAGTTCGCAGGAGAGGTTCCTCAGTTAATGAGAGATCCACAGTGCGCATGAGATTGACTCTCTTCCAACACTTTCCTTTCTAGCATTTCAGGCTCCAATCTAGCCTGCAACATACACACTGGTGTAAATCTCAGAAACCCTCCAAAAAACTCATGAAACTTAATCAGCGATATTGAAAAAGGTTGAATAAATATAGAAAAGCTTTTTTTTTGGGGGGGGGGGGGGGTTTCAATATTCATTTATATTCATTCAAGCATAAGAGGTAGAAAGCTGGAGAGTTGTGTCACCCCTCTCCTGAATGAGCTGAATATGTTAATAGCTGAAATGTGAAGGCCCTGAAAACGTTCAAAATACGTACAGAACAAATAGAAAGATAGCTAGAAAATGCATTGGAATGCTGAAAGCTTAAAGCCGAATGCTAACATGGTGTGTAAGTAATAGGAGTGAAGACTGAAAGCTAGAGTGGGGAGCATCTTTAGTATCTGGTTCAAAAGATATTTATATTTTGTATTAAGTTGTATTTCTGACAGACATATAAGGATATCTTGGCGTTGGCGGCAGAGTCTTGGTTCTCTGATATATCCTTATTTTTCGGATTTGATTCATTGTTTTGTAGCTACGTTAACGTGTGTGAGGTGTGGATATTCTCTCCCTGTGATCGACCTCACCATAACTCTGACACAGGTGATTAGTGTTAGCTCATTAGTGGAGTCACATGACGCATCTATGCAGTCAACTCAGACCGACATCTCACAAAGCCCTCGCTGGTCCCTCCCTCCCCTACTTCCCTCTCGCTCTCACACTCACAATTACTCCCTCTCTCTGTCTCTATTTGTGTCTCTGTCAATTTTTCTCTCTCTTATTCCCTTTTTCTTTCTCACTTACTTCCAGTCTCTTTCTGTGTCTCCAATAACTGTCACTCTCCCAAAGGTACTTCAGAGGAATTGAGGTCCACAATGAATGTCTTCCACTACATTATGACGAGTGCCGATATTCCTCAAAGTGTATAGTTTCATCTCATTGTTATGGTACATGCTTCCTGAGGTGTATTCACTTCCTGCTGTTTTGACCTCATGTCATTTATTATTGGCTGTTAAAAAGAAATCACAAATACGAACATAATGGACATTTTCTAGCTCTAACAGAAGCACTGCCCAGGAGCTCCACATTCCAACTCACAGTATGGGAAATATGGTCCACACAAGCCATCAGTGAAAAGGCCTTTAGTTGTGGTGGAAAAGGATTAACCCAAGGCTCATCAGTGGGTCCCACTCATCCTGCCAAGTATTGATGTTTCTGGATATGACAACACATTTGTTTATTTGTCATGATGAAATAACACCACTATGAGAACAATATGCAGATCCTGGACTCAGTCAAAGGGGTTAAGTGTGTTTTGTCAATACGTTGTTCAATCAAAATGATTGTGTAAACATTCACCTCAGCTTAACCACAACAATGTCATGGTGTTGTAATTTAAATTTCCTAATATTATTCATGAATCAACCAAATATAATCCAGAACTTTTTGAACCATTAGATTATAGCTACAGTTTATTATGAAATCATCAAGATACAGTCTAGATATTAAAAATAAATATCCACATGCATTCGGCCAGAGACTCGAGGTCATGTGTCTGCCCCTCTGAATATGAGCAGCGTGAAAAGAAGTCTACGGTTCAGTCAAACTAGTGGAATGACAGTTTGACTTTGAAGACGCAGACAGTTTAAACTGGACCGAGATGTCATCATGTCAGACGATTCGACTCAGGCCAGTGCTGCGTTGACCATCGTCTTACACCCAGCTCGTTTCCCTCGACAAACTGAACTGGGATCAATGGTGTAAAGCCTTTGAATGGAAGCTATCCACATAATGAGAGGGACCAACTCTTCCACTCATGAATTCAATTATCTAATCATTATTCTTTCCAGTGGTACAGGCAGAGGGTTAGGTCGCTAGGTCAAAGCCTCTAGGTTAAAGGATTCATGGTTGCCTTTATGTTAATATTGAAGGACTTTGAGCTTCATGTTGGATGCACTTTCATCCAGTGAAACACAAAGTGCTGTGCGAATGAGGAAAAGCAGTCATGTCCTGTTAGCGAATGTGTTAACTGATCTGTAAGGTCTGTTCACAGTTGCAAAGGAGGACACCTGGGAGCCTGCTGAGAAATGCTTTATACAGCTGCCACTCAAGAGACCGTCATTGCGTTGTTGAAGACTTTCTTCGTATATAATTGGAATAGATTTAATTGCCTATAACTTAGGTATTGTTGCTTCTCTTTGGCGACTGTGGGTGAGTGGGGAGCACGGTCGTCCTCCAATCAGAGGGTTGTCGTTTCGATCCCAGGCGCTGCTAACCTGCATGTTGATGTGTTTTTGGGGAAGACACTTAACCCAACATTGCTCCTGTAGCTGCGACTCAGTGTGTGAATGTTAGTTACTGATGGCAGGTCTCACTGTGTATGGTTCTCCTGTCATCAGTGTATGAATGGGTGTGAATGGGTGAATGATGTCATGTAGTGTTAAAGCGCTTTGAGTGGTCAGAGGACTAGAAAAGCGCTATACAAGTACAGGCCATTTACCATTTGTGTACGGTGTCTAACTTCGGTCGTTTATTATTGTATTTTTTAAAAGAATTGTGTTAAATTCATATTAGTATTTTTTTGTATGTAGATATTCATCTATGTATGTTGGGGCGTTACTCAATGAAACAAGTTTTTAGAATCTCTCTCTCTCTCTCTTGGTGTAGTGTATTTTTATGTAGAAATGTTGAGATCAAAACGGTAGTTATAGGGGACATATTTGGCTCACTGTAAGGTTCATACCATTTGGGCACCTGACTATTTCAGACCCGCTCTCAGAAAAGCAGCCTGCTCTGATTGGCTCAGCTCGGCAAAGGTAGTTGTCAACTCATAAGTGGAGACACTCAAAGGAGGGCACGGCCGGTACAATAAGCACAGGTTCAGAATAAGCTTTTATGGCACCAGTACTGGGATTCTTTGCGGCATTTCACTCACACAAACTATGAATCAAACAGCATCAGATGAGATAACGATGGTCCCAAAACTAGATTTGGATTGATAACCTCTTGAAGGAACGGCATCAGGTCATAAAACCCATATAAAGTCAGTTGATATTGTGCTTTAGTGCTGCAGATTCCTAAATAAAATCACCACATTCTATGCACTCCACAGAGAACATGGAGAGGATCATCCTGCTCCAAATGAAAGCACTCAAAGGCCCCACACACATATCAGATAACAGGACCGATTCAGACTTATTGGCTCTCTATCATCTGGCTGTTCACTTATTTGATCTATTTCGTAACACTCTAGATCCCATCCATGTTTGGCCTATAGACTGCGTTGACTGTTATTGTCCTCTCCTGTGTGTCAGATGAAACCACACTGTGACTTTGATGGGAGCCACAGCCCTGCTCCTCTATACAGACCCTTCCCACCCAGAATGATGAGAGAACCACCTGGCAGCGCAAAGCCCTCCCCTCCCCTGCCCAGCGCACACTGACCGAGGACAGGAGGGAGCTGAGAGATAAGAGTTGGGCATTCTTAAAAGTTAACCAATCCGGAGTGGATTTTAAGAGCTCGCTAGAAGCTCCACCACAGGTGTGATATTAGAACGCTATCTTAGGCTTGTTGTGTGTTTGCCGAAGGGCGCGGGCAGTCTTATTCTAACATCAGCATGTCTTTCATACGGTTCAGCTCATGCGGCTCTAGTCTTCTTTTTTACCAAGACCTACAATACCAAATGTCAGAATATCAGGTCTTTATCTTTGATAAATTGAGACAAGAATGATTCGATGTAACAGTTAATAACAACTTTGTATCTGTTCTTGAGCTGATTAGGAATCAAACCATAATCGAGTAAAAAAAAGGATACAGTTTCGCTAAACATCAGCACGGTGTACAATCAGCAAACATGATGACGACCGACTGAGGCTCTTTGATTACTGCACAACAAGCCGCCTATGAGCAAGGCATCAGCAGAAACACAGACTGCAGCTCAGCTCCCGGCGGTCACTATGGAGATTCATGGAGGAAAAATAAAAGCACGCACTGCTAGCAGTGGAGTGATTAAAGAGAATACCACTGTACTGCATGGTTGGAAACCGTGGAATCTTTTAGCCGTTGACTAACATCTGTAGCAATCTCTAAGGAAAGTATTTAATCATTATTGTAAGTCGCTTTGGATAACAGCGTCAGCTAAATGACATGTAATGTAATTATTAAATAATACCACGTGTTTTTAAAGGTGCATTCATTTATTATTTTTTCAACTCAACACAACATCGACATATCACCATCCGATAAAGTAGGTATGGTGCCCCGCTGGTCTTTAGCGGAGTGTTTCTGCTGTGAGCTGATGGGTAGCTAGTGTACACATGGCTTCTCCTGGAAAAAAACAGACCGAACGGATTTTCAAGAGAGAAGCTACCAGCGGCTGAAGGAGGTACAGTTGTAATTCTGTAATAGTGTCATTATCCTGGCACCTTTTTCCTACCAGTCATTGACCTCCTGGTTATCTAAAATATCTAGTGGAGCAGCTCTAACTGGGTTGGCTTAGTAATGGAGCTAACCTGATGCTGTGCGGCCTGCTCAAAGTCCCATGCAGATCTGGTGGTAGATCATCTCATCTCATATAACATTATAGTATAACTATTGCCTAATAAATACTATTTTTCTTAAGATTGTCAAAAAGCCCTTTGACATGGTTTAGTATTGTGGTGAGTCCAGGCAGAGTGTTGATTCCGTTGGGCCTTTATCTCAACGACTCCAAAACCTTTAGGATTCTTTCATATATGTGGACCTTTCTGCTGATATGTGATCGAACATCTGCATGTGAGCAGCCTCTAAGCCGTTTTCAAACTGCAGAACTAGCGCAGTGCACTCCATTTCAGGAGATTGCAAGTCATTGGAACAGAATGTTGCGGAGTACCTCAAAAGGTTCAGTTCTCCATCCCATCACCAAGCTGGCCCTCCCCTGAAAACAACTGCATGTGATTGGGTTGTAAATGACACAGTACTCCCTTTTAATTGCACTGGACACATGGCCTATGAGATGTGATAGGGCGGGACACATGTGAGAACAAGATGAAGATGGGGAGGAGGAGCAGCAGGTAGGGCTGTTTGACCACCTTCCGTGTGACATTACACACAGGTACATCATTCATTGAACTTCTTTCCTGTGTTGACCAATGGTAGCGTTCATTAGCGAAGAACATCCAGTTTCCTCCAATATATGACAGCTCTAAGCACAACAGAAAAACATACAGCATGGAGGTGCTTGCATGATACAGGGCATACGGAGCAGTTTATGGATACAGTTGGAAAGTATTGGATCAGATACACTTGTTTTCTGGCCTGAAATCACACCATGTGGAAAAAAATTCTCTAGTGGTTTCTGGGTGAAAGATGGCAACACCAGAAATAGGTTTTTATTGCACTACGAAGCCGAATCCACACCCTTCATATACAGAAAAGCACAGTTACACCCCATACTACTTTTGACAATAATGGAAGCAGGCTGATTGATGGCAACAGCAGTCCCGATCACACCCACTAGCAATGTCTCCTGCTCCTCCACCACCACTCAAGCTGCGATGAACAGGACGGGGATTCACCTTCAGTCCTGCACTAGCCTTCCAGCCGGGCTCTGTGCGCCTCTCTGCAGCTTCTTCTTGTAGCTGGGCCAGCGGCACACCGGGCAGCAGTGTCTGCCTGCTGCCAGCCACACCACGATGCAGTGCTGGTGGAAGGCGTGGCCACAGGGCAGACCCAGCAGCAGCTCCTCACTCACAAAGTTCTCCAGACACACAACGCACTCGGAGCACTGCAGCATGCCACAGGGCCACACCGACCAATCACAGAGGCAGCCATCCTTCAAGGCCCTGTCAGCAGAGGACGAGCCTCTGTTTCCATGGCGACAGCAGAAAGGCTGACAGCTACTGCTGCCGTCCATGCTGTTGCTCAGGGACAGTTGTGCGTTGCTGTGCATCTTCTCCCTGCTTTCCGTGTCTGAATGTGAACTATCCGTCTCTTCATCCAGTCCCCCACCAGCTCCCTCTCCCGTTTCCTCAGCAACCGACCTGAAGCTCCAGGTTGGCAGTGCTTCAATATAGTCCATGTCTATTAAGGGGCGAAGCCAGAGATCGGGGAAAGCCAAACGCTCTAATAAGAAGTTGGGGTCATCCTCCCAGTCGGAGTGGTCGGACGGGACATGGTGCAGCGATGCGATTGGGTGGAGCAGATAGGAAGTGTACCAGTCCCAGAGACTGGCAAGCCACTCCAGGTTGGTGGTGCTGTCCTCTTGGCTCCTCATGCGACAGCGGCGTTTCTTCTCAAAGTAGTCGACCAGCAGGCCGTGGGCCAAGTAGGTGGAAAGAAAGAGAGCTGGGTGGGACGAGTAGAAGGTCCAATCAGCTCTCACCAGGCTGGCCACCGTAGTGGTGTCGGCATAGCGAAGCAGCTTCAGGCTGTAACCATACAGAGTTTCCAGATAGGGCAGCTGAAGCAGAGCCTAGAGGAGTGATCAATCACTGATTAGTTATTATCACTTGACACCCTTTCATATTGATGCGTATCAGCGGTGTGATGTGTAGCCATTGGAAAGGATGGAGATTGCAGTGCTTCCCCCAAGCTTACAACTTCAGGAGGGGTAGTAGTTGGGCGAACAGAGGAGGAAGGGGGCGGGGGATTGTATCACGTACATGTTCAACACAAGGAAAATGAGTGGAGGACATCAGTTGAGAGAACTGCGTGGGACAGAAGATCTCTTACCAAAACAGGCAGCCAGGACACCAGCAGTATGGAGTTGTAGGTTCCAAGAGTTCGGATCAATACCACAAATCGTTTCACGGTTGCCCCCTGTTCATGGAAATGAATACATGAGTGAAAGTGGACAATAAATACAGAACTAGTTTTCGCTCTCTCTTCTACTATATTTTAAAATCTGCTTTCTAATTATAATACTTATCTGTATAGTAAAGGCCCCACGCATTGATTACTGATGGGGTTTTGTGGACTAATTGGACCAATGAGCAGACCTGGCTGTTTCAATTTAAGAGTTTTGAATAGGAAACAGGAAGTGACCTGCGTGATGAAGAGGTCCATCCAGGCAAGCAAGTTGATCAGGACCAGACTGAGGACAAACAGATCATTGACTTCCGGCTGGATGGAACGCAGGAAAGTATCCATGGCAGCCAGTGACAAGAACTCCCCAGTACTAAAGACAGGAGAGGAGAAGAGTGGAAGAAGAAACAGACGGATTAAGAGTATTTCTAAATGTTTGTAACAATAAAGGACCCATTCCATCCCCATGTTCAAACATCACCTATTGCCATAGCGATAAATGCCCTCTGGCATCTTGAGAATGTAGGCGGTGTTCTGTGTCACATCAATCTCTGACAGGATGCTGCGGTTGTCCCAGCCACGCACATCCACAAAGATGAAGTCAATCCTGCCCGTGAACTTGACGGACAGCGCGGAGAAGAAGGCGGGCGGCTGGGATAGACGTGCAAACAGAAACATCTTCACCGGGTGGGCCGGGTCGGCGCGCCATTCCTCCACCAGCTGCTCAGATTGACGCAGGGTTTTGATTCGATGAGCCACGTGTGAGGTCATCCAGCGGAAGATGTGCTCCGTTTCGATGCGCCGGCCGTTGTATTCTTTTAACATGACTTTACCCTTTGATGCTGACGTCTGAGGAACAGACATGATCAGAGTGGAGCGCTGCCAGCCGCGCTTGATGCATGACCTGGTGAACCCAACACAGAAGCAGCTTGTCAGTAATACACCATGCTCCTTACATTAACTTCAACACTGGAACTGATAGCGGTTCTCTGAGGAATACCACCATTTAAAGCAGATACCGCTATGGCGGACAATAGCATGTAAAAAGATAACGTTAAGAATGGTTGATGGTTTGAATTGATTTCAGGGCAATGGTGAACAATGTTAGTCTATCAAACCGCCAACAACATTGTGCTATATTTGTATCTACTCTGCAATGATAATAATCTGTGCAATATTAACAACCAGTCAGTCAGATTTGTATCACATTTTAGTTTCTGATATTTGTAGTTTTTTTATTTTTTATTGTGCCTTTCCGGTTTAATCACTTATTATATTTGTTTTGAAAGTGTTTTTCTACTTATGTCTCTGGTTTATTATTCTTGTGCTGTCCACTTTGTTGCTGTTCCCGCTGTGGGACTAAAGGATCATCATTATTAATAAGGTAAATGGACTGTACTCGTATAGCACATTTCTTGTCTTCCGACCACTCAAAGCGCCTTAACATCATTCCCCCATTCATACAGGAGCAATGTTGGGGTTAAGTGCCTTGCCCAAGAACACATCGACATGCGGCTTAGCCGGGCCAGGGATCGAACCGCCAACCCTCTGATGGGGGGGGACGAACACGCTCCCCACTCACCCACAGTCACCCAAGGTCTAATGGCAATAATCAATCATATTGGCGCCAAACACAGGGCATCTCTATCAGAAATGACAAGTATTGGTGAACTTGAAGGAGGCCCTGTTTCCAACCTGTAGTCATTAGAGCAGTTGAAGGTTCCAGTTCTGATCCCAAACTGAGACACTTTCTGCACCATCTTCCCCCAGTTGGCTCGACTGAGCAGAGCTTTCCGGTCTTGGGCGATGACCTGCAGGCACACGCAGGGACATGGCATGGTCAGACAGATAATACCCAACAGATCTGTTAACCCTTCTTTGGCTTTATAGTATTTTTATGGATCCATTTTGTGTTTGCTTTATCCCGTTTCAAACTTTTACAGCAAAGCCTTGTTATTTTGGCCCATGGGAGGCAGAACGTGGGCTGTAACGGATAGTGGAATGAATCAATCTGGGAATTGAGCAGATTTAATGAACTTGTGGCAGACAGACTTCTACTGTGTCTTTGGTTTACCATGACTTTGTCTAACATGCTCGCAGCATTCTGACTGTAATGTTAAACAAAATTCCTGTTGTATGTAGTAGATAAATAAAACTTTATTAAGTGCCTTTACCTGAACGAGCCATATCCCATCTTTAGTGTCCTCCACTAATTCATAGAAGTGCATTTCTCCACTGAAGTACGTTGTGCTGGCATCTCCTGCCTCCGTCTGCTCCGTCTCTTTCTTGATGGCCGAGTACAGCTCGCCCTGTGTCAACTCTCCTGTGGCGGGAAGAAGAGACAAGCATGACTTGGAAAGGTCTCAGGACGTGTCCTCTTTCCTCTTTTAACAGTTGTTATCTAGTATATTTATCTCTTCTTTCATTCCAAGTGAAAATAGGTAAGTAATCATTAAAATATGATGATAAAAATAATAATAATAATCTTTACCTTACTTGATTTCATCTCATTGAACATTGCTGAACAAGTACACAAAGTAAACCAGGTAGACATGCAAACTAAGTCTAACCTAAACCGCCACATGCTCACTTGAATATGTGGTCTTCAATGTGCAGACATGTGTGACGATTTTCATCCCATTCATGAACTGAAGGTTCTGCTGATCTTGAAGTTAAATATCAGAATGAATGAATAGCATCACAACTCGTGTGGAGCCAATCGCTGAACCGAAACGACAATTATTTGTGTGTTTTAGTACAGGACATTTGATAAGTTGACTCAGCCCAGTTCCAGTCGAAGAAAGCAATTCCATGTTTGCTGGAGACACAAAACACTAACCACCGTGACCAGTCCGCAGAAAGGTGATGGTGAACATTACACGTTTGACATGTCCCCAAGCGTTTCTGTCCCTGAACAGATTGAAGTCCTTCATCAATAATTGATTGGGCCATTACTCAGTATCAGGTGGAAATGTTAAATGTTAATATTATGATTACATATTACAGATGTAACGTTATATCGCAATGTCCTCCAAATATTCTCACCTTTTTAATCCCACTCACATAGTCCAGCCGCAAAACTATACAAAGACATTTTATATCCCCATTGTATAGAAACATTGGAAGTGCAAATGGACGTGTTGTATTATTTACATCTGATGGGGTTTTTCTACGTAGGGACTCGGCCCGACCAATGGATCGCGAGCGCAAGTACCCGTATGGCGGATTCTGGGCCTTGCTCGCATCAGACTGAAGCAGACCGTACCTGATTTCTCGACCAGATCGCTGACATCCTTCTTCTCAGCCAGTCCGGAGTATCCCAGGCCCCGACCCTCCAGGATGGTCTTCAGCTTCTTATAACTCAGAGTCACTGGATCCACCAGCTGAGTGGCGAACATACCGGTCTCATACCAAACTACCGCCTCAAAAATCCTCGCTAGCATAAACAACACTATGAAGTACAGGAGCAAGAAGAATAGCTTCAGCCACATCTTACAGCTGGACGAGAGCGCTGCTGCCACGCCGTGACGTGTCCGTCATGCGTGTGTAAGTGAGTGTTTGCGTGCGTGTGTCAGCGTGTGACAACCCGACAGGCTAAAGTCACACGGCCTCCAATCCCCGTCCAGCGTTACCGTTGCCGACAATAACGTTATTAGCTAACTAGAAAACATGTTTCTCCGACATGCGTCGTTCGTTCGCGTGTTCACTGACCGTTAACTTCCGTCACCAGTCATTTACATCCATGAACCCTTCAAACAGTGACAACTAGCTCCCTAGCTTAGCATTGCAAGAAGGCCCATCTATTAGCCAAAACAAACGGGCCGCGTCAAGCTCGCGCGTCTGCGGCACGCGCTGCAGTTTCCCGCTGAGCGTCAGTAGCGCGCGAGGACGCGGACAGCTGCTGTGCTCCCGGATTCCACATTAGAGAATAACATTGACGACGGATCGGTTTTTGCGCTGCGATCAGCTGGTGTAGACGGAACAGCTGACGTCATATCCGCCTTCACTTCACACACGTAAACAAGCTACAAAGTAAAGGACCTGAACCCTATGCGGAAACCCTGCACAATACGGTTATAATTCTGGGTAATCAGATCAATTATTGTTATGATGTGAATTCAATTCAATCTATTTTGAATCGCCAAAAATCACAAACTTGCCTCAGTGCTTACAATCGTGAAATATAATTAGCAAACCAAATTATTGATTGAACATTATTATTAAAGGTGCCAGGATTTTAAGGGAGTCATGGCACCTCGTTAATTTTCTCAAGCCATAGTTACAGCAGCGGAGACGTTTTCCAAGAGAGGATGTCGCTTGTGAGATCTTCTGGCTCCCTACATTGAGAATATGGTTCTAACCCTAACAATCATTGGCATCAGGTACATCTTCATTACAACACCTGCTTTGTGGTTTATCTGACCCCAGGGCATGTCATGTCAGCGACACAGCTAATTTAAACAGTTTTTGCATCACTGTATTTATTCATGGTAACAGTGAGACATCAGCACCACCAAGAGGCCACACAACAAAAAAATATGTCATCACTCCCATCTAGTACTGTGAATAAAAAATAAATCTCAGGTCTCAAATGTATAAGAAAAACTAGTAGCACTACATGGCCCCATCTAATTGAATGTGGAAAAAGTCTTTTTTTTTTACACATTGGAAAAATTTGTCTGGGTAGAAACTCCCGCCCTGGGTGAAACGGCTTTATACTTCTCCCATGGCTTCCATCAGAACCAACTATACCCACTATTGTTTGCTACCGCTATTAAGCTGCGAGTGATTGTACTCAGAATGAGAATTTACTTTATTGTCCAAGTAGGTGTACACACACGAGGACTTTGACTCGATTTTATTAATCTTAATCTTAGTGTACACTCTGGTCAGACTCTTAAAGAACTGGCCAACCAGATCTGACATTGAACAGATAGTTCCCCCCTCACGCAAAGCTTCTGTATGTCTCCGCAAACCTGTCAGCGTCTACCAGCTGCTCTCAGAACAGTTACTTTACGGTACAGTTCTGTATTCAAATTATAGATCTCTGTAAGGCCTAATAACACCTGTAATTAGCCTCAACATCCTTTCCCTGTCAAGAGGCTGCCACTCATGCCCATATGGTTTGGTCGTGACCTCTGCAATTACTAAAAGCTCTGATTGACCAACTGTTTAATCAGGCAGAAACAGCAGAGCGACAGAAGGACGACCACCTAACCGATACAATCACATATTTTTCAAAAGAGAGAAAAAGAAAGTTTACAAGCTTTATGAGGTGAGACAAGTTGCGTTTACAGGTCCTTCTGATCTAATTAATACTGCTTTAAAATAATTTGAGCGGTTGAAATGTTGGGTACCAATCAGCTGACCACGGTCAGAGAGATCATTGTCATGACAAGCTGCATTGTGTCCTGTATTTTCCTTATCTGTGCATGTAGGTAATTTTCATTTTAATACAATATTACAGGCTGTGCGTGTGTTTCCTTTTGAGAGTTTCTCCAGGTCACATATTGTTAACATAGAGGTCCAGTAAAAAACAGGAGAACATGTGCTGCAACAGGGTTTAAAGTCCAATGCAGAAATATAGGCCTGAGTGTCAATATTAACACAACGGGTTTTAGTCACTTTCTTGATATGAATAATTAGAAAGGGCCTCTGGCTTGGGGAGAGAAATGTCCAGCCATGGATCCTGGTGTTGTTCTAGGGAGGTAAGGACTCTCTGGCTACTGCAGGTTGGGATACTTCAGGCAGAACCGGTCGAATGTATCGTATATGGCCCGTCTGCAAAGAAAACAGATCTACAGTCATTTTTATAACAACAACGAGGAAGAAAAATGTGACACAACAAAGACCGGCTCGTATCAAAGTGAACGTAAGCCAGCCGGGGGATTTGACCACCTCAAGGGAGTCGTTTTCCTCACGACACATAACAATAACAAACACAAGATGTATGTGTGCTTTTTCACAAGCTACCTGCTCTAAATCCAGGAGGTCCTAATTGAGAACTATTAAAGCGATATGGTGAGAATACTTATATGACCACATGGTTACACTGGGCCCCGTTCCTCGTACATGGCTAACAGAGAAGGACGAGAGGAAAATAGTAGGAAAACATCAGGAAGATACTAACAAAGTTACTGAAAGTTCCTGGTCTGTGAGGGTATGAGGGTCCTCATCACAAGTTATATAGATAGTCAATGAGTCATGGAATATTTAGAACATAGTTACAACTGCAAAGAATGAATCCAAAACTGTTCAGCTGACCCGTTTTTGAATATGCAGAGGAAGGAGGCTGGAAACGAGAGGACGGCTGCCTGTGTGTTACAATGTTCTACTGAAATAAATAAGCGCAAAGTGACTGGCTTCCCAAATGATTGAATCATCTGGCTTTGGGGGATGTAGTCGTTGCCAATCATAAGGCCAAGTGCAGTGAGGCCTGCTGGTGAAGGTGAAGTTTGGGTTAGATTTCCTTAATCTACAGTGATTCATGATGGTAGTTTACCTGAAGACATTCTGTTTGAACAGATAGGCGCTGATGTGTCCTCCATTCAGATATCGGACTTCACATCCTGGCCAGATCTCTTGCAAACTGAGGACCCCTGCACGAGGGATGTAGGCATCCTCTTTGGCCTGTACGCCGATGATGAGACTGGTGTCTACAGGGACTAAGACAAAGGGAAGGACACGTGCAGTTTATTTCTGTAAACATGCCACTGGGACACACGAGCTGGACATAATAATGAGGACCATTATTCAGCTCCGCTTTGAGCAAGTGTCAGAAAACAAAAACCCATTAGGCTTGACTCCACTGGTTACCAGATAGGAAGAATTTACTCAAGAGCACTTCATGGTTTCACACTTGTATTGCTCAATCACCGATCTCCTGAGCAGGGAAAGCAGGGACTCCCTACCAGTCAACAACTTCCCTTTAGCTATACAGGTGCCTGTGTTCCACTGTCTCTGGCCTTGCCTTTCCGGTACGTGGCTTCTACCCCTGGGATCAACTTGTCCTTGGATAAAGTCAGAGATGAGATCATCTTTGGTCCTTTACGACTGGAATGCCCAGACTTTTCAGGCTAACCTGTCCTTCAAAGACATCCACTCACTCACATGGCGTCAGTTTGGATATGTAGCTTGTAGAGTATGGCCGTTAAAACAGATACTAGCTGCTTCTGTTTTGGGTAAGGACCGATCTTCCAGCAATATCAGACTTGCACTAGTTTTTTCAGAGGCTTTGAGGATAGCCGCAACAGCGATGAGATACATTCCTCTGGTTATATTGGCTTTCGTGTGTCATATTTGTGGTAGCAATGAGAAACATTTGCATATTGGTCGGTCTGCATTCAAACTTACCAGAGAAGTTGGCCATGTGTGTGCATTCGTCCATTACTGCCTTCATGAAGCTTATCGACTCTTGATGTAACGATGGCCGATAGCACTTGGATGAATCACTCTTCTTCCCATGGAGTGTGTTGTTTGCATGAAGGCTTCTAGGAAATCAGTAATAATAAACTAAGCCTCACATAATGACTTAAACATATCCAGCAACTTTCATTCTAAACAACCAATTGCTTACCTTGGTTGAGTGCCCAACCTCATTCCAGTGTTGTGGAACAATTGGTCCCCTCTGGTCCCGCCCCCCTCAAGGCCTGCACCAATCAACTTATCCAGTCCAGCCTGAGCTTCCCATCCTGCTTTGGAGGTCTCACCCACTGACGCGCTGACATCTCCAGACAGACCTAACAGATGCTCCAAAGAGTCCACAGGCTTTGGAAAGTCTGGACCCATCTTAAAGGAATCCGCCTGATGAATGTGGATGCAGGCAATGTTTGGATTAATCCTCATGTGTTTGGTAAATTCTCCAACAGAATCCTCATTGCTGCTCAGGCTTTGGCTCAACACATATTCAAGACATATAATGTGGTCAGTGTCATTTCATGATGACATGAGACAAAGAAAAGATGAATACTGGGAGCATTTGTGAGGCCTTCTAGTAGTAACCAATACATTGTCCCAGTCGTTACCCTACCCTTATATTAGGGGGGGGGCTCCCAAGCCCCCCCTAAAAGGTCAGGCTAATACTAGGTATGAGGAAGTAATACAAAGTAGAAGGATGACAAACCCCACAGTAGTCCAACAGCTTGATGATCTCCTTCTCATAGACTGAGTTAATGGCGTACTGCTTCTCCAGCTCGGTCCAGTTCACTGCTTTGCTCAACACTCCCTAAACACACACACACAAAGGGTCATACCTAAAGGGGGACAATATGTGATTGAAAGCAGTTACACCCAAGGAGCCACACTTCTGTTTACTTAAACTAAAATAAAAAAAGAAGTAGAAGATCAGAATTGGTTTTCGGAGGATTGCAGTAGAACCGAGTCAAAATTCTTCAGAGGCGAGGTTCATATTTACCATGGCCATCCTGAAGATAAGAGATACGAGACAGGGAGCATTTCCATCCTCTCAGCATGGCAACGCCTGAGCTGGAGGGTGGGTGCTGTATCTGAGAGCTGATCTGACCAGAGGGCCCGCTTACATGGACCAATACGCACTTGTAGTGCGAAAGGGGAAAGCAAAGCAGTGCTGCTGTTTGACAGACGGAAAGAGCCTTACTGTGGTGAAGACACTAGAGGCAGTGGACCAGGACAAACAGGGAATCAGAGGGATGGGCTTCGGCCAGTTGGTCACTGCTAGGGACGCCATCTGGACACAAAGACACACAGGACATTTTGGGATCGGACTCTGTAATTCTGAAAGTGCCGTTTTGATGACTCACATATCCTCCCATGGAGATTCCAGTCATTCCTAGAGGCCAGTAACCTTCTCTCTCCAGCCACCGGAGGAGCACTGTAGACTCCAGGATCAGAGCCCCTCCCATCACAAACAGGTCGGACACGTTCTTCAGACATGAGCGCCTGGAATACAAATCATGGTGCTGTTTACTATACACCTTATTCATCCCAGCTGTGAAGAACAAGTCCAATGAATTTCCATCTTAGTATGCGATCTTCTATGGACTATAGTCTTATACACTGAGCAGTTTGTCCAGCAGCAGTAATTTGCCTGAATTGGGGGTGTGGATTCGCAACACATTACAGGAGTGCACCTTTAACATCTGTGCAGCTGTAAGCACCAGCATAGACACATGTGGACACAACACTCAGTGATGAGCCGGCAGCCGCCACAGGTAGAGATGAATGTGGGTTGGGTCAGCACAATGGAGTGGTGGAAGGATTGAATCTTTCAAAGATTCTACATCTGTCAGGCTGTCCTGTATTTAGTACATCCCCAAGAAAGTCTGAAATTAAAAAAATAAAATTGTCCCCCCCCCCCATCTCTACAAAAACTCTTTTCTGTCGCACTGCATTTGTGCCCGAACACATGCGCCTATACACGGAAACGTGCACATGCTCAAGAGGACAGAGAGCGCGGGTCCCACCTGGTCTACAACCAGTTCTTCATAGCCCTAAATGAAACATCTGGTTCTCCCTAAACAAAACATCTGGATGTTGCTGGCTGGCGGCTAGTTTAGGAAGCGCTTCATTTGATATGCAGAGGAGCTTTCTGTGAGCACAGCATACTTTTAGACCACAATACACTCAAGTCTTGACTATAATTTCATTCATGTCTATAAAAAAAGACATTGTATATCCATTCTGCAGTAGGTAGCCTTTTCATTTAACGTCTCATATATGAAACTGAAATCTGGCTCTCATCTACATCAGTGTGAAATTAAAGCCAAAACACTTATTAACCGACTAGTTTATTGATGTGTGCGCATGGAAGTGAACTTACAGTTGGTCTTTGGGTTTACGATAGCCATGTGAAAGGTCAGTCAAGGAATAAAACCATGTTTCCAGACAGCAGACATTATATAACAACAAGATGGCCACAGGGTGGAATTCTGATTTCTGAATTCTTTCCTCAAGTCAGTTCCATGTGTGTGCCTGGTGCACCAACATTAACACATTACACATTGATTCATATACTTACTCCTCATTATCGCTATTGTGTTCCATAATCATGGATGGTGATTCTCTTTTCTAGTCTACAACCACTCTGAGCGACCATACCCCCCGACACCTGCCCATCGGGACTATCCAACATGTATTCATTCACACACCGGGCTACTGTGGGCAAGTAGTCCTCCAATCAGATTGGCAGTTTGACCCCAGGTCCTGCTTACCCACACGTCGATGTCCTTGGGCAAGCCACCCAACCGCAACACTGCTCCTGTAGCTGGGACTACAGTGTGTCAATGGTGTGAATGCTAGTTACTGATGGACAGGTGGCACCGTGCATGAGTGTGTGAATGATGACCCCAAGTGTTTGCGCTTTGACTGGTCAGATTTAGCATTTACACTGCAGGAACAGCTACTTTTGAGGTGAACACTAGCCGGGCAGGTATCAAGCAGGTGTGAAAAAGACAAAAGAAGGATATAATACGGGTTCTCCAGAAGCAGCGAAGCCATTCCTGCCTCTTTGACCATGGGCCTGGCCATCAGGGTCCGCCGACGCCAGAAAAACTACACGCACACATACACACAGTAATAATGCTTACGGGTCAGAGAGCACAGAGAGAGAAGATAAAGTTCAAGTTCAATGATCTGTCAAACTGTTTCCAGTGGCAAAAGAAGACCAATGTAAGTGAATATTAGTTAATATCAAAGTCATTATTCATACAAAAACATGTGAATAGGAAGGAACATCAACAATAGAAATGAAAGCAGTATCAGAAGGTTAACTGCAGAATCAGTATTGGTGGTATGGCTTGTATGATTGTGTTCTTGGTACATGCTGGTGGTAAAAGGTTCAGTCTTACATGGTCTCCGGTCCCTGCCAAGTGGATGCATACTGGTCTGTTCTTCTGCCACCTCTTGGGAACTATGAATTGGAACCTGAAACACACACACACACACACACACACACACACACACACACACACAGGAAAATAAGCTGCTTAGAGCTGGTGTTAGCACCAGTTTTCCTAAAGCTACATTTTTCCTGAGGACTTTTGAAGAAGTCCTGTTGATGTTAACGTTATCTGTTAGCTCACTTAGAAGTAAGACTGTGCAGAGACTCTGTGCTGAGGTCCCTCTGACCAACTTGCTCTTAAGATCTTCCACACCGTCGTCAAGTTGCTTGTGCCGATGACGTTACTCCGATGATCATAGGACTGCAACAACAAATCGATGAAATCGATAAAATTTGATTGTTGTGGCCACGATTAATTTATATAATAATATTAATTAAACAATCATTTCATTATTGGTTGGTTGTGTAGTGCGATTATTACGACCCTCAATACGCAGATGATGAGTATATTTTTTCTCTGTGCGGACTGGTACGGTGTTTGGGGACCACTAGTGTAGATAATGTGTTCTATCAAATCCTATTACGGCAGCGGTTCCCAAACTTTTTTTCCTGCGCACCCCCTTCCATGTCTCAACCGGGTTGGCGCACCCCCAATTCACACTTTTAAAAAAAACGCAACAAAACTTTGTTTTATCGTCATATAGACTCATGTTTAAACATGCGCAAATAACCACAGCATGCATGACAATAACAACATCAACACAAGCTGAATTAAAATGCAATGAATTACAAACGATCCACAACATTAAAAAGAATAGGCTCCGAAATAGATAAAATAAATAAAAACGGAAACTTCAAGTGCGACAATAAAATTAGCCTACACACGATCCACAACATAATTAAGTAACAAAGGGCGGCTCAAACTAAATTAAAAGACAATAAAAGAGAATCCATCTGGAAGTCTAGCGCAAAAGTCGCTCAGCCTGCAGAGAGAGAGAGAGAGTGAGTGAGGGAGAGAGAATGTGTTAGTATTCCCAACACCCATGTTAATGCGACGGGTGGGCTTGCATCTTGGCACAAAGCTCTTCAAAGTTTGGCTCAATGGAAGACAGTTTAAGCCGCAATTCCTTCTCAACATCATCCAGTCTTTGCCGATGTTTAGTTTTAACTGCTGCCATAGCAGAGAAACCAGCCTCGCAGAGATAAGTTGTGGCGAAGGGCATCAAAACTCTCAAGGCTTGCTTTGCCAAGACTGCGTATGATGTCAGTGACTCGGTCCAAAAATCCACAAGTGGCTTTCGTTTGAACTGTAACTGCAGTGCTCCATCAGATGACAGCTCGATCAGCTGCTCCTGCTCGTGAAATGACAGCTGTGGGACGGGCAGGGAAACTTCAAATGGATTGCGAATCCAAGCGCCAGATGTGTCCATAGGTGGAAAGTGTTTCCGTAGCTGCTCGGCGAGTTGGTTGAGGTGTTCAATTATGAGCGTTTTTACATGCTCACCCAGGTGCACGTCATTTTCCCCCAAGAACTCGTGAAGCGTAGGGAAACACAGGTGTGTGTTCCCACTCACACAACTTGCCCAGAACCGTAGCTTCTTTATCATGGCCTCAACCCTGTCTTGTGTGTTGAACACAGTTACACTGACTCCCTGCAGACTTAGATTGAGTTCATTCAGAGCTGAGAAGATGTCCGCTAGATAGGCGAGCCTTTTCAGAAAATCTTCGTCATGCATACTGGAGGCCAAATGAAACGGATTCTCCTCAAAAAACTGCTGCAATTCGTGCCGGAGTTCAAAGAGCCTTGTCAGCACTTTGCCGCGGGACAGCCAACGCACCTCTGTGTGCAGCAGCAGTGATTTGTGTTCGCTGCCCATCTCGTTACATAACAGTGTGAATATTCGTGAATTTAGTGGACAAGCTTTAATGAAGTTCACCAGTTTGACTGCGTCGTTCAGCGCTGCAAGTAGATCAGCTGGCATGTTTTTGACTGCGAGGGCCTCTCTGTGAATACTGCAGTGTGACCAGCTGATGGATGGGCAGACTCTCCTAATATGAGCTATAAGCCCTGTGTGTTTCCTTGTCATTGATTTTGCCCCGTCTGTGCAAATTCCCACACAGCGCTCCCAGTCAATGCCATTGGTCCTCATAAAAACGTCAATTAAATTGAAGATTTCCTGTCCGGTTGTTTGGGTAGCAAGGGGCCGACAGAACAAAAACTCTTCTTGTACCGATCCTTCAAAAAGGTAACGGACATAGAGAAGAAGATTGGCCAGATTTGCAACATCTGTAGACTCGTCTACTTGCAGAGAGTAAAACTCACTTTTCTTCACACGGCTGAGTAGTACAGCCAGGATGTCTTCAGACATGGCATCAATGCGGCGCGACACAGTGTTATTGGACACAGGAATCATGTCCAACTTTTTTGCCTCTTTCTCTCCAATCATACACTCCACCATTTCTTTGGCCGCTGGCAAACACACGTCTTCGGCCATTGTGTGCGGCAGCCCCTTTCTCCCTAGTCTGTAACTGAGCAGATATGAAGCCCGTAGTGCGTCTTTCGTAGACCCAACGCATGAATGAAACTGCATTTTCTTTTGGCTTTTCTGCAACTCCTCCAATTTCACTTTAAAAAATGTAAGGGGCTTGTGACTTAAATGGCCATGTTTCGTGTGCATGTGACGACGGAGATAAGATGGCTTCAGACAGCTGTTTGCTAGAACCTCACTGCACAACACGCACTGCGGCTTCGGACAATCTGTATCGCCAATCCAAGTGAAGCCCAGACCCAGATAATTGTCATCATATTTTCTTCTTTTTTTTCCCGTCTGGTGTTCACCCTCATCACTTCTTTTTTGGCATCTCCTACCCTGCTCTTCGGTTTCCTCCCGTGCATCTTCTGACTCCCGCTCATTTTCTGTCTCTATCCTCTCCGTCTCTGTTGCCTCCAAATCCTCTCTCTCTCTTGGTCCCTCTCCTCCTTCGTGAATAATAACTTTATTATAAGACGTCCCACTTGACAGTTTCCCTGATTTCAGCCAGTTAAGCATATTTACACAATCAACGAGTTGGCGCGCATATTGCCTAGCGGCTGCAGTGTATGGAAGAAGAGCATGCGTAGAAGAAGACAGCTGCTGTCTTCTTCTACGTTTCTATCAAAAAATAATATATTATAGTATTTATATTTAAAATAAAAGCGATTACAAAGGAAATGTTTACTTACTTTCATGCTTTTTTATTGTATGGAAAAATCCTTTTATATATGTCAATGAAAAAATCCCACTTAAAAAAAACTGACCGCCATTATATTTTTCCTCTCGCGCACCCCCTGGTGGCAGCTCGCGCGCACCACACTTTGGGAATGGCTGTATTACGGTATCGGATTTGTATTTTTCTTTATTTTTTTTAGAAATATTCATTATTCGTACAGCTGAGGCCCGTTTCAATAAAAATGATACATCTTTTTGTGCCCTTTATTTACAAGAGCCTATGTATTTGTCAGATGTAAAGCTAGTTGCAGCCCTAGATGATTAGCAGAAAAACAGCGGCTTCGCTGACAGGCCGATCACGGTACGTGTCTCTAGTAGAACCTTTTTTTTCCCCGTTTACATTTGTCCGCCTCACGCTGCGCACGGCGGTTCCGCCCCGATGGACACACCCCCACGCTCCTCGGTTTTTTATTTTATTATTATTTATTGTTATTTTGTTCTGTTTATCTGCCACACCTTCATGACCGGATCGCAAAATATTGTCCACCATGAAATCGGTCCGTGAGGCAAAAAAGGTTTGGGCCGGCTGGCGAGCAGAGGATGACATCATGTTCTGTACCTGGCTTTGACAGACTCTGGAGGCAGGATTCCAGGAACCAAGTGCTCCAAAGGAGAGAAGAAGAACCCATCGTGGATGTGACAGTCAACATGCTCCTCGGTCTGGACACACACACACACACACACACGCACACGCACGCACGCACGCTTCTGTGAGAATACAAAGGTAGCTACACTAGTGAGCAATGAGGATAGAACACATGGAGTACCTTGTTTATGTAAACTGGATAGTCTTCTGGCAAAAGAGCCTTGCACTTCTCTCGGTTTCCAATGATCTTACGGAACTCAAAGATTCTGTAAAAGACCAGGAAGGAAGAACACATCAGTTCATCAGTTCCATCACAGATTCCACAACAGCATTGAACTGGTCGGACCTCAAATCTACATCAATGTACATTATCACAAAGCGGACTCATTTCACGCTGAAAAATGAAATTGCCCGAGAACAACCTCACGGAAGTGATATATGACTATTTTCTGTCATTGTACAAGCAAACAGAATTGATTACAGCGGGTAATTGGGGCATGTAGCGCATTATACTGGACCAGGGACATGCTGGTGGGACAACATCTCCCAGCTTCCCACGGCGCACTGGGAGATCCTCCAAGAAGCTGTATGTGATGACAAGCCTCCGTACTCTCCTGGTATCTCTAGCTGTATAGTGTTCTGGTTTCGGTCCGTACCTCTTGAGGTCCTCAGGCTTCCCCCATCCCCCAATAAAGAGTTTGGAGAGGAGCAGCCTTCTGTAAAATACATCCAGTCGGCTCACCCCCATGGGCCAGGACCTAGCATCTGCAGAGCAACAGACAGCGTGTGTTATCTGCCACGCGGTGTAGCAGAAGAGCAGAAAGAAGTCAGACTCTGGTGCGTCCTTGTGTGCACAACACCTGAAGAAAAGTGGCTCATGGTACTTTCGTCACAGTAGTTGGTCTCAAGCACAGCTCGGTTACCCTGACATGAAGTCTTTCCTGTGGAGGCGCTGGCCATGTTATCTGCCTAGAGGATGCCTGTGCTGTATTGGATTCCTTCTGAATCTAAAAAGATAACAATCGCGGCCTTTCCTGGAACAACCATGTGTTGCACAATGATAAGAAGTTAACCTTGAAGCTGAAATAACAATCATACCCTACTTTATAACATACACACAACCTGTATACACAACACAACTAGAGAATCAGTCGTTAACAAACAGTGCTGATTTGAATTTACCACACAGACAAATGCTGTGAACTCACTGCAGCCCCAGCTGTTACCCCCAACAGACCAGAATCCACCCATCTTTGTCCTTGGGGAGAGTTATCGGGTCAACGCTAGGGGCCACATACAAGTGGTTTACATGGAGTGAACGCTCGGAACCTGCTGTGTCAGCTCTGTGTGTTCAGTCTGCCTAGTGAGAAATCTGAAACAAACAGGTTTCAGATTCACGTGCATACAAGCTCAATTATGAATCAGAAGAGTAGATTTCATTTGTAAATGTGACCACGTCGCTGCACTTCAAAATCATTTTGAAAACATCACTTTGGGGGAATAATGACATGAAGTGTTAAAGTCCTTTTAGTGTTTGGAAGATAAGATTTGCCATTTATTAGTTATAAAACATTTATTTTCAATAAACAAATTAGTTCCGATTACTTCTATGTTAATTAAAATGATTGATGGTAAATGTTTCAGGAGGAATGAAAAGGACCTCGTCGTCTTTCTCTTTGCAGACATGAGGTAGAACGAGAACTTCAAAGTTACCACATTTCAAATGTGGTAAACATTACATTACAGGTCATTTAGCCGACGCTTTTTAACCAAAGCGACAAACATTGCATTTTTAAACCCTGGCTTTTACATTCTTGCCCAAATATGAGATGACGTAAAGACTTTGCTTTCTCATCATATAAAGCACATTTAATAGCGCGAACATAACTCCTTCATGGATGGAATCTAGTGATATTAGTCCGGACAGTGTAGGACTTTATTGTTGTGGTAGCTTCTAACGGAACGAACATTAACGTTAAATGGTGAATGATGTAAGATGCTACTTTGAAAGCTGATCCAACTAACGTTACACGAAGTTACATAATGGACCAATGTCAATCATTAACTACGGCCTCGAATTCAAAGTAACAACGCGTAGCCGCATTTAAGCGCTATAGTCGCATGGCTGCTCTTCGTGAGAGGGGTGCAGGAACACCAAGGCACCTTGAGAGGAACCAAGGACTTTTCCGCGACCCAAGTGGAACTCGGCTAACAGAGCTAACGGAACTAGCCGCGATCCTCGGCGCTTTCACGCCGAACAGCGACGGCCGCGCGGGCAGTGCGCGGGTCGGACGGACGCGGGGCGTCGGCGTTACCTCACGCGCTACACGGACGCGTTCTCCTGCTCGACGTCTTCGCACCTCCAACAGCTCGCTGCCTCTGGTCCTCAAGAGGACGAACGACTTGGACGACAAGCGCGTGTCAAGCTGCACGTACGCACCCAGACACGTGCGCCGCGACTTCCGGTTACACAAGTACTCTGTATATGTAAATGGATTTAACGGAACCCGGTAACGCCAACACCTGTAATACTTTCCTATCATTTTGTTCCTGTTCTAGTTAATTAATGGGCGTTGTTCTAGCATCCGAACGCTAGAACTGTCTGTCCCTTCACCGTTAGATGGTTTGCCGTGTAGTTATGTGTAAAAAGACGTCGTGATGAACTTGCTGTGAACCTCTCAGGGCTCAATGTAGTCTAGTTACATTTAAAAACAAAACACTTTCCAAACCGTAAAATAAACCGTGCGTTTGGCGGACAGAGACCAGGGCAGCGGATCCAGGTCCGTGTGGGATGAGCTGGTTGCTGAGGAAGCCAAACATTTACAAGGACTACGTAGAAATGGCCAATTGTTTGGTTTGCGGGTCTCAGCATCGTTACAGTATCCAATGGAGCCATTTTAAAGTTCCTCACAGATCTAAAACCTTGAGTGAATACATACCTAGCAATTATGTAAAAACAAACTCAGCAATTGTAAAAAAAAAATATTTTATATTAGTTCTTACTAAATAAAATGTGTCAAATAAACGTGGGGGTGACAAGCGAACCCTAGACCCCATGAAGAGGGCATGTTACTGTAAGCTAATAAGAACAATACACATGGATTTTGATCAGTTTCTGAACACAGAATTTACTTAGCACATGGTTTGTTCAGTCTCTTTATTTCCCGATGACAGTGTAAGGGGAAAACACACAACACAGCAGAAACACGGGCTTCCACGCATCCTGCCATATATTTCTATTAAGACTCACTGAAAAAAATGATACAACGAAGGACTGTTGAACCCAAACTGGTAAATTACTTAGAGGAACAGCACGCAATCAGCTGTAGTGTCAATAAACTCATCGGGTTGTTTTGGCAATACTGTGGTGTGGTCCTTGGGTTGGTGACCTTCTCATACCAACGAACATAAGGATCAGAATTGTGAGCAACGTCCGTCCACTTCCTGGACTGATCACAACAGAAATGAAGACTAGCCCATGTTGTGGCGGTTTCCATAACCTCTGCGATGAGTGTCCCTCCACTCATCCCAGTTTCTGGCTCTGAGCAGAGACTCCTCATCATCATTTTCAGCATTCTTCTCTTTATCTTGTTCTTCCCTCTCTTTTGCATCTGTGTCCTCCTCCACATCGACCCTCCTGGGAATCCCCTGGTCTGGCATAGCTCCACGGAGCCTGTGCTGTTCATACCAGTCGTCCACCGTCATGGTGGGGAGGCTGGGATAACCGGCCCCGAACACTCGAGCCTGTGGATGAAAGCAACACATTCGATCACACTTTGTCGCCCAGCATGTTGCTGAAACTACGACCATTACTGCGGCCCAGTACACAGGCTGGAACCTGCCACGTTTGATGGGGATGTACTGGTTTAATGCAACCCTATCCACAGAGGTCCTGCTGCAGTGCTCTCATATCAGCTTCCTGACTTGCTTTACCTCTCAGCTTCCAGTAATCTGGGTCACTCTGTCCTCTTCAGGTTCTTTGAATGGGCACTGAGGGGTTTCATAGTTGCTCATTGCGCACAATTAACCTGGCTAACAGTCTGTGACGTCTTTCAACTCAACGGCTGCAGAGATGAAGCGATTCATCAACATTAGGCCAGTACATGTTTAAACAAATTGGACCTGCCGACTGATCCTTCTCTACTTGTATGCTACTTCTGCAACCATTGGCGGGCTCTAGTTGGTAGTTTTGTCATTGTAGTGCTTCCATCAGAAGTCTCACCTGAACCGCATCCTTGGTGAGAATAAAGGGTTTCATGGGAGGCCTGACTGGCTGGGCTGGCTGCTTGGCGGCACCCTGCTTCAGCCCATCCATCTGCTGGAGTATCTCCATCTCCTGGTCAATGCTCTCTATTTCCTCCAGACACACAGTCACCCATCTCCTGGCATTCAGATTGTAGAAGTCTCTGCTGACTTCATCGTCGGCCTGTCCGCTGTCCACAGCCTTCCTCACATCTGACAGCCGGGCTTCAAGCTCCTTCCTCTGGCGGTACCGCTCAATCTTCGCTTGCCTCTGTGCTGCCATGGAAACCAGATCTGATGGGCAGGGTTTAGGCTGAAACATGAAGCATGCATCACAAGTCAGAGTATGACATTTTGATAGATTCATTTAATTAAAGACACTTGTTAACATTTCCAATGTTTTCACCAAACATATCTTGGGAGTTTTTTTTTTTACTTTCTGCTCTGCTCAGTCTGTTGGGCTTTAGGTGTGAATTATTTTCTATTATTTAGCCTCTACTATTATTTATAATGTCTAGAATACACAAGTGAGTTGTATGTAAAATGTACTTTCAGATTACCTTAAATGATGAAATTACAAATTTAAACATTTTCAGGTGGTTTTGTTAAGAGTCAAACAAAATATGGGTGTAAGAGATTGGAATAAATCGTTGATGTACCGCTAAATTCCCGGTGTTCGTTTATTCATTCATTTCAGGGGGATCTCTGTTGGTGGTGACTGTCTTCGGGCAGACAGCTAGTAGTGAACGTAACTGACGCGGTGACACACATTTGTATGGTAGAATAACACAATTGCACACGCGCTCACCGGCACCGCGGCTGTAGACGAGCCCGTTTCTGACGCATCGTCGGGAGTTTCCTTTTCATTGGTCAAGCGCGGCAGTTCAAAGCGGCTCATGTTATACTCTTTACATCGTTTCAGGAAGTCCATGAAGTGTCCCCGGGCCGTTCGCACCACCTCCAGGCGTTTGTCCCGGCCGGTCTGCTTCATGGTCAGGGCTCCTAAGAGCGCGGGCAGCAGCAGGTACTTGAGGTCGGCCGTGGCGATCTCCTCGAGCTCTTCGTTGCGGCTGAACAGGTCGAGCAGGGCCACCATTGAGGACGCTTCTTCCAGCATGCCGATGCCGCGTTTGACTCGGACCTGGATGCTGCTGGAGGCGAGCGGTTCGTTTGTGCTGTCCACCTCCTCAAATATCTTCCACCCACGTTCGAGCAGGTCAGAGAGTTTAGAAGGCTGCGCGGCTGAAACGTCGTTGGTGTTGTCATGTTCCGCCATCTTGTTGTAGTTTCTGGGTTGGTTCTTCTTCGTGTGTTTGTTGAACAGGCGCAAGGAACTGGACTGCCGACTAGAGGCAGAACACTAAAGCTGCACTCGAAGGTCCAATAGTTCCGAACATTTTGAGTGTCCAATATACTGTTCAACTTGACCACAATCTATTCATATTTCTTTATATCATAATATATTATATAACATTGCTTTTCTGTGCAGCCAAACAATGCAAGAAATAGATCCCACCATGAGGAAGTTAAGGCACTTTAATATTACAAATATCATCTCACATCAAACATTCTCTCCTGGAACAACCGGTGTTGTTCTTTTCCCCCAAACTTAGATAGGATATTACAGGACCCGTATAAGATGTTACCACAATGAAACCCTGGATGAAATAACTGCTTCCACTTAAATATCATATGTCGTTTCAGCCACACACAAACATCAGAACAGAGCACATGGCCGGTTCAAAACAGAAGGTTACAGAAATGTATGTCCAGTAGCAGTTGCACTAGAAAACTATTCCAGTTTGAACTTAGAAAACACCTTTTGGCGTAGGGCAGGTTAGAATGCACACTGGTGATGGCAAAGGTTGAGTCTTTGTAAAGGAAGGCACAATGTGTGTGTGTGTGTGTGTGCACGCACACATTTGGCACAACAGATTAGAAGACAAAGCAAAGGGAAAAGTAGCGTTGCCGTGGGCAGCACCCTGCTGGTTGACAGCAGTTTGAGGAGTTTCCTGTTCATACTTTTTGTTGGAGGGTGCCAGTTTGCATTAACTCATCAGGAAGCTGCAGCAGAGACAAGAAGACGTTAAGCATACGAGAGACAAGGAAACACCTCAGCCAATAGCAGGTCAACCAACATCGTGTCTCTACCTGTATGGGTATCCATGGTACTTTGCTCTGAAGACGGACAGGAGCCAGCTAAAGAACAGCATCACCAGACCAATACCTGCTACACACATTACTGAAACACACACACACACACACACACACACATTTCTATGCTTGTGTCGAGGAATACATGCATTGCTTATCTATTCAGGAAGGTCATGAGCAAATTGTTAGATTTCAACATTAGTGTTAAACTGTCAGAAGTCACTACCAAAACCAAACTCGTCCCCCTAACGCTGCCAGTCAACATTTGGATATTCAAATATTGATGTAGAATAGCCATGGAAAATAGGAAGAATCAGTATGTGTGTGTGTGATTGGACATACTCTTCCTCTTTCCAATGTCAAGATCAGAGGTAGCGGCCTCACACAACAGCACCATTCCCATGGTAACAGCAGCATCTGACAGGAGGGTCAAGGCTTTCAACGATTGGATTTGATGCCTAACGTTAGTCTACTCAAGCCACTGGAATTCAAAAGCTACAACCAACAAGGAGCCAATTGTGTAGACCTACAGTGGTGAGGGTTTTACAACAAACAATAGAACACAGCTGGAGGGTCAGAACCGAGAGCCTGGCTCTGATCGTCCAGGGATAAGTTTAGCATGTAAGGATACTGAAGAGGAGGACGATGTGCGTCTCAGCCACAAACTGGGCCTGACTGCTGCCGTGGATGTAGCTCTAAAAAACACACACACGCACACAGTCAAATGCTATTCTGATGTTCGTTCACACACAAGGGATGTATTGGGAATAGTGTGTTTCTGTCTTACCACTTGACCGGTGCTGGGATTCTTGTGTGCATACGGTGGTCCTCTAATGTGGTTCCACATCTGGCCTGAGGTCATGATAAGGACAAAGCACTGAAACATAGAAAGCCATCATAACCATCAAGGTAGGGCTGGGCTATATGGCCCAAAACCATACCACGGTATTTTGTATGATTCTGGCACTTTCATGGTAGATCACAGTATTTTTTTAATTGTATTTTTTAAAGCGTAAACACATTCATGTATTCACGCGAAAATGGACCACACACAAAAGGAAAGGTTGTTATTGTCAAAAGATAACCAACTTCCAATATCTCAAAGTATCTTTTATTCATTGTAGAAAATAGCGATCGTTATTGATGATGACCACACCTTGTGAATAAAGTGACTTACTCCTTCCTGTACCAGCAGTACAGAAATTCTGTTCCTCCTTCAAGCCAGGATTATTGTCCATGTTAATCAGTGTGACCAAGAAACGGAAAACGCTGCATCTCTCCAACCATCCGTTCTTTTCCCACAGCAAAAGGGGGACCTGAACTGCGTGCCTCTGCCTCTCTGGTTCAGAAACTTTGGCTCGGGGGCCAACGTCTACTTCTCACCCTTTAAAAGGGTCGGCAATAATTGCTAGCTCGGCAATAACCTCCATGTGGTCATACAGAACTGATGTGTGACGGCTGTTGTTACCAGTGCAGAGAACGCCCAGACGTTCTTGTTGAACAAAAACTCCAGATTGTGTCTTCGCAAATATGCCAGGCCTCCAATCACAGCCAAGAGGAAGCCCAGCAGAAGAGGCCCTGCGTAGTTGGGAGGACGAATGATACGGATCTGAAAAACAGACAAACATGACTATCATTTTAGTGCTGATTGGGATTGTTCAATTCAGAGCCAATGTTATTGGGATATTTCCTCAGAGCAAACACAACAATGGATCCCATAATTACCTGTACATCAGTCCTGTCTGCCACCCATCTAGCCAGCTGCTCTGCTGCAAAGCCTCTGACCTGCAGCTCATAGGTGTCAGTCTTGCGAGGTTTCCCTTTGGCTGGGAAGTGGAGGAATGTCGGAGCAGAATTCATGCTAAGCTGAAACACATACACAGAAAATACAGTCAAAACACAGAACTCATAGATATGCACTTTGATACGTAAGAGGGGTGGTGCAATGGCCAGTTGGGAGTTCGGTGCCTTGCTCAAGGGCTCTTTTTCAGTGCCCAGAAGGAGAACTGGCACCTCTGTAGCTTCCTTTCCACACTGCTTCCAAAGTCCGCACAGTGCCGCAGGATTGGAGGTCTGCAGTCAAACACTGCGTCGGCTCACTGTGCCGACCAGCTCGGCTATTGTGAAGAGTTGGTCTGCCGATCAGTGACGACAGTGGCTTCAATGTTATGGAGCCAAATCCAGGTCAAAAGTTTTGCTCATTTGAAAAACAAATGTGAACCTGATTCAAAACTTTCAGTGATGACACGCCCCTCCCAGTTGATGCCCCACCCCCTACGCAGTCAAAAGTCTGAATCAGAAAAAAGAAAAGATTTGAACGCGAAAAAAAGATCTGAAAGTCAAAATAAAAGTTTTGAATCTGAAAATATACAATTTGTATCTAAAAATATAAAATCTGCAACCAAAAAATATAATACAGTGAATATCGAAAAATAAATATGTGAAGATTGAAAAAATATATTTTATTCAAAAAATATATAGAGCTGAGTCAAAACTATATTCATCCGGAAAATATTTTTCGTCCACTTATTTTTATTTTCAAAACATTGTTGTATTTTTCAATGCTCAACAGCAAAACCTAAACCTTCAGGTTCACATTTGTTTTTCAAATGAACAAAACCTTTGATCTGGATTTGGCTCCATACAATGTCTGGTAAGACTCTGCTCTTTGGCACACGCTTCTAGGTTTTTGGTGTTAATGGCTGGATGGCAAACTGTTAAAAAACTAAAAAGCATTACTCTTGGCGTAAAGGAAGATGTCTCACCATCTGAAAGACGTCTGATCCTTCATCAAAATCAACAGTTGCAAAGAAGACTTTGTTAGTGAAGGCAGAGGAATAACGCCAGGAGTTAGCCAGCACCTGGAACTCCTCATCAGCTTGTCTGAAATGAAAAGATGCATTTCAATTGACACCAACATTTTTTTTTTAAATAGCAAAGCCTATTGATCGTGCTGCTTACTTGCAGACCCCACACTGTCTCTGTGGCTGCAGCGCCGTAAACATGATGACCACGGAGTAGTTCCTGGGAGGAGCCTTCACAAAGCGACGAAACTTATCTCCATTCATCCTGATCACTGAGCGCTTGGAGGTCCACTCCATCATCTGAGTCACCTTCTCTGACATCAGAGTCTACACAAGACACAAACATCTGCTGTTAGAGGACAGCACAGGAGACAGGGCATGGAGGCTCATAGCCATTGTTACGACCTCATACACTACTTTGTACTAAATCACATCGACAAAAGTCCTATTCAATAAAAGATAGTTCCCTCATTCCTACGGTAGCATTTTAAGGCAAGCTGGTTTGCAAACAGAATATTTGAAAATAATAGAAATATAAAAAATATTTCAATCGTAGTAGTCTTTGTCTGGAATTATTGGAACGGTGTTTATTGCAGCTCAAACATTGATAAATTATCTTTTCAAACTTACGACTTTTACTTTATATATACATTATAAATTTAGAGTATTATGCATATACATTTTTTGTATGTGGTACAAGTCACATAGGTTCTGTACACACATTACTTCAGTCATTGCCCGGACGTTTTATTAAAAAGCTTTTATTCCGGTTACATGTTTAATACCGTAAAGGTTAGCATATAGGTGCACCAACATTACAAGTGCCTGCGGAGTTGACCGCAGTGATCGGGGGACCGTAGCAACTGTAACCGTAGCCCCGATTCCCAACGGCATATCGGACACTTTCCCGCGGTGCCGCGGGCAGGGAGAGACCGTGCGGGGAAAGGAATGGAAGTGGTGTTCATTAAAGACCGCGCTAGTCGGAGCGGTCTTTACTTCCTGCCCGGTTTCAGCCCCGATAATCGGCTGTCGGCTAACGTGGAGGCACGACGTGTGTTTAGAAAGAGGCCCCACGCACCCCAACTCGTCCACAACCACCGGCACGACTCCGCTATCACAGCCGAGGAAACGGACCAACCGTTTGCTCAACTAGTGCGATAACGGCGAAACCCGCACGTCAACGTTAGCTCGGTTAGCTTAGCTCCACAATCGGCACGGGCGATCGATAACTGGTAGACAACTTTGGGACGATTTCACCCAAAGTGCGTCAACTTTCTCCGCTGTAAGGTGTTGAAGGCATGTTACCTCTTTTTTCTTCTGTGTGTCAGCGGGGTCATTGTGGAAAATAAAGAGGAGAAACAGCGAGATGAAAAGTTTTCCGAACATTCTGCAACAGCGATCAGACAGACACACACTTCCTGTCCGCTTCCTATTGGTCACCTCTCACAGTCCATTCACGTGTACTTCCCTTCTGTTTTCACCATTTCTATTGATACAAACGCTACAGACAAGTATATTTACTATACCACATATTCTAGTTATTCATTCTAAACGTTAAAGTAAGTATATTTCATAGAATAACATTTTGGAACAAATAACTAAATATAGGTGAGGGAGAAAAAAACTTTCAAAATATAAAATAAGATTTTGTCTTATAAATTGTATTATTTCATGGATGTATTTAGACAGATATTAGTTTAGTTGGTTATGTACAATACCAGTCAAACACTGGACACTAGTTCTCATTGAATTAAATGAGAAAATATGTCCAAACTTTTGACTGGTGCGGTAAATTCCATCTAGAGAAAAACTGGGATTGTAAAAAAAAAGTTTCGACATCAAACAAAAGAAAGCAGGCTTGAAAACTGTTCGCTAACCCATGTCCATGTACTTTCCCTTCACATTACCAGTTGGCTGTTGTTTAGAGTCGTGATGAAATGACAGAGACTAAGTTTAATAGAGTGCCTGCATTTATCTAAAATACAAGCTCCTCAATTTCACTTCAAAAGACCTCAGTCTCCTCAGTAGATTTGGTCTGTGTTTGAGTTTGGCTTCTGTCCCTTATTGTACCTTGCCATAAGTGTTGTCAGCCCAGTCCATTTTATTATCAAAGTAAACACCAAGCTACTTATAAGATTAAACAGTTTCAATGTCCGTTCCCTGGATGTTGGGGCCCCCATCCTGTAGGATAAAACAAAAGCCGGATGGTGTTGAAGCCACAGGAGAAGTCGAAGAACACAACTCAACAGTGCTTCCAGCCCTCTCCAGGTGAGAGAGACGTCCTCCACCTACAAACGTTTTACACATCATTAGGAAAATAAGCACGGTATTTATGGGGAGCTGATAAGTAATCATATTCCCATAAGTGGCCCCTAGAAGACTCAGCATTATTTAGGGATGTAAGGCAATGCACAGGTTTATAAGAACTTATAAATGGCTCTCATAATGCTGCTAATGGGTAGGCCTAAATGTGAATGTCATGTGGATGTGCCGTATTGAATGGCAGACGACATTCATATTTTCAGAAAACATTATTGCATCATTTGGAGTTTTCAGTTGTAGAAGTACAGCCATGTTCAGGTGTCATTTTCTGTGCTGCTGCCATCAGGGGAAGGCATCAACACCAACAGTAAAACAAACACACAGCGACTGTCTGCCGGGTCCCTGCTCATACGGTGCAAACGGAGAAGAACAAGAAGATGAAGGCCCTAAAATGAATTATAAGAGATCAAAACTATAGGCACTTAAACTTGCATTTTTCATCAATCCAAACCCTCCGAAACAGTAGATGGCAGCGTGCACATTTCACCTCGGTTGACGGTCCGCCAACAGCGCCAATTAGTACAAAGAAGAAGAAGAAGGAGAAGAGAAGAAGAAGAAGAACCGACAGAGCGCAACTCTTTAGCAAATCCGCTGTAGTCACAGGATGGCTGAAGAGCAACATCACAGCGGCTTTGATCGGAAAATGCCGGTAGGTTAGCGCCACGGCCACAGGCCTCTTTAGAGGCGACACAGCTCCAGTCAGCGGGCTTTCTGTACTGTTTAGTTTCGTGGGTTTCTCTTTATGTACAGTGTTGCCTGCAGCTATGCTAACAAGTAAGCTAGCTTTGACAAAGACCAGGTTCAACTTTACTGCATGGTAACGTGAAACGAGTGTGACAGGTGCGGCTTCTTCAGCTTTAAAGTGGTGTTCACGTTGTTTGGCAACACGTGACGTTCACTCGTCAGTAAACTGACGTACTGCTATGTGTCAGTTGGCTAACAACCACGTATAACGTTGTTATGTTCTGAGTGGTTTCGCTCAACTCTTCTGAGCGGAAGTGACATGCATTTACTACGGAGTGTTCCCTCTCCATCGTCCGGATGGAGCTGTTTTCCTTTTAGTCGCTTGGAGACGAAGCATGTAGAAAGTGACGTGACTGACCACCTAATGGCTGAACTTAGAACTTCCAGCGAGCAGCTCGCTGTGCGCGTGTAAAACGACTCTCTCGGTGACACGTGCACCTGGTGGAGCGTGCACAGGTACGCTGCTGCCGGCGCTCCGTGGAGGGGAAGAGGCCCCCTCAGGGTGCCCTCCGGCGAGGGGGCTCTGATACCCCCGCTTGGAATGAACTCAACTCTGTGTTTTAATGTCATGACGCACGGTGTTTCCCAAGGAATATGCCTAAATACGAAGTGCAGGTTCTCAATGGGAGAGGTACTTGTGTTATCATTTATTGATATTCTGTTTACCAAAATAATCATTTTATTGATTCAGGTTATGATTAATGTTAAGTCTAGATTTCATTTAGTGACCCAAATGTTTGAGGGTACATCTCACGTAGATTTTGATCATCAATGTTAAGATTACTTATAAACAATAAGAGTTGTGTATATTTCTGACAACCATCCTGCCACCTCCCACAATATAATATTTCTAATGTTGAAATGGCAGATGAATAGAAAAACCCTTTCTAGTGAATGCCAAGAGCAGTTTTATGTTTTTTGTTGTTGTTGTTGTTGTTCAAATCTTTCTTTGCACAAACCCCCTACGTATTAAGGGAGTTCATTAACCGATTTTAGATGTAAGAGTTCAGTCTAGCATTGTATCTGAGCTAGTTGTTGTAATGCTAACAGTAAATGCGATGTGGATGTGGTTTAAAATCAGCCTGATCAGCTGGTGCGTCCGCCTGTCACTAATAGATGAAATAACGAGTGCGGTGGTCTGAGGCTTATGCCTCAGAAATAAGATAAGTGAGACGTCTTTCATGGTGTCAAATCTATTTCCTTGTCAGCCGAGGAACAATGACAAATGATGGCAAGAGGCAATGGGGTCCTCTGGCTATCGCAACATTGGCAGTTCCATCCCTGACTATAACGTGTCCTGAGCAACACTGCTAACCCCGAATTGCTCCCTGGGCCAACACAAGGCAGGTAAAAGTGAATCGTTTATTTCCCCGTTGTGGGACTAATACAATTGTTATTGAAAGCCAAGCACTCTCTGTCTCTCAGCCCCAAACCCAATTCCCCACTAAACCCTAAATCCTGATCCCTGAACCCTCCGGGACTAAACGGACCTCACCTGGTAGGTGGTTGAGTGTGACAGTCTGTGAGCTTAAATGGGGTAAAATACGAAGCCCTTTGCTGCCCCACATCACGTCGTCATGACAACGTCAAACATGGTTTGATTTCTGCTATTTCATACTTTTCACTCCATGATTTGAATGTCTTCCAGGCACTTTTGAATAATAGCTTTGATAACAAAGTTAAATATTTTATAAAAAATTATTTTAAAGAAATCAGATAAAAAAAATCATCTGATTTCATAGGGGTTTTCTTTAATCCTTGATGTTTTAAATGTATACCTTTTAATGGTAGGCTGAACACACTTGTGCTGTCGTCTTTGTTTACCTTTCTTACGTCCCCATCCTTTCACTAGCTTTAATGTCTCATTGCAATGACTTGTGGGTAATTCCTTTGGACAAAGTCAGAATCCGTGCCTATGGAAAGTGTTCATAAAGTGTCTGCCAGAGTGGTGGGACAGAACCTACCCCTCACGGAGTTGGAGGGCGCACGCCTCAAAGTCCGTTTGGGGGCCTCTTCCCTCATTTCCATTAAGTTAATGGTCTCCCTCTGTGATGTTGTGTCCAGAATTAAGCTTCATGCTCGGGAGATAAAGCCTCCTGCAGGAGGAAGAGTGCGTTGTATAAGCCTGGCAGTGACGCACAAGTGATGGGTCCGAGAAAGAAGGCCTCTAAACTCCAGCCTGTAGTGGGCAGCTGTGGAGGGGAAGTGCTCCTGAGACCCAGTGAGCCCAAAGACTACATCAACGAGCTGTCCCATGAAGTCCTCTGTCACATATTCAGGTAAACGTCATGTGTATGTGTTTACTGTTTGTCCTTCCGCATGAACTTTAACATGAGTAGGATAAGGATATCACTGCTGTAATGTTTCCTTTTTTACTTGTCCAATATAGCTGACAAGTCAAGGTACTTCATCACATTGATGCCTAAATCCAGCCCATACAGCTGACCTGTTTATTGATTGGCAATGCTGCCAAAGTTGTTTAACACAGTGATCCCCAACCACCGTGCCGCTGACCGGTACCGGTCCATATATATTACACACGCACCCACCCCATACCATTTTTTTTTTTCTTCTCAAAAATGTTTTATTTTGAAAATCGACCGGATTCTCTCTTAATTATGTGCACTCGTCCCTCTTGACATATTTCCCAAGCGTTTTTCTTCACGTTTTACCGTGCACGGCAGTTTCGCCCACCAGCGAACAGAAAGGGCAAAATATTGTGTGACACCATGAGGTAAAAAAGGTATGAACCACTGGTCTAACACACCCAGAGATATATAGATACAGAGACGGCTACTAAAGCAGAAATGGTATTCTAAAACCTCTGACCATTGACAAATGTCTATGTATCTAAATTGACTTAACAGAAATATGATTTGAATGTTAACATTTTTTTCAGGTACCTTCCCATGAAGGACATCATGTGTATGGAGTGTCTGTCCAGAAAGCTTCGGGAAGCTGTGACTCTGTACCTGCGAGTGGTCAAGGTGGTGGATCTGTGTGCTGGTCGCTGGTGGGAGTATATGCCTTCAGGTAAGCTGCTAGCAAACACGCATGTTCAGATTTCCGGTGGAGGTGCGGTATAGAAATATGTGTTTGAGCCGTGGAGAAAGACGTGCAGGGACTTTTCTTTCCTGTTCCAGTGAGTTCGTTGAAAGGGGTGAAAGTTGTCTTGTGTAACATTTTGAGATGTCGGAAGACAACGGCGCCAAATAAGTGCATTTAATGCAATTTGGAAAATTATTATCGACCTCCAGAAGTGTGAAACTTCCGGAAATCATTATTTTATTGGTCAGATCAAAAAACAAACTGAAAGTCCAAGGTTTTGGTTTTTAGGATTGGGTAAGACAACAGTGGATGGAACTTGGACCCCTTGATAAAAAAATATATTTTACATTTGCAAGTTAAAGCATCTTTCTGATGAGCAACATTTAGAGGCTCGCTCTTTGGAGGACGTTGTGCTCTTGTTCTACGTAGTGGAAGGGAACCACATTGCAGTACATTTGAAAGAACTGTGGTTTCTTACAATTTTTAGGTACTTTTACTTTACTTGATTATTTGCATTTCATGTAACTTGATCCTCTTGGGCCACTTCATTTGAGAGCAAAATGATTGTCTTAACCTCCATTTGTTTGACAATATTAATCAAATTGGACTACTGATTCAGATAATTAATACAAAATCTGAATCAACTAAAACACTGGAAAAATAATATATCCATGAAACGGGTCAGTCTGGTACCAATGTAGTACATAATGTTTTGTTTTCGTACTTTTTAGTATATTTTGATGCTAATAAAAAAAAAAAAAAAATGTTTAGCCATTTACACGGTCAAATAATTGAATCACAAACATAGGTTGTGTAAATCTGATTGCCTTAACAATTCCACTAGTTTGTACCAGAGCAGCGGCTGAACGCTGGCTGTGGAGCAGCTTTCTGGACTTTCTGAGAATGAGTTGTAGTGAGCGGGGGGCGAGTTGTACTGAGTGTATCGACCACTTGTGTAAAGACAAGTGGTCGATACACTCATCGGTACAACTCTGTGTGCTCCAGAGCCCTTTTTTATTCTTGAGACCCTTTGTCGAAATCACCACATATATAATGAAAAAAGAATGATGGGTTCATTGTGTTTTCTATGTTAGGCTTTACAGACAGCAGCTTTCTGCTCCTTTTGAAGAAAATGCCAGATTTGGAGCAGCTATACGGCCTCCACCCTCGATACCTGGAGAGGAGACGGGTCCGAGGCTACGAGGCCTTCAGTATACCTGGAGTTCTGGAGGCCCTACAAGCCTGTCCCAGTATACTGGTCAGTAAGTTGTGTGAGAACGACGTCGTAGTGAACTTCAACACCACCAAGTCATTCCACTCATTGGTGCCTGTGCTTCGTGATTCCAAAGCTCATCAATCCATACTATAAAAAAGCCTACTTCCACGTTGCAGGAGGCACTTCTTAGAAATTAAAAGGGTCAATATACAATTTTCAATAAGATATTGTTCTTCACAGAATTACTGGCCTACACATCAAATTCAATACAAATTACTGAAAAATTAGGATTTATTTCTCATGTTGTATGGCAATTACAACATCATTCAAAATAATCACATCTTGGATTTGGTCTGCAGCAATGGCCTTCAACAGTTTATGATTTGTAACCCTCTTTGACCTTATTTCAGGGGGTGGAGACCTCCCATCTGGAGCTGGTGGAAGCCATATGGAACTACATGCCCCAGGTTCATATATTGGGAAAGTTCCGTAACCGCAATGGAGCTTTTCCAATTCCTGCGGAGAACAAACTGACGATCCCTATAACTGCAAAGATCCAGACGTTGCATCTAGTGGGTGAGTGGGATCACTACAGATGACGGAGCCTCCCTGCTGCATGTAAAGCAGCTTCAGCTCTTGGGAGGCCTGTCGCAATCGCCAATAGATCCACTCATCGAATGATATATGGAATTGAGCGCGACTGTTTTTGGTGCTGCGATATATTCATTTTTACATAAAAAGGAATATAATGTCAAAAGCGGAAGCCGGGCTTCACCCTGTGAGCAGGATAAGCGGTTTGACAACGGATGGATGGATGGATGGATGATAACAAGGTTAAAGTATTATTATTATGTAAACTGGCATAAAATGGTCTGAAAATTACAATAATATGGTTTATCGCAATTGATTTTGGTGCAATATATCGCACCATAGATATCGTGGCAGCCCTATTCGTGGGTGCTGAGTGGGCACACCTGACTTCACGTTGTTTGTCTCCTACAGGTGTCAACGTCCCAGAGATCCCCTGTGTGTCCATGCTTCGCCACCTTTATCTGAAATGGGTCCGTCTCACCAAACCACAGCCGTTTAAGGACTTTCTGTGTGTGAGCCTGAGAACTTTTGTCATGCGGAACTGTGCAGGACCAACCAACTCCCTCAAATACGTTCCCCTGGTTACGGGGTTAGCATCGGCCCGCAACCTGGAGCAGCTGGAGTTGGTGAGAGTTCCCTTCCTGGGAGGGCTGATTCAACACGTGGTGGAGGACAGTTGGAGGTCAGGTGAGGCGACTGGGTTCAACATCAGCCCGAAGTGCTTTCACCAGAGTAATGTGTGTTTGCCCCGTTCCCATAAGTACTGTAAAGGGCCACACGGTATCCAGGATCTACTATCACGGTTTGCATGCATGTGAAATCGCAAATATTTTCTAAAACTAAAAAATGTAATGCTTTATTTTTCTTTTGCAGACGTAGTGTTTTCCTCAAATACTGCTTTAACTGCTCTCGAGATTCGGTTGCTTTTGATCACTGACAAGATCCTCTTGTCTCGCCGTCTCTAGATACCAATTGGGATTTAGTTTTTCTAGCTAAAAGCCCACACGTTATGTGTATGTGTTTGTTCTTTGACACTATGCATGTGTACTAGGAGGATTTCGGAACCTACACACCATTGTGTTTGGCGCCTGTAAGAACGCTCTGGAAGTGGACTTGGGCTACCTCATCATCACTGCTGCTCGCAGGTGAACAGCCAGTCATCAATTCCTGAAACTAACTGAGCGGAAAACACTGGTCCACTTTTATGGCAAAATGCAAATCTTGTGGGAAAATGTTTGAGACGCAGAGTAAACGTGTAGTAAGAAAGATACTTTCAGTGGATGAGCTTGTTAAGGCCTCATATGTGGGCAGTATGTCAGAATAATTCTGTTCCGTCTTGCTATCAGTATGCTAGAACACTTATTCTGGAAACGGACAGCTTTGGCTCTACTCAGCAGATGTTGACTTGTGACTACTTGAGTTCTTAGTCGGACTGACACAAATACTTCTTCCCATGATGTCTGTGTGTTGAGCAGGCTTCATGAGCTACGCATCCAACCCTCGCTGACTAAAGATGGAGTCTTCTCCGCTCTCAAAATGGCTGAACTAGAATTTCCTCAGTTTGAGACGCTTCATCTGGGATACGTGGACGAGTTCCTGCTGCAATGTTAGTGGCTTCTGTCAAATATTACCACCAGTTTCGAGAAAAACAAGGCATGTTTACTCACTGCCTCCAATGAGCAATTCTTCTGTAATGGATCCACTTCTTTGAGCAACCGTGGGCAGCGTGTGGCTGGTACTGTTTCAGTCTCTCCCACAGACCGTCGACTAGAATGAGAATGTTAAATGAAGTGACGGTCTTTTGTTTGCTCAATGCAGGTAAGCTGAGCCATTCGGAGCTGGTGAAGTACGGCCTGGCTGATGTCATTGAGAATCCTGGCATCATCACAGATATCGGCATAAAGGTGGTGAATGAGGTGTTCACGAATATTAAATACCTGCTCATCTACAACTGTCCTCACTTGCATAACCCCCACCACTGGATCACAGGTAAAACACTCCACACCACACACCCAGTCCCATCAATATCTTCACTTTCTATAATAATAATAATAATGGTGCTTGATATGCAAGTAGTCATGCTGGCAGTTTTCTGTCCTCAGACCATTCCAGATGGAGTCGCCTCGTGGATCTCACTCTGGTTCGCTGCCATGCAATCAAACTGGAATCCTTCTCCCAGTTCATAGAGTCGCTGCCCAGTCTGGAGTTTATCTGTCTGGACCAGATGTTTAGAGAACCACCAAAGGTATTATCTATACCTTTTTTTTTTTCTTAAATAGAACAGCACTTAAACGTTGTATTTACCTGCTGTCACTCTGTTCAGAGCTTTACAGTCTGTACACATGCAATCCTCTGTCCCAGAACCTTCATATTGGCACAGGACAAACTCCCCCAAAAATGGAAAAACTCTTCGATAGGCAAAAAAACAGAAACCTTAGGGAGAACGTCTGAGGTGAACATCTCCCAGGATGGAAATTACAATGGATGTCACAGAATGAAGAGCGTAAAAGATGTAGAATACGTTCAATTCGTACGACAGAATGATTCACATATTGAGTAGTAAGGCCGGGAACACTGCCATCAGACGGAACCACCATCCATAGAAACCTGTGGGCAGGAAAGAAGTGGGTAATGTTTGTTTATGATGACCGTAATCGTAAGGTGATCAATGATCGCAGCGGTCAGGAGGGCCATGGCAGGAGGTAGAACCGTGGTCCAATGTTATTTTCTGCTAGGATACCCAGAGCTCTTTCTCTACAGACGAGCTCTTAAACAACACGGCAATAAGTCTAGTAGACTCTCTACCTTTCTGTTATCTTGGACTGGAATGTTTTCCCACCACCACAGTGGGGACCAGGACACACAGGCTGTGACATCTCACAGGTACTGTGAAGACTGCTGTGTCCCAACAAGAAGCCGAGTGAATTCTAACAACGACAAACCCTCGCTCACTGCAGAGCTTTGACCGCTACGTCAGCAAAATGAACGGGCATTCAGGAGTAAGGACAAGAGGCAAAATACTGGTTTGGAAAAATGATTGGACAATAAACCACTACTCCTGAGACCCCTCACACCATCCACCAAGTGTCTTTGGCTACTGTCTAGAAAGGTCTCAGACGACCACAAACCTAAAGCCCCCCACTCCTTAGACGACCGTTCCCTGGCAGAACGTCTCCTTGATGTACAATGAGACAGTCCTGGCTCCATCCCTCATGGCTCATCAGGCCCCTCCCCATTAACCACTATATTCCACACGTGTAAATAGGGTCCTCAAACATCTGATCCCCAGAGGGTCGACCAGCCCTGACGCAGTCTCCCCTCAGACATGGAAGCATTGTGCTGATCAGCAGGTCTGTAGACGACTCGGTCAACATGGCCCTTCATTTCATCCTCCAGCACCTGGACTGGAACCTATGGCAGGATCCTGTTTGTGGACTTCACCTCTGCTTGGCATGCTCTCTCAGCTGCGCGTGCCCGACCCCACCTGCAACTGGATAACAGACTTCCTGTCTGACCGGAAGCAGCAGGGAAAGCATGTTTAGCCCCCGGACCATCAGCTATGGTCCATCTCACCACGGCTGCGTACTTTCCCCTCTGCTCGTCTCCAGTCACCAGTCCATCAAGCTCCTGAAGTTTGCGGCGACACCACCCTCATGTGGCTCATCTGGTGGGGACGAGTTTGTGGGCGGTGGGCTTCTTCCCGACACCAGTTGGGCTCATCAATGAAGCCTGGGAGCCCCACTCTGTCTTCCCCCATCTCTCAGTCCACAGACAATTTTTGCACATCCTCTGTACTCTTCATTTAGTATCTAATATACTTGACATGGGGTGGCACGGTGGTTAGCACTGTTGCCTCACAGCAAGAAGGTCCTGGGTTCGATTCCGCCCAGTGACCTTTCTGTGTGGAGTCTGCATGTTCTCTGCGTGGGTTCTCTCCGGGTTCTCCGGCTTCCTCCCACAGTCCAAAGACATGCTCTGGGGATCAGGTTGATTGGGGACTTTAAATTGCCCGTAGATGTGTGAATGGTTGTATGTCTCTGTGTAGCCCTGCGATTGGCTGGCGACCAATCCAGGATGTACCCTGTCTATCGCCCGAAGTTGGCTGGGATGGACTCCAGCCCCCCCGCGACCCTGTGTGCAGGATAAGCGGTTTAACAATGGATGGATGGATATACTTTACATTTTATATTAAATGATCTAATCCAGCGGTTCCCAAACTCAAGAATGCCGCGGCCAAATTTGAAATCTGAAAATCTTTTGCGGCCCACCCAAACCTTTAATCACAAGTCTGATCAAAACATAATGATTAAATGACCTTAAGAATTTAACGAAAATCAAACAGCCGTCTCGCGCGAGCAAAGGTTCGTCTCCGTGAGGTATTTGCTCGCTTGCGAAACGTGAACTTCGTTGCTCGCGAGGAGAATCTCTGCTCGCGCTCGAAGGAGTTTTCTACGCGCTCGCTGTTGTTCTTTTTAACAGTGAGGTGGAGACGGTGCTTTCAGGGTCCGATCGATGGCGTGAGGTGCGTCCGCTCCCACCGCCGCCCCCCTCGCCATCCACGCCTTAAATCTTCGGCTGCTTTTACGATAACTTATTTCCCCGTTAAGATGGTTCAGCTACTGTAGAGAAAAGGGCACCGTCTCTCGCTCTTTAATCTCATGAAGTGCTCGGCAAGAACGACAGCTTTGTTTCTCCGACGCGCCCTGAAACAAGCTCCAAATCTCACGCGCTTGAGCGCTGCTCAGCATCTCGCCGTCGTAGACCGAGCTTTAGCATGTTTGGCAGAGCGCCTTGAGCGCCGTGTACAACCAGTATGGATCAACCGATTAACCAATTGATCCATATATATAAGGCGATCCGGATTATAAGGCACTGTCGTTTTTTGAGAAAATTAAAGGCTTTTAAGTGCGCCTTGGAGTGCGGAAAATGCGGTATATTTACTTTAATACTACAAGAGGGCACCCCGTTTGTTGAACAACGACAGGCGGACAAGAGCAGCCGTTTCGATCGAGAGCCTTATTGTTTTATTAATCTGTCACTTTAAATTGTTTGTGCTCCATCAACTAATGTTTCACATACCTAATGTGCCGCATCATAAATATTTTTATATTTGTTTCAAACTTTTAAAAATGTAATTAAAAAACTTTATTTATTTATTGTAAATGACCTCTCGAGGCCCACATGCAGTACCTTCGCGGCCCACACTTTGGGAATCGCTGATCTAATCTATTTATGTTTATTGTTTGCACCATCCCAATAAGAAAAAATACTTGTATGTGCAACATACTTGGCAATAAATGGTTCTGATTCTACATATTGTGTGTGTAACAGGGCTGTGCCAGGGTGGGCCTGAGTGCAGGAACCGGTATTGGTGTGTCCTCTGCACTAGTCAGCAACCAAAACTCCAACAATGACAATGACAACAATAACAACAACCACCACCACCACAACAATGAGGCCAACCTGCCTCCTCCTCCTCCACCTGTTGTCAACAACATCAACAACCAAAGACGGCAGCAGCAGCAGAACGATGGCAAGTCCCTCCTCATCGTTGGTCAGCAGCAGCAATCACACAGCAGCTCTTGGGTGGCTTCTAAAGTTTTTCCAACCCTTCCGTTTTCACATTTTCCATAGCATCAGTAAATATTGTAGTTATGCCAAAATAAGTCCTCCTAAATCCTGTCTGGGATTATTAGCATTCCTTACAAATACAAACCGCCTAATGTGAAGGGACGAAAGCCATCACCCAATATGTGAACACATTTAAAGTGGATTGCTATCAGATTTATTTCTGTTTTAAGACCAAAAAAAACAAATGGTAACTCCTGGGTTTTGTTTCTGGTGGCTTCGTGTGCCTTCTCCTTTAATCATAAGGTTGGCGGTTTGATCCCTGTCTACCTGTCAAGTACCTGGAACCCTCATCCAGGTTTCTTCCTCTGCTCTGAAAGCCTGGGATGGGTTCTATGCAGAGGTTTTATGTTTTGATGAAAATAAGCTCCGTTTTCACAGCACCAGTGGAGCTGAATGGGTTGGATGATGGCGAGGAAGAAGTGATATTGGAGCAGGACAACAGGGAGGCTGGGCCTCAGTTGGAGATGAAAGGAGCAGAAGAAGAGGCGAGAGCCGACGTCGCTCCAGGGCCGAGTCGTCCAGCTGGAGCATCACAGCCTCCTGATGAGGAGCAAGCAGGTGAGAAGCTGCTTTGTGTAGTGGAATGAGCAACGGTTAAGCCCAATAACCTAATTTCCTAAGCTTTCCTTATTTATATTTTTATGTCCGCTAATACCCCCACCCCTCCCCAAACAGGTCCCAGCGGTTTAGTCCAGCAGTGCAGAAAAGCTGATGCCACAGTTCCAAAGCCCCCAATGGTCATCTCTGATTCAGACAGTGAGGAAGAGGAAGGCCTTGTTTCAAGGCTAATGCCAGCTTCCTGTTCGCAGCAGCCAGCTTCCTCTACAGAAGGTGTCAACACATCAGCAGTCGGTTACAACATGTGTTAATGGGTTGTGGGTGCATTGTAGACCGGGGTCAGACATATGCGGGATTAAAACAGCTCTCCTTTCCTGATCAATGTAAATAAAATGGTGCTGATGCTCACACACAGGGAAACCGAGCTCAGTTCACCCCACCAGTGTAACATAAATGTGTGTGTTTTTCAGGTAAAGGAAAGACTCCTTTGAGGCGGGCCGGCAATGTGTCTGTGGCGGTCTCTGTAGATCAGACAAAGACCCGGGTGTTGGAAAGCAGCTGTGAGAAGAGCTGTCAGGTGACCAGTGAACAGATCAAGGCCGACATGAAGGCTGCGGCTGAGAACGGTAGTAGGACTAGCGTTAAAGGATTTGCTACCGAGGCTGCGGAAGCGGCTACGAGACCCGGCACTGACGGTGTGCCGGTACGAGGCACGGGCAGCGCTGGCATAGCAGCAAGGACCGGGGGGAGGGCCAGTAGCGGGATCCATGGGCAGGGTTGGACCTGGGAGCAACCCGGGCAGGTGGGTGGATGTGGGAAGGCTGGGGATGGGGAGCACCACAGGCAACTACCACCGCTGATCGAGCGACTGGAACTGCAGGACTAATGACTGCACAGAGGGCCCCTCTGGTCAGTCTGGGGCCAGTTGCATGAGGGGGACTAGGTTGGAGCAGAGCTGTGGTCCTGCCTCGCCCTGCCCTGCGGACAGGTTGGAGTCTCGAGGTGCTGCTGTAAACCAGTCTCCTAGGAGAGCAGCTCAGCTGAATGGACAAGGAGAAGGTCAACACGCCCGCCCCGGATCGCATTCCGCCACCTTTTCAGGCTCACAACAGGGTCAGACCAGAGACGAGGACTTTGTTCCTAGACGGCCTTTGACCCGATCCTGCACTCGTATGTCATCTGTGTCCCTGGTGTCGGAGACGGGTAAGAACAGGCACAGAACACATCAAGCACGTGCCCACTAACTAGCCCTCCACGGGAGGGAAAGCTCATGCTTGTTGTCTGTTAGTGCACATTGAGCTCAGTGAAGTGGTAGATGTGCAGTCTAATTATGTCTCCCTTAATCTCACCTTTTTAAAGATGTGTCGTATTGGGCCACTGATGTTTAGATCAGGATGACCATGGAGAAGTAAAAATAAATTAACTAAAAAATCTGTGAGCAGGCAAGGTGTAGAGGAGTTTGAGGTAAAGGGGGTATCGATACATTTTGATTATTATGTATGCAGATAATGCCATAACATATTTTTAAATCCATGTCCTTTATTTCCATGATATAAAATAGAATACAAAAATGATTGATGAAGCTTTACTTCAGAAGGCTAATGGCTTTTGGCGCCCGGTTTTGACAAGAATGTGTCTGTTTCTATTTTATTTTGTATATAGCACAAAATTACAAATTTTGGGCTTTAAAGTCTGTACACATACGACAGATTACAATGGATGTCATTCTGTTGCATTGACATTTAAACTTTGATTAGTGTTTCTTTTACAGTCAATTGTGAGTTTGACTAACTGAGGGCAATGCTAAACGTATAATGTGCTTCTACCAAAGTTGCCTTCAGCGGCTCGAAGTTGGTTAAGTTTGGCAGTTCACGACGGTGCAGCTTACTGTCCTATTGTATTGTAAGTTGCTATTGGTGCTTTGTTGTTAAGATCTCTCCAGAGCAAAGCCTCGGGTAGCAGTGAAGAGGAAACGAATGGCTGACAAATCTACGAGCACCTCAGACCCAGTCACTGAGGACGACCACGTGCAGGTACACACACACACACACACACACACACTGAACCATTATAGCTAGTAGAGGGCAAAGGGGCAGCCTGACCTGGAGGCTGGTATTGACAAGCGTATAAGCCCTGATTTCATTGCCATTCAAGCAGACGAGATGGCTGACATATTGTGTGTGTTGAATAGCAGTTTTATTTACTGGGATTTTAAATGTTGGAATAAATAATGTGTTTTTCATTCCTTAATTGTTTTGCAATAAATCAACTTAGGATGTTTGTTGAAATTGATTTGATTGCCCTGCCTAGAACATTTTCCACCAGCTGCTACTGTTGATCAAAGTTCAAAAGGTGGTGTTTCTAAGGGCAAATGGGATAATACTTTATACATGTAAAAGCACTATAACTAGTATGCAATACATTTGTGACTAAGAAACATCATTTTGAAAATGGTTGTATCCCCTGGGGGGAGCCAAAGTGTTGCAGGTAGAGCTCAGACCGAGAGCGATGATGTCATAAGGACCATTGTCTTTCTGCTGTTCTTAACAATGGAATCAATCAAATGGTTACTTTTTTTAAATGCTTTTATTCCACATGGTAAAGTGAGCTCCATTTGGTCAGGATGAACATGGGAAGGTATCAGTTGTGCTCTGTACTGTGGGGATCCATGGCGGTTATAATTGACATGCTGATGCTTTTGCTTGTGCAGATTTTGTCTCTGAAGAGTAAGAACCTGGTGGGCATCACTCTGACCAACTGTGGGATCACTGACCTGGTCCTCAAAGACTGCCCCAAGATGATGTTCATTCATGGTAACAGACAGACAAGGACGCTCGGATACCATGACTCGTGAATGTTGTTGCATTAGAAAGATCTTTTAATAATCCTAAATGTAAACCTGGTACAAAGTGTCAGTCAAATGATTTCGACTGGTACTGTAGTTTTTTTTTTTTTTTTTAACTTTGTTTTTCACAAATTACTTTATTCAAAGTTTTAACTTCCATCACAAACTGTTCAAAGTCCAATTGTTGAATTATCAAGATGGGGACTAGTCTCGCCAGCCACAGAAAAAGATCCATGTTTAACAGACTAGTTGGGCAAAGACGGAGGTCTTCAGATGCGTAGTAATAAAGTAGTAGTAAATCATTTGCAATGCAATCACTCCCTCACTGCAGACACAAGTCCTGAGCTCCGTGCAAACCGGTAACCGTTGGGTTCTGGTGTCTTTGCTTCCGAGCTTCTTGGATCTTAGTGAACCAAAATCCAAGAATGTTTCATCTCATATGTGCCATACTTGTTCATAACGATTCACATCAAAGGGATACACTGACCAACTCGCTGCCATTGCTGTTGAACAAACTGACGTTTTTTATGAACCCTCCAATAAGACCAGGATTAGTAATGCTTCTGATAGGGTCTGCCATGGGGAATGACATGGCTGTTTCACTGTAATCCTGTTTGACTCATTTTACCAGACTTATTTATATCCCGGCAACTTGTGTTGGAAATAATGAGGTAAACAGTATGTGCCATGACTGTTCTTCAATCCAGATTTCTGGAAGATCAAATGTTAAGGGGGTTGTAAATAACAGAAAGCCTTCAGTCACAGTGCCTTGTTGTGTCCTCTCTCTCTCTCTCTCTCTCTCTCTGCAGCCACGAGATGTCGAGTGTTAAAACAGCTGCGGGTAGAAAGTGCACCCATAGTGAACAGGTTTGATTATGCTCAGTGTAAGAAGTTGGACATGGAACAGGTCCTGGATCAGATATTGAGAATGCCTCCTGAGAGGAACCGCATCATTTACATGCGTCCGATGCACCAGGTGAGTCATCTGTGAGGTCGTCTCAGTTTCCTGGGAAACAGACTCCTAACCATAGATGTATTAAGAAAGCTGGATACAACGCAGCCCCTCGCTCTCTTTGACTGGGTGGTCACGCGAGACCGTTCAGTTATTGCTCTTTCTATTATAAATTTGCTGTTTGAGGGCTTTATAATGGTAAAGTAATTCTGCGGTATGTAACATCCTGCCACGGTGAAGTCGGGGGAAAAGTGGGGAAAATTGTAAAGGGTGCAAGCAGCCAGTTCCTGTAATACATCCGTGGTCCTAATGTACAATGTACTACAAACATGCAAGTATCTACAGTTCCTAAGGCATGAGAACCCCCCCGCCCCCTCCCCCCCCCCCACACACACACACACACACTATACGTATCCTATTGTGGCCCTCGTGTCATAGTTTTACACAAGAACGACAAACCTTCTTTCAACATTATTAATTAGTTCCATTTAAATTGGTCACGCTGTGATTCCACGTAGACAAACTGGAAGGAAAACTACGCCGACATGTTTAAAGGGTTTGTGTTGTTTTTACCAAACTCTAATACTATGGCGTCAAGTTTTCTAAATTCATATCTGAATGCTGCTAAGGCATGATGTTATGTCAACATGTGCCTCATAGTTAGAAAGCCCTCCTGCACAGATCATTGATTTAAGGCGATTATTTTGAAATGAGTTGCTAAACATTTAGCCAATTTGTTTTCTCCTCCGTTCTCTTTGCTTGTTGGTGGATAAATACAGCACGCCTTGTATAACTGAGGTGGATGTTGTCATTGTTCTGCAACCACCTCTCTACATGTCCTCCCCTCTTCAGATCGACTCTGTAGCATTGGAGCGTCAGCTCTTCCAGGGGCCCTATCCCTATCACATTGCTATCGTGCACGAGTTCAGCAACCCTCCCAACATACGCAACAAGGTTCGCATTCGCAGCTGGATGGACACGATAGCCAACATCAGCCAGTGAGTAATCTCTCTGCAGGTCAGAAGTCAACCCCTTTCTGGCCTTAACCCTTCTGGTTTGAACACATTATGTGCTGCATGTCAAGCGCAATGAGTGCAAAGGTGGTTTAAGCGAAATGCCCGACCACCCAGGAGACACGAGCAATCAGTGGACCCATGTTGGACAACGTCCTCTCCTTAGGATGGGGCTGGGGAAAAAGAACCACAGTAGTACCACAGTATATGGACCATCTAAAGAAATGCAAATTGAAAATGATCTCTATATATCTTTGTGCCGCAGAGAGTTGATCAAGTACGAGTTCTTCCCAGAGGCCACCCGGACAGAAGAGGATGTGAAGAAGTATCCAACATACCCCTGGGGTCGAGACATCTATACATTAGAGGGTAACCTCTTCATTAATCTGCAAAAATATCTTGCCCCCTGAAGGTAAAAATGCACTTAAAAGCAGTGCAGAGACTACTACACTCCAGCGTGTTGTGTTTACAGTGCATTAGTCAATGATGTAGAATAATGTGTGACGCTGAAAGGTCTTCTGGATGCTTCCTGTGGAAGAGAAGGGATGAAGAAAGGATGTTTGGATGTCTTGTTCAGTCCTCCATCCATCCTTGTGTAATGTTCAGGACTGGTGGATGGCGCTCCCTACAGCATGATAACCGACTTCCCCTGGCTGAGGACTCTGAGAGCAGCCGATCCCAACAGCTACGCCCGCTACGACTTTGAGGACGATGAAAGCAGTGAGTCCTGTTAATACGTTGGTCCATCCTATCATGGCGTTCACTATACGTCAGTCAGTCGTTACATTGTCCCTGTAAAAGACTCACCCAGATCAAATAAGCACATGACCGGTTTTCTCTGTGTCGTGTAACAGCCACCATCTACGCACCCAGGCGTAAAGGCCAGCTGTCGGCTGACATCTGCATGGAGACCATCGGGGAGGAGATTTCCGAGCGCCGACAAAGCAAAAGAGGAGTGTTTCAGAGGGTGGTGGTACTCTTCCTCCATCACTGTGATACACCAGGAGAACCTGTGGATGATGACTACATCTAGACGTCCCGACTGACAAACGTTCGTTTGAAAAAAGACCGCGATGTAGAGTCCACTTGGATGAGGTGCGCATCATATATCTGATGCAGATGTTCTCCATGTTTGAGCAAAATCTTAAAGCCTTTATGTGCCAAATAATATATCTCAAATATAGTCCTGTTTTGCCAGTATTGACATCACAACCCCAGGCGTGTGCCCAGCTGCTTCCCTTGTCATACAGAGAAGGGTTATGCCCCGTTGGATCTTTCAAGCCGTCCACGCCAAAGTCTGCCTACCTCTTCACCACACATGTGATCAATCACAGACAGAAATGGCCTTAGACAGAAATGTCAAAGATATGCTTTTTAATTTCAGTTTTAAGTTAGTTTTCTTTCTCTTCAACGTGCGGAAGAGTCGGTGGCACTTTCATTTTGTTGCATTTTGCCACAAGCAATAGATGGCGAGGTTGTGAGGAGCTGAGGAAGTGGAGCGGCTGATTAACTTGATCTAGTACTGAGTAGTCATCCTCTCTGCATGACCCGCCTGTTGGGTATAGAGTGAGCGCCCCGCTGCCAGGGAAACTGCTGGATGCATCATCTAGTTTGTGTTGCTCATCCAGCCTGACGAGTCCCCACACTTCCATGCAAACCTCCCATAGGGTGATGGAGAGAGGCTGTAGTTACAGCAGCCTATGCAGCATTGTTGGACCGGCTTCTTCTGTTGCAGTTGAGACCTTCCCATTGACTTCACACATTGAATACCCCCCCGTGTCTAACTATAAACATGTAAGATCACTTAAAGGTGTGGCCCAACACATGAATACAATTTTTGAGTTCTGCAATATGTCTGACTTTTGATGATGGGTGGGAATTATGAGAATAAAGGTAGAATTGTGTCTGTTAATATTTAAACATTTTTCATTGAACTTTGAACTCAATTCGCTACGTTGTGCATTTTATTATTTCTTTTTCCCATCGGCCTACAGGCATTGCAAAAGCAGGATGGGTCAATAATGTCATATCTGTATTCCTACAGTATGTATAACTAGGACACATCTTTGAACAAGTCTCATCTAAAATTTACAAACACACCTAAAACATCAAAAAAAAAAGTCATTTTCAGAATTTATTTTCATTGCTACAGGTTTTGTTTTTCCCCTCAATGATTTCATTGGTCATGTCTATGGACAGCTCTGTCCTGAAGGACTGTAATGCAGTGGACTGTCCAGGTTCAGGATGTATCAGGTATTCCCTAAATATGTTTATGGGTTCAAAAAGATGAGAAACTGACTGTGAATGTTCCCTATGAAAGGAGCTGGATATTCTTTTTGCAGGTTGAGTGGACTGAGTAGGACCTGACTTCAGCCTTCTGTTTGTGTACAGATGTCATGGAGGACAACGTGCTTCCATGGTGTTTATATGTTTATAATGAAAGAAGACTATTTCACATTGAAAAATAAAAAAAACAAAATGGACTCTTGTCTTTTACCTCATGTCCCCACTGCTATCAGGCGTCCTCACGGTTTGTGGTTGCCTGTCCTCTCTGTTGTCCTTGGTGGTGCCCACTGATGTCTGATTCCCTGGAATTGCTCAGACTGTGGTAATGGTGGTAAAATCAGACACGCGTACAGCTGAAGGCCCAGATCACCGGCCAACACAGAGCCACGACAGTCATGGGGGTCAGACAGCATCGCTCACTGCAGGCTGTCTTTGAAACCATCATCAGACCGGCCCAGAGGATTGTTTCAGACCCCACCCATGTCCTCCACCTTAAATATCAGCTTCTTCCCTCAGGAAGAAGATTCCCCCAGTGCTCAACCACTTTTAAGAAGTCCTTTGTCCCCCTGTCTATTAAAGGCCTAAATGACTAGTTAGCCAGCGCCTATTTACCGTTTTATTTTGTATCTTTTTGTCTCCCACTACACCAGAGGTGCGTTTTACGACCGGCAGTGTGAGTATCTGCTGGCTGGCGACAGTCTGGATGTACTGTATGTATGCTGACGGAGTGCGTCTCGAGGACAAATTTCCTTTGGGACAATAAAATCTGATCAGACCCATTAGCATTTGGACACAATTCTTACGCAACAAATGATTTGAACTGAAGCAGTCCCTATTTAATTCAAGTGTAGACTTCCAGCTTTAGTTCAATAGATATAACAATTGTCCCCGATCAGAGGAACTTTGGGCTCTTTGAGTGGCTCGTGGGGTTATTGTGCTTGAAATGGTTGTAATTTATAAGCTACACCGCTGCCTTCATATCGAATAAAGTGTCTGCATCCTTCCCTGATCGAAATGTCATTGAGTGTTTGAATGTCCCACTGCTTAATGTCCCATCTTGGACGTGGCTTTGAGCCTGGAGACTGTCCACGCAGAGCAGTGGGGACAGAAAGCAGACACCAGCAGCTGTAGATCTACCTGTACACACACTGCTAATTCTGGCCCCACTTATCTCTGCTCTTCCTGCTTTGGCAAGTTGTAGTGGAGTAGAGAAGATGGAGTCTCTCACACACACACACACACAGGTTACTCTGATTCCGACTCCTCTGCTGTCAGTCAATGTAAACAGGGTGAAACTGTTCACAGCCTCCTGCCGCTCTGTGATTTCCTGTGATACTAAACAGCTCGTTAGGTTCTTGCGCTGTTTCTACACATGTATCTCACATTCACAATTTATTAGCCTTTTATAATTTCCCCTCTTATAGAATATTTTGTTTTTTTCACATGAAGACAGGATCCATACGAAACTAGCAGCAGTGCCCTTTTATAATCTGCTTTAAATCTAGCAGGAAACACTGGCTAATTATACCTCTTTTTCTCCACATAACTTGTTGCACTGATGAATTGGCCTACTGAAGACGTTTAAAAAGCATATTCATATTATCCTAACTAACGTGTTTATTTCAACACAAAACTCAATTTCAATTCTCACAAAATAGTTGCCTATACCCAAAAGCAAAGTAAGCCTACTTGGATGTTGAAAGACAAGCGACTACTGTACGTTTCCTTATAACAAAGATGTTTATTTTCAATGACACGTTCACAGCTTGCCTCATAGTTTGAAGCATGAGTCCACTTTTGCGGATTTGTCGAAATGGCGGTGATTATGTGTTTGGAATGGGATGTTGTGGGTCCAAGTCCTTCACCCCCAGGGGGCCTACCACATCCACAACTGAGATGTGTGTTATTTCTGCGGGATTGCTAGGACTGTGACAGGAAAAAGGGACCCCCAGGAAGCTCAGGTTCAGGGCCCAGAAATCACAACAGGTTTTTTCGGTCGCAAAAAAATAATAGACCAAGTGCTGTTTTCCCAATTACTCACATTTCACAGTGTCAGTGTTATACTTCACATGCAGCAGATCAGGATGTTTGCAGTCCAGTGGGCAGGACTGCTCTCCATATGAGGGAAGGGACTGCAAACACTCTGGCAGATTTGTATAACATTTACTTAGATGTGGACTCATTGTACAACCAGTAACGGGTAACGTACGTGTGTGTGTGTGTGTGTGTGTGTGTGTGTGTGTGTGTGTGTGTGTGTGTGTGTGCATGTCCATGTCCATGCTTGGCCTTCATCACTAATAGCCCAGTCTTGTCAGCGGCTGTAAACAGTGAACCATCTCCAAACATTACCTTATTAAGACACAAGAGACAGAACAGACAGCGAGGAGAGTTCATACCTGACACCCCCCCATCCCGCATTCTCGCTCACAGAGAGGAAAGATCAAAGTAAAAAATAGAGAGCACTGAGAGCACAATGTGGCCAGCATACATGGTTAAAACCCCTGGCTCCCATCTGGATCAGAACCAAGCACTCTCCAGCCTCCGAGCTCCAGCAGCAGCCTCCACCTGATATTCAGCAGTTTAACTGGGAGCTTTAACAGTCACATCTTTGAATCAATTCTAAAACCCACTGGTAGCCACATAAAACAGGGATCATGACATGTTCTTTTACGATTTTATAATGATCAAAACTTGAAAAAAATTGTTTTCATTTAGCTGAAGAAAGAACATCCAGCAGAATCAAACGGATCCAGATGTTGAAAGTGGCCTTCGTTGCTGGTTTTGAATGAAACATGCATGTGAGTGTGTTGTTCTAATGGTGCTAGCTATTGTGTTACCGTATAGGTCTAAGCGGCAGTGTATATTCACTAAACGGCCTCATTGGCCACAGAGAGGAGGCTTCACCGACTTAATGTTCATCTGAGATCCAGAACAATTCAAATCAAACAAATCCAGCTGTGAAAACTATCAGTTACTACTTCAATGAGGAGTTTCATTGCTGTGATGTGAACAAAAACGAGTTTGAAATTGATTAAAGATGTTGATTACATTACATTACATGTCATTTAGCTGACGCTTTTATCCAAAGCGACTGACATTGCATTTTTAACCCATGTTTTTCTACATTTGGCCTGGGGATCAATTAGGAGTTGGGTGTCTTGCTCAGGGACAATTCCACATGGGACATGGAGCAGCCGGGGTTCCGCCAACCTCGCGGTCCCCGGCGCCACCGTCACCCACCGTTTATCATGTATGAGTATTCTGAAAAGATAAAACACACGTTTAAAACAGCACCCGGTGTGTGTAAGAAATGGTATCAACCTGCTGATGACTCCATAAACGGATTTGGTTCATCTGTATAATAAGTTACACATGGTATTTCAATTTGCTGTCCAGACAACTGCCCGATGCAGAAAAAGCCCAAATTTAGAAATATTACATTTTTCAAATGCTTTTTTCCTTCAACTGAGTACATATACCCCCCCCCCCCCCCTCCAAAACACCCCCTCTTTTCCATCTCTCTGTTCACCCTCTCTTCCCTTCTACTCTTTTTTTCTCTTCTTTCCTTTCCATTCTTTCCTCCTCTATTTCCTGGGACCCTCCCCTCCCTCTTCACATACGCTTTGTTCCTCAGCTTCTGCCTCCTTTTACTCTTCCTCCCCCCTAAGGCCCCCCCTTTTACCCTCCCTCTCTTTTCTCATTCCCTTCTTCTCTCTGTTTATCCCCATGTATCCTCCTTCCCCCCATCTTTCCCAGACAGACTCTACAGGTCACAAGTTGAGGCTTCTCGGTTTGCCTGACATCAGCGAATCGGTCATGTTCAAAGGGGGCATTCCCTGGTGTAAACCCCGCCCCCCCAGCGACCATAAAAGGTAACGGTGGAATGCATTGCTTGGCAGTCCATCTTCTTCATAAGTGAGACACACACAGAGAGCCCAGGGTGTCCCTCACTGATGAGCTTGAGCTTTCTGTGAGACTACTGAAGCATTCGAAGGACGACGCTGGACCAACCTGCCCTTAGACTTTAAAACGCAGCTTCATAGTCAGCCGTTTAAGGTGAACCTGCCGGTGGGGGTGACAAGCCTCAAGGATCCTCGTCAGGCCCACAGGCTGCCAGCCGCCGCCTCAGGATACGGTATGTTCGCAGGCTTTCCCCTACGCGTGTATGTTTCCCCAACAACAACCAAAACTGTGTTTTTCATTAGAAATGTGTTTTTCTAGTATATGTTGACATATTGTCATCAGGCTTGGATGTTGTCACAGTGAGCATTGTTGAACTGCTACACTCGGTGTCATTTTGCGCCGAACTACCAAGCGTTCGGCAGTGAAATGGCTTGGTGGTCCCGGAGCTCACTGGGAGACACATCCACCGGTGGCTGGATTACAAGTTTGGTCACAATCTGATCTCTGCGACAACTCTGCTGTATAAGACAGCCCACCCACTCCCCACAGGGGGCCTTCAGATGAATCGCCCAACTACACTGACTGATGCCAAATAGAAGAAACGTGGAGGGTCGGACAACAGAATTCAAATGTCTAAAACCCCACGTTGTCCTTTCATACCCACTCTCTGACAGGACTGTAACAGAACCAGATGGAGTGGATTCACATTAACACACATAGACACTACCTTTCATAGAGAGGTCATTTTAAGAAGGGTTGGGGCTCCCAGAAGACCGTAGACCTGACTTTGTCTTAAGGTGTCCCAGGATGAAAAAGTTGGCCACTGAAATTCATCCCGCCAGCAGGAAGGGGGACTTGGTATGTGGGTGCAGTGTTGGCCTTAAATGGGAAAAACACAGCCGCCCTGCAGCATGGCTGGTCTCACGAAGCGTCTCCTGTCACGGGCTAGACCAGCATCCATGACTAGGACCAACTGTAGGACAGACTACAGGCAGTCACATACACACATAACTCATGTCTGTTTCCTCAGGACGCTGCCGTGTGTCTTCTGATAAAGGACAAGGACATCAGGAGCTGAGCAGGAGACACACCAGGTAGGAGCACCCCAAATACGCACACAAACTTTAGTGTTTCTTTACCAATGAGGACCTTAGTTGACATGATGCATTCCCTAACTCCTAAACTATAATATCCCCAACCATCCCGATTACATATCTGACTTAAATATACTCATCACCTTTAAACAGCCCTGTGGAGGCAAGCCAAAAGGACTGTCACTGGTCCTCAGAAAGATAGCAAAGAAATACAGCGTGCAAACACACACACACACACACACACCTCTGGTATGTACATCTGTAAATCTGTTGACCTCCCAATGATAAAACCTCATGGTACAATAAGGCCGTCACATGTCATCCTTTCCCTCCCATCGGCCTACTGGTGACAGAGAGGTTTGGCTGCTGAGTGGGACGAGGTTGAGGGGGTTAATGATAATATTCTGATATCGTTTCCTACTGTTTAAAATAGGGTCATTTAGGCGCCTCCGTACCCAGATCCAGCTGATCAAACATGTGTCGTAAAGCCTCGTGTCCTGCTGGCGACGGGAAATGCACATGAGAAAGTGTCTGGGGGAGAGGGGAAGAGGAAATGCTGCATTTATTTATGGAGCAGCCTTAGGGAGACTTTCACATAACCCTTAGACACACACACACAACAGGCCCCGCTGGGACCAAGAGACCCTGATTCCCAGGGTCAATTTCACATGGGGGGGGGCATGAGGGGGTTGAGAGAATTGTAGGGAAGGAGAGGATGTAGAAAAAGAGATGGAGAGAGAAGCGCAATCGGTCTCTAGTAGTCTTTATATTGTTAACGGATACGTGCAATGATCAATTGGGGCCCCTGAGGTCACTGTCAGCATTCTCCCTCCACTACACGTTGAAGCCACTCACGGAGCTCCCACTATCTCTCATTACTCAACTTCTGATTCATTGATAGTTCAACACACATTCTGGTTCAACCTCTCGCTGTGGTTTCCACTGTTACAAATGAACGTTTGAGCCACAGCCTCTTTCCTGGCTCACACCAGTTCACTGCTACAACCTCCATGTCAACCCCCCCACAGTAAGGCAAGACGTGTTGATAGTGTATCCTGCTGCTTTTAGCCCACAGTCTCTTCACTGTTTTAGAAAACCTAACCAGGCTGTTTTGTGGTCCATTTCAATTGAAAACAATTTGTGTTTTAAACTGTGACTGTAATTCATGATAAACCTTTCTCTCTTAATGTTACTGAGAATGCCTCTAAGTTGTAAGGGGAGACATCAGTGTCCAGCATTGCCTTCTTTGGTAATTGATTTTAAGACACACTTAAAAGCCATGTTTGTACTCTTTAATCAACTCACTCCTCTGGTGACGTCAGTCCTAAAGATTTAAAAATCCATCCTTCTCATTACACAGGTTTCACTTAGCTGTGTGAGTGTGTTTGTGTGTGTATGTGTGCGTGTGTGTGTGTGTGACTGACAAAGTAAATGCAGAACGGGCTTCCTGTGAGTGATTTACAGTCAGAAAAAGAGAAAGACCGTATTAGGCAATGTTTGGCTCAACGGGAGAGATCGGTTTTGAGGGTTATCGCAGCGTGGCTAAAGACACACACACACACACACACACACACACACACACACACACACACACACACACAAAACACACGTTCCCACTCAGGGGCTGGTAGCCTGTGGTCAAAGTGTGAGTGTCTGCACTGTAACACGGCTCCATCTCAAGTCATATTCTCATTAAACTCGTCCAAATCAGCTAAGTAACAGTTATACATAGTACCACATTCAGTACACGTAGTACCACAGTCAGTACACACAGTAGGGACAGTCAGTACACGTAGTACCACAGTCAGTACACGTAGTACCACAGTCAGTACACGTAGTAACACTGTCAGTACACGTAGTAACACTGTCAGTACACGTAGTACCACAGTCAGTACACATAGTACCACGCAGCAACACAGACATGAATAGGGGAGGTAAGAAAAGTCAAATGAAAATAGTTTTCAGGCTACAGACTGACAAGTTCCCAGATAAAATATTTTAAATATGTATGTATATAAAATATGCTGGCTTATCGTATTCTTTGGTTGACCTAAAGGTCCAGACTGCTAGTGAAAATCACAATTGCCACAATTTCCTGCTTTTTTGCATGCGATGAGTCCCTAATGTATTTCTTCTGGCCGTCAGTTTCCCCCACTTTGCCTTTTCAAACCATTATTAGTACTTCTGTTTTTACTCGGTTGAGCTGTAGAAACGCATAGTCAGGGGGAGGAGGGTTTACAGTTCAGGGTGCTGTGGATCTCATTTTTTGGTTCTGATGGCATCTTCGGTCTGTGGCGGGGTTTGCAGCCTAGTGGGAAGCAGTCAAGATGAGGAATGAGGAATGACCGAAAGAACTAGGTCACGGGTACTAGCGGCCAAAATGGGTTTCCTGAGGAGGTCCGCTGGCGTCTCCCTTAGAGATAGGATCAGCTCAACCATCCGCGAGGAGCTCGGAGTAGAGCCGCTGCTCCTTTGCGTCGAAAGGAGCCAGTTGAGGGGGTTTGAGCATCTGGTGAGGATGCCCCCTGGGCGCCTCCTCAAGGAGAAACCTAGGACCAACTGGAGAGATCACATCTCCACACTGGCCTGGGAACGCCTTGGGATCCCCCAGTCAGAGCTGGTAGACGTGGCCCGGGAAAGGGAAGTTTAGGGTCCTATGTGGAGCTGTTGCCCCCGCGACCCGACCCGGATAAGCGGCTGAAGATGAGATGAGAGCGAGCTGTAAAAACGTTCTGTGCTTTGTCAACACCTCCAATGAAAAAAGCGAAGAGAGGTTTTTACAGTCAGCTGGTAGGTTCAGACCCCTTACAGCAGCTCTGACATGATACGTCCCCGCAACGCATTCCAGCTGTGGGACTCAAGGTCAGCCTGCTTCTGTTTGGTGGATTATTGTTTGCAGGTGTGGGGGACGTTGTCCAGCAGAGACCCCTCGCTTTGGGTGAGTAAAGGTGTGCCAGGGCCCCTATAGGCTGTGAAAGGTGACACGATAAAGGCCGGGGGGATCTCTGCGCTGATGGCCGAACTCAAAGTTCTCCTGGAGTTAACAAATAGACTTCTTCAGAAAACCATAGCTCATTACTTTATCAAGTCAAATAACAGATCTTCATCTCTAGGAGGAATTTAAATTCGATGAGAAGACCAATCAGAAGCCAGTGGCCCGCATTTAGTCCCACTAGGTTACTCTATGACGTACAACGTGCTGGTAGGTGTGTACTTAACACACAGACATGAGGATGTCCACTAACTCTATGGACTCTGGTTAAATGCTCACACTGCCCTGGTCTCATCCACGTGGCTCTTTGTGTAGAAGAAACGCCGTTACTGAGACTCTACTGATGTGGAGCCGTGGGCCTTGTTCACAGTCATATAGTCACTTATTTCACCGCTTATTATTCTTGTCGTTATCAGATTTAATTCTAACATGCAGCCTTTCAATGTAAAGCCTCAAAAATCCATAAAAAACATAAACTCATAAAAAACTGTTTTACAGACACAAGAAGACATACTGAACTCTAACTTGTGTATCGGATGTTACACTGGAACAGGATGCTGGATTGAAGCATGCAGTCATGTAACACACACACACACACACACACACACACACACACACAGGAGAGGGCAGATTTTGTTTGTTGGATGGTTCAGTGAGGGCGACACTTCCCGAGGACAGACCTTTGAGTCCCTACTGTGTGACTGTGCGTTGGTGTGTGGTGTGTTTTGTGTGCGTGTGTGAGTGTGAGAGATAGACTCGCTCTTAATATGGACTTGTTGAGTCCAGAGCAGAGGCAGAAGGCACGGCGTGAGATGAAGGCCTCCTCCTCTTCCTCCACGGCCTTTTAAGTCTCTCCCCACTGTGCCTAGAAAAGGGAATGAATGTAGCCAGCTGGGAGAAGAGGGGGGGGGGACTATCAGTGGGAGCGATCACAGACTGGGAGAGGGAATGTTTACCCAAAGCAGCAATCCCATTTTCCATGATCCCCAAAATAAAAGGCTGGCTCGGGCCTTATATGGCCAGACTGGGAGTTTCCCGAGCACAGTCGCAGCATTCCTGGAGAACTACCAGCTGTTCTCTCTCTCTCCCTCTGTCTTTATATGTCTCTCTCTCTCTCTCTCTCTCTCCCTCTCTCTCTCTCTCTCCCTCTGTCTTTATATGTCTCTCTCTCTCTCTCTCTCTCTCGATCTGTGTCTTTACATGTCTCTTTCTCTCTCCTCCATGTCCTCCGTGATGGAGACGACAGGAGTTGGAGTATTATTGCTGCTCCAGAGGACCAAACACTTTTTGACACTTCACATTTATATCTTCTACCAGGTGTTGTCTTGAGATGATGGAGATCAAAGATGGAGATCACAAGCCTGCACTTTGGGTAAGAGAGAACCGCTCTACACGGTGGTGTCTGTTTTTCACTTTATCTTTTGTTGGTTTCAGAGAAGGGATTTTCCTCAAGGAATGAACGTTAATGTGTTATTTTGCTATGAATCCAGAAAAGTCCTCACAGAGTCGTGTTGTCTTAAAGAGCAACATCTCAAATGACTGAAGATATTTCCACCATTGGCTCCACTCACACTTTGAAACCCACAGCTTTAGCTGCTTTCCAGAGTTGTAATATATTTTGAGATTAAACAGAACCAGAAACTGGTCAAAAACAGTTTTTATCTATCACCTGATGTTTATATGTCTTAATCCTTTCATGCTCATTCACTGAGACAGAATTAAGTTTCTTAAATCCCTCCCTGGGCAGCAGTGCTGTGAGCGTGAATGGGTGAACTGGGGAAAGTGCTTCTTCTCTTCGGTAGGAACACTTTGTAAACGTATAAGACTCCATTTATGTTCCTGGTAAAGGCAAACCAACAACGAATGAACACTAGTTGCTGACTACTGTGGGTCATTCAAGCGGTGTGACCAGTGTTTAACCTCCTTCATCTGGATCCCATGTTGATTGTAAAGTCCAGTGGACATAGTATCGCTGCAGGGACCGGAGGGAAAGTCTTCTGTAATGTCTCGTTATCAACAAAGTGTTATTTGTATTTCAGATGTCAGAGAGGAGCATGAAGAAAGGTGAGCATTACATGCGCATTATCAATTTATAAGATTTATTTGGGTACATCTGTGTGAGTGTCTGCATGTGTGGAGAGCAGCAGCATGGCAGGAAATAAATATAATGTAGGTCTACGGGGGGTTAACGCCATTTCCTGTTGACCCCTCCCCAACAAATATGTTATCTATCTCTCTCTCTCTCTCTCTCTCTCTCTCTCTCTTCCCCACATACACAGTTATTATTAGCTTAGTCCTTTATAACTTTATTCTAATGGTATTGGATCTTGTCATGAGTACACCTGCGTCTGCCTCAGGTTCAAGTCAGCGAGTGTGGGCTCATCTGGGTGTCTGTAGTTGTGTGATTTCTAACAGCTAAAATCCATCCCTTTTGCATAATATGTCTTTGTCAGTTTGCATGCCGTGTATGCAGTCAGTCATCCCTGTGGCCCATGGTGCAGTGCTGCATCTCTGGTCAGTTGGTAGTCTGAGATGAAGCACTGTAGCTCGGGACGGAGGACAGAAATCCCGGTGATCTCAGGTGACCGTGATCTGGGTTTCAGACACTGTGTGGATCCTTTTCAGCCTATAAACCTAAACTGTTTAAAGCACACTGAGGTTTACAGAGAAATAGATACAGGGTCGGAGGTGCCTTCCTGGCAGAACCTTCAGGTCTTTCACATCCATGGGCCCTTGAGTATAGACACTTTAACCCTGTGTAGCAGCCCCCTCCAGCAAATGGATCCAGGCAAATAACTACTGAAAGGTCGATTTACTTAAAAGTGTTTCTCCTTCAATGAAACGTCATTCTGGGCCCATTGGCTTCACTTGATGGGGGCTGAAGTTGCTTTATTGTGGACTAGCAACTCTTGGAGGTCTGCTTCAAGGGCCCGCTGCTCTTCACGTGCACAGTGGGCGCCCCCTTGCTCACGTCCTACCCGCTTCCAGCGCCATTACTCGAACCACATCCATCGCCGATGAATATGGTTGAATACCTCTAATAAATCATGAGAACCCTACAAGGATTTCTGTGTTTAAAATCGCCCCATCAGGAGATGGAAAGAAAAGCACAGACCTGATGTTTTGGGCAGTTTCTATTATTCATGTACATATGAAGTCTGGACCTCTGCACACTGAGTTCTTCTGCTGATGGATGATGACAAGAAAAAGAAGGTTATTGATTTCCTCTCTCCTGGGGTCCAGTTTTCCCAGGAATCCCTTGACCTATCAGAAAGGGGGATTCCTGGAAATACTGTTCTTGGGGGCGGGGCTTATCCACTCAACCAGTTATTACATTATTATTTGTGTCGTGTGTAATGATGTTTGTACTGACTGTACTTTCGTACTTCACTGTGTGTCTCATGAGGTTTAACACTAACCAACCCTCCTCTCTGACTACTGATCATGGTTGAATAAACATTGAAACAAAGTAACACTTGCATGCATTGTCATTTATTGTACATGAATAATGCAGTTTGGGAGTACAGGGGGATAAAGGGATCAAAAGATTACCCAGATCCTTTACTTAGCAGAAGAAGAACCCATTATAGTGATCATGTCCTGCAATCAAAATCCTACTGATGAAGTATTATCAGTAAAATGTACTTCGGTCTGAATCTATATGACACAACGTGAGAGGGTTAATTCTGAGCATTCATGTAGCAGTTGTAGTTGCAGCTAAGATAGCTCTTCTCTTTGCTCTTAATATAAGATAACGGTATACTTTATTCTAATTACCATGTTAGAAGTTCATTGGTTTGTTTTCAGACTCCAAAACAAAGAAAATAATGCAGTGATGAGAGAATACAGTAACAGAGCTGAACTTTACTCAACCACAGTAAACGTCTAACATGAAGCGCTGTAAAATCACACAAATCTGTGAGACGCACAGTTGGATACTAGATGTCAAACTGTATTTTTGTAAAGAATGTCTCACATCATATGTTTAAGAAATAAAAAGACAATAGAAGTAAAAAAAATCAGGGCAAAGAATTTTATAAACTGTATTTCACCATCATCACATCAATCAAAGAGGTCCGAACAATAATGACCATGATGAATAATCTACACAGACGTTGACTGGAAATGATTTCTCCTGTAAAACGGCAGCTTGTCCTCGACGACTGGATTCAGTCAGAGAAGCTTCCTGCTAAAACACATCTGTTGTTGGTGTAAGTTGTATTTGTACATGTATGACCACAAGGTGGTGCAGCTGTAGCGTGTAACAGCTCACATCCTCCTCCTCCTCCTCCTCCTCCACAGAGAACTTCCTCCATGAGCAGTGTGTATTTACAGGATGTTCAGAGTCATCAGCCCGATGACTGTCCCATGCTTTCATATCAGGAGCGAACTTGTTTTATTACAGCTCCTCCCATGCTGCTCCTGCCCCCCCCCCCCCCCATTCCCCCCAACCCCCCCTCCGAGACAACAGGAACATGGCTTTCTCACACACACACACACACACACACACACACACACACACAACTTTTACATTACAGGTCATTTAGCTGACGCTTTAATCCAAAGCGACTTACTTTGCATTTTTAACCCATGGCTTTTTAAAAACATTTTTGTTGCATTCACGCCAGAAATGGACTCTTATAACGTCTGTGATTGTGCCTCACAGTTTTACAATCAGCCCGAGGAAGAGGAAGAGGAAGAGGAAAACACTGGACTGAGCCTTTTGCAGACTGTACACTAAAGGAGAAATGCCCCAGAGGAATGTAACGTCCATTGCACGAGAGGGAGAGAAACAAGATGAGGCAGGCCGATGGTAGAAAGATAGAATATCTCCTGAAGAAGAGCAGTTGTACTATTCTACAACAGCACTGTATGTGCAGTACAGCTACAATGTTAACCTTGTGTACAACAGTATATGTTATATCAATACGGCCTTCATTTAAAAAAAGGTTAGAATTCAGAAGAATCACTTGGTTTCACTTTAAATAACAGTTACAAGCAGCGATTTGAGAAGACTCAAACATGAAGCTACCAGGAGCCCCATTATCCTGCAGTGCTGTCATGTTAGTACAAGACACTTTCTATAAGCATTCTCACAGCTGCAAATAAACAGGTGAGATGGGAAATCTCTCCTTTTTAATTTAGTTGCATAATAATTGTGCACACATAGATATTATCCTACGAAAAAGCCCAAAACACTTTTTTAAATATTCAGTTTTGGGTTTTATTATTATTTTGGATTAACCAAGAGCACTGTAGTTGTTCAATAATAAAAAAGAATCCTCAAATACAACACCCAGTAATCGTGCACACAGTGTAGTCACACATTTCTTTGCCTTATCTTCCTCTCTACAATCAGGTGAGCGTCACGTCTTTCCCGAGTCACAGTGGCGCAGTGGAAGGCGGAATACACAAAAGCACCTGAAGCGAGGCGAGTCACACCATGAAGCGGAAAGAACGTGATGACAAACTGCTGCTGGAACCTCACCAACTAATCTGAGAAGGAACATTTCTGAGGGTTTTCAGTAGTATCAGTACACTACAATGGACAGACACACACACGCGCACGCAGACACACACACCCAGCAGGCGAATAATGAAGAAGGTATGTGTGAGGTCGACTGAAGGCTACTTATATTCACACGCACTTAACGTGACACTCGTTTTAGGTTTTGACAGGTAGAAATATGTCAGATTATGAGATAATCGACTCGACTTGCTTGTCGTGTTTTTGTCTCTTTTGTTCCACAAAGAGGACCCTGACGTCTTGTGGCTTCAGATCCAGTTTATTTTATTTGCCATTTAATAAGACATCTAATAGTTATGAGTCAGCCCCATAGTTGAGTAACGTGTGTGAAGGTGTGTGTCTGCGCCGCGGCGCTCCCTGTCAGTGAACACAGTACTCTGCATCGGTGTAATTAAACTGTGAACAGGGAGAAAGCAGCAGCTCACACGAGCTTTATGCCGAACATCCCATCAGCCTCCCTGACAAACACAGACACCGACAGTGTGCCAAGGTCCGTCCAAGGCGGCGGATCCCTCCTCCGCACTGGTCAAAGTCCAGAGCAGCGGCCTGCTGTGTCAGCTGAACACACACACAGGCTGTAGTGAGTCTGAGGACGGCTCACTCGTTGGATCTTGTTCAGAAAGCTGAGCCGGAGCCTCATTTGCAGCTAGTTGTGCAAACAAGAGTTTACCTCTTTGTGTGTTGTTCCATTGTTCCCCTTTCCAAAGACCTAATGCTTGAAAGGTTTGTGTTATGATATATTTTGATCTGACCTAGTTGCTCACTTTATGGAATATTTGAAAAATTAAAAAGATAAATCTCTAAGATAACTGACAATTCTTTCTGCCAACCTAGAAAGGGACTAATAACAAAATTATAAATTGAGTCTTGGCTTATTAAGAGCAAGGAATTGAAGGTTTCAGTTTCCAGCCACCATCACAGCACATATGCACAGAGAAATCACAGAAAACTGCTGCTTAAAGTATCACCGTCTATTAACTTCCAACAATAATAATCAGATCAATAATATAATAATGTCCTAAGATCTAAACATTCATTCATTCACGTGTGGGTGAATGTTTGTGTAGGAAGGGGTAGCTGGAAGCTAAAGCTGGCAGAGGTGTTTGTTCACCACGTGTTCCCTGCAGTTTAACCTCTGTAGGTAAATCTGTATGTGTGGGGGGACAACTATTGGTTAATAAAGAATAAAACAAAAGAAAAGACTCAAAGCAAAGCAGTGGTCAATGGTTGGTAATATTCATTTTCAGTTACGCTTCAATCTGTTTGCTCAGTGAGGACAGTGAGTCCTTCAATCCGTGTTGCCAAGAGTTAACTCAGTAGATGCAGTGCGTTGCTCTACACACACAAACCTGACTCGGCGCCTTTAATGACCTTGACACGAGAAGCAGCATCAGCGTGGAGTCTCGCACTGATAATGATTGCAAATACGATCACCGTTCCAAAACACCCCTGATCGCCTGCTCTGGGTCGATCCTTCGGGGTGTGGCTTCACAGGTTTGACTGGTTTCTACAAGTTTGTTCTCTTTCATTTACAGTCAGAGTGGCTTAAACAACCTGAGGCTCCAGCACAAACTATTAGAATGTTTCCTCGCCCTTCTATTTGACAGGCCGCTCCCCACGAGATTCTTTTCTTTTTGCCTTCAAACAGATCCTACAAGATGGTCTTTTTAAGGCTTTTTAAAGTTCTTTTCGGTTGCTTCACTTACAAGCATTAGAGGTTTCAATTGTTCGCTGGTATTTCCTTCACGTGAAAGGAGAAGCACTGACACCATTACATTCGGGTTGTGAAGAGACTTGTAATTGCTGTGCAGCAAAAACTGTTAACATACAGAAGGTAAAATAAAGGAGTAAGGAAAGACATGTTGATACAGGAGGTGAGCTGCAGCAAGCTGATGTCCCAGCGTGAAGAGGACTTGGTGTCGGCACGGGAAGAAATGTCCAGTACTTTGGAGCTTCAACCAAGGTCACAGGTGGAATCACAAGCGATTCACCTGGATTGAGGAGATGTCTTTGAAGGAGCATTTTCTGAAGCACTCAAAGTGAGAACACACACTGCTTCAGCTACTAGAGACAACACAGAGTCACAAGGCCTTCCAACGTCATTTCAACGAGTCCACTCAACAGACTAGGTGGATTCGTACAGGACTCAAGATGGCCGTGTGTCGGGGGGAAAGAAGTGTGCTGTTGTTACACTCCCACAAAGTCCACAGAGGGAGCAGGTGCAGTGTGTAGGTGGGTCAACACACTCAACCCTGATCATGTTTAACTGTGGCCATGACCTCGGTCCTAGAGAACATGGACAAACAACGATGGACTGCCCTGCGATTGGCTGAATCCATCCAGACTCCAGAGCAACGTGGACGGCACATACGCCTCTGAATGTTCTAAACGCAGCGTACTTTTTGGATTGGATTCTTAGATTCTACTAGATCTTTCAGTAGAATTAAAACATGGGCTGACTATTTACAGCAGTGAAATGGATTTACCCGTATTTCACTGCAACACTGCATACAAATATTTAGGTGGCTTATTTTGAACACTATGTAAACGTGAGCCTGTTTTGGTTTGCAATAATTCTTTTGATCTATTAATCCAAACGTTAAAAATCATATGGCATAGGGGGCGTATTCATGGCCATTTCATTCTGCTGGTTCTTTAAAATACTGGACCATCTCCAGTAGTGGACACAAGTCTGCAGGCTGAACTGTAACACTGGATGTGAAGTGTGAACCAGGAGGAGTTGCGTTTACAATATCGGACAGGAGAACATACCTTTGCTTCTCAGCTGAATGGAAAGGTTTTGAGAATTGTGGCTGACCAACCTCAGAACATATGGTTTCCCCATGTGACCACGCGGCGCTTTGGGGACGAGGACGTTTATTTCTGGGGTTTCGAAGGCAGCTGCTCCACACAACACCTTCAGATGAGTGCTGGAACGCCCACATTGGGAGGTCTTGGTGAAAGATGCTGATGTTAGGTGAAATGCAAGGTGTACTCTCATTGGTCCAGCTGCAACCATCCGGATGGTAAAAAACAAATACTTGCCCGCCCCACAAGCTGTGTATGCATACAGCTTGTGGGGCGGTCTCACCAGAATCTGGACGAAGAGGACAGTTAACGATTGAGTAACAAATCAGGAATATTTAGAGGGACATTTCAAACTGCAGGCATTGAATGTTTTGAGAATCTGACCATACAACAGGTCTGTCCTATGAAATGATGCAGCACTCTGTGGGATCCCAAACCCTCCACTGAATTCATACGACATGGTGTGGGAACGCCTTTATTTAGTTCCACAAAACAAGGAAACAATCTGGTGGCAGAGCAAGGCTTTTTTCTCTGCCCAGATACACATTACTTATCTTTACACAAATAGCTTTTAAAGCTCACAATGTGGAATAGAGAATATCCACACGTCCTTTTACATCAGGCGACTGGATGAGTGGAGAGCGTGGTGGTACACAGCAATCAGGATTGGCGGTTTGATGCCCGGCTGCTCCGGTCCATGTGTCCTTCGGCAAGACCCACCCCAAATATCCCCCGTGGTTGTGAGTGCAGTGTGTGAATGCTAGTTCCTGATGGGCAGGTGGGCACCGTATGGTAGCTCCTTCCAACAGTGTATGAATGGCTGAATGACGACATGTAGGGGTAGAGAGAGATTAAAGACTTTACTTACCACCAGTCCAAGCCACATGTCAGTTAGCTGTTGTGGCTTTAGCTCCTCTCAACGTTGAGAAAATAGTTTTAGTCCATATGGACAATTCAAACAATAAGGAAGCATTAGCAGCCTAGAGGGCTGCCCGAGGCCTCCCATGCAATGTGGGGTTCCATTGTTAATGCGACTCGTCATTCAGGTAGACAACTCCCACCCTGGGGGGGCAGACATGTAACTCGTATAACATTTTTCTATTTGGGTGTCCTCTGGCTATTTTTCAGGACTACATATGTAATCTCAGCCAGACAGCAGCAAGCGTGGAGGAGGGCGATCAGAGACACATGGATGTCCTACGAGCATGATTGACATGTTAAGGGACACTTTGATTCATTTAGTCTAGGAGAAAAGATCAGGTTTCATTGAGCAGGTGTCTGATAATAACTTGTGCTTAGAGGTCGGATTTATGTAATGTTTTTATTGGTATTTTTGAAGACCATTTTACAACAGATTTAATAATAATTCAGAGCTCTAGAGGGATAGAGCCAGCGTATCATTCTATTATTGACTGTTGCCATCAGATGCTTATATTGTCGACAGGCAAACTCCTAACCACCATAGGAAAACAAAGAAAGGAAATCCAACATTTGATTTTTTTTTAAGTAAATAACATCCAGGGTTGCATGATCAATTATTTCAGAAACAAAAAGGGAGAAAGCTTTCCGTTTTACACGCTTTAAGATCCGCTTCGTTAAAGGGAGTGAAATAATTGAGGAGTGAAAAGGGGAAAAGAACTTGAGATGTTTCCACTGGGAAAGAAAAAGGATCCGCTGACTATCTTCTTAATTTTAGTTCCCTAAGAAACCTTACAAAAAGTCAACACTGAAGGAGGACAGAGAGGGGGTGGGGAGGGGTGTGTCTGGGGTGGGGGCAGGGGGGCTACAGCCTCCACATCCAAAAAAAATCCTGCTTTTTCATTCTTTTCTTTCGGAGTGCAGAGTTTTATTATATATATACACATAATATATAGATGACACAGCTGACAAAGGCGTGTGTGGATCTATACATTCCCATTACATAGATAGTTATTATGGAAGGAGAGACACAGACTTTCTGTTTGTCGCTTGTCCAGGAAGAGACACGTGTTGGTCCTGGTCACCAACTCTTCTGCGCTCAGAAACCTAGAGACAGACAGAAACACAGGCAGCAACGTTACCACGGCGACTTGACGGCTCGCAGCTACACACACAGACAGGATCAACCGCTTCCCCAGCAGGGTGCCGTCTGAAAGCAGGGGAGGGTGACGACAGTAGGAAGGAGGCCTCCAACACTGGCCACAGCAGGTCGGTGCCATTGTGAGGCAAGTGAGTACACAGCTGCAGCCCCCCCTCGCATGCTGGAGGTGACACATCGTTTGCTTCCCATCAGACCCCCTGAACACTTGGCTCATCTGCTTGTATGGAACACCTTCATAAAGCCTCTGTGCAGACTTAACTTTACCAGACTGGTCATCAGTGATGCGTAGTTACAGAAATGTGTTGGGCAGGACTTCTATAGCCACGCCTCCAGAGATCAGGACTATACTGGTGCGGATTCTGGATCCGAATGACATCACCAGCACAAGGCGGCGGCTTCTGAATCCAGGATGTTTATACAGTGAGAGGAGGTGGAGACAACGTCTGGGTCTATGGGCTCATCCCTGGTAGAAGAGCGCTGTGATGAGACCAGATCATCATAAACAAACAGTCCGCCTGCATGTATTAGCATTCACTTTATTGGACCGAGATCTAACCAGGAAAGCCTTATCACACAGGCATCATAAATGCGGCTGTGGGCTTGGGTTGCCAATCAAACAGAAAAACAAAGGGCACTTGCTTTTCAAAAGGGAAGTAGTTAGAAACACTGCAACTAAATGGAGATTTAGTGAGGTTTTTATAGGAAATAGGTGTTAGATCACTCAAGTGTAGATCACTCAAGTGTAGAAAGCAGCAACTAGTCATTGTACCAGAATTCACTATGAACAGATAAATGGATTAAAGGAAATTTGAAAGCTCTTTAAGCATTTTATTCAGTCAAATACAATACAGGTCTTCAATTACTTGGAAAGAGGCTACCATGCAAGGTGCCACATGGCCGTCGGGACCAACAGTCATACACTATAGAAACAGCCGACAGGAGCAGCTCAGGGATACAAGGACACATCAACAAGAACCACCGGCGCCAGGGATCAAACTATCGATCCTGTGTCGCTGAGCCAGAGTGCAGCCTGTGCCGCTACATATTATCAGAGGCTTTATGTGGATGTATACACACTACCAAGGGTTGTGGAATTATGTGTGCTTTGTAGGCAGCCAACAGGTAAGTGTTACACAACATGTTGGTGGAGGGACAAATGGGACATGATGCAACAGAGGCCTCTCCTAATGAGGCTACACACTTTACCTCCATCAAAGCTGCTTCAGAGGAGGTACATTGTTTAACAGAAAAAGTGAGTCTAACTTTGTTTTTCTCCCGCCACGATAGGTAGAACGCTCGCAGGACTAAGAGCACACAAGTGTTCTTGCCTACTTTATAGTTCTTGGAACATAACATGCTTCTCACCAAGCAGCATTGTGTTGACGTTAACAGACCCATGTCTTTGAGCAATTGTGGCAGTAGCTGGGGAAGAAGCAGGAAGTGTGCGCTTATCTCCATTAAGGCGGGTTCAGAGTAGGAACATTCAGTTTCAACAGAGGTTAAAAGTCGCTCTTACTAAAATCGGTTTTATGAACTATCAAAGTGTCGAGTTGCAGTGTTGACTGCAGTTTAGGTGGACTTGAGATCTTCAGTTATTCTGTGCCACTGCCATCACTGACTGCTCAACTGGAAATAAACGGGAGAGAAAATGAGAAAATATATGACTTTATAAAAAAAAAAAAAAAGAAAGCTATTAGAAAGCACCAGCAATATATCAGGGTCAGCATGAAATGTTTTGAACTGTACAATACATTGTACACATTATTGGAAAGCTGGCTTGCTTTGATAGAATATCTATGGCTTGAATAGCCATGAAAAGCAGCACTCAACTCATGGTCCACTTTTACAATTCTGCTGAGTTATCAGCATTAAATGGGGGAAAAAACATTATCGTCTTATGGACAATCTGACACTTTCATCATTCACATCCATTCTCTGTTACAGCAGTTACCAGACACCCGCCCCCCCGGAGCTATTCGGTCTTAAAATAACGGATTGAAGGACAACCCGCTCACCACGGTCGTCCTCACCAGAGATCCGCCCAACATTACACCAGACAACAAGTTGCCGGGTTATTTTATGCTCATGACCAGTTATCCGGGAGCCTCAGTTGGTGCTCAGGGTGAGAGGTATCAAGACACCACAGAAGAAGTCCTATGGCTAGAGGTGAAGATACCATGGACAACGATTTGTTCATTGTATGAACCATGTCAGCTTGTTGGGATGAGGGCTAAACTGAGATGATCAGAGGCATTCCTTTACCGCTCACCCCAACATGTCAATGGAAATGTGTTCTGGGTACATGACGGATTCCCCTTTACAGACTGCCCACTTCATCCTAGCCATCCTAGTGGTTCGAGTCCGGGCTGCCCCATGGCTCAAGTCCAAGTGTCCCTGAGCAAGACACCTAACCCCTAATTGCTCCCTGGGCCAAATGTAAAAAGCCATGGGTTTAAAGTAATGTAAGTCGCTTTGGATAAAAGCTTCAGCTAAATGACATGTAATGTAATATTAACTGCTCTGTACAAAATAAATACACATGCAGGCTGAAATCCAACTGGATTTTACTGTCAGGAGATGCAGCAACTATTTCCAGATAGAGTGGAAGAGCTGTGGATGACGACTAACTTAAGCTGCTAAAATAATAGATGCATATTTAGTATCCTGTCTCACAAGTTGTCAACCATCATGTAGATGAAAGCACACATATTATTAATTTAGAGAGTTCTCACACACACACACAAATTTATTTCAGTGGCAAAATAAAAGTAGCCCATTGTAGAAGCTGGTATGATAGAACAAAGCGATCTGCTATCTCTACACAACACTTTGATTTTCATAAGGCAGATGCTTGTTAAATGCTGCTACAAAAAAAGCTAACATCTCTGCATACCCAATACTCTCATACGGCACTTTTAGAACAAAAGGAAATTACAAGATATTCTGGTTTCAGGTCTGGCTTGCCAAAAAAAAATTTCAGAATCATTTGCTTGGTTACAGCTTCTTAAAAATAGCAAATAGCTGCTCGAATTATTGGAGAATTTGAGATTTTTCCCTGTGGCAGAGCTGACCGCACATTCGCTTACAATGAGACAGCCCGTGGAAACTTCCACACTCCGTGACATAACAGATAAAGCAGTAGTCTAGTCTATCTGCCTGACAACACATGTGGACCATTAATAGTAGTCCAATAGCACGGAAAAGAAAGGGTTAAGAGAGGGAAACAAAGACTGGAGTGGAACGTTAACGAAAGACTGCAGTAGAGTCACAAGTGTGGAATCAGAGCAGGTCGGTCAGCTTTAAGAGGGAGCTTGTTGCCCAGACCCAACAGAGAAACAGATTAGCAAGGCAGCAAAGTTAGTAGTCAAATTCCCCAAGGACGTCTTTGCTTCGGCAAGACAGACCAATTGTATCAAATTATTTTATTTGGGATTTTTTATTATTTTAAGGGCCTCCTGAAACATGTAATGCTGTTAGGCTACATCATTCCAAAAGGAATAATAAGCTATAGTTGCTTAGAATTTCCAATTTAGTGTTTAAGCTTTTTGAAAAAAATAAAGGGTTAGGGTTCAAACAATATCTAATAGTGCTAAATACAATCCTAAATGAATGTATGAGCAATTGGTGTCTGTAAAAAAAACGTCGCTTGGCTGTTTGCTACTAACCTTTCATGTAGGCTTGGGAATTGTCAGCTTGCTTGCCTGTGGGGGTTTGTGCTGCTGACCCTGCCCCGGAGGTGGCCCCCTGCTGGGCAGCTTTCTGTTTGAGCATGGTCCAGTCAAATGTGTAGTCATACTGGTGGTTCAGGGTCCTAAAAGACAAAGACCTCATCAGCCCAATACTACCAACATTCGGTTGTAAAAACAAACAGCAAGATGGGAATGAATGAAGAAAGCAAACAATGGAACGGGACAATATTGGGACAAAAAGCAACATCATCCTGTACGGTGATAGAAAAGCAGTCATCTGGACCTAAATGCATTATGCTTGGTGTATATGACTAAACAATTATTCATTAAATAGTGTGACATTCAATGACAGCAAAAGCTTAAATATACGGATAAACCGGTTACGTGGGAGCCTATCAATACTATGGGCTTTATCGATCTCATCGAATGATAGCGGCCATTTTTCTACCGGCACAAGTGATGGTCCGGAGCAGACCAGCTTGCAAACAGTTTTAATGAGTCACAAGTGACACAGAAGACTGCGCTGACTGAACGTTGGAATACGTGGCTGCTGTCATTCACCTGAAAAGGATGCGGAAAAGTTGGCGCAGGTACATGTAGTCCGGAGCCTCCTCAAAGCGTAAGCCACGGCAGTAGTTCAGATACATAGCAAACTCGGCTGGGAAACCCTGGGAAGAAGAATTCATACAATCATATTGTGGGAATGGGTAGACAACTTGTACCACTGAGCATGTTGAACCCTTTCTTACCTTACAGAGGACCTCAACAGGGGTGGACATCTTCTTCTCCGAGATCTTCTCGTACTTCTGCTTCTTTGTGGCAGCCTGACACACAAAACTACACTATTAGCAACATACTACCAGTCAAATGGCTGTTTACACTCTGTGACCCTGACCTCATCGACTTCTGTTACATCATGTGCATCTGCAGCGGAATATTCATGCTGGTACCACAGCCGACTGCTGTTGTAGCACCAGTAGTTTTCAGTGGCACAAATCCTATATTTTCAGTATCTACACATTATGGCTGTCTAAGGGCCATGTGGAGCAGACCATGAGACAAGTTTAACTTATGTAAGGTTTAAGAACGTCATGTTGAACGGCAATCTTGAAGCATTAGCAATGCCAAACAAACATGGGAAAACACACCTACAAAAAGAGTTGTAAAGACAAGTGGAAATAAAAAATAAACTTTCACAAAGACTAAAGAGAGCGAACAGTTTGAGGATTGAGTGGAAAAAAAACCCTCCGTGGTCATCATACCTTTAGTCCCTGCCACGGCAAACTGGTTCTGTTGAAGTACATCAACACGTAGCCTAGCGACTCCATGTCATCACGGCGACTGCCGACAACAAAACGGGTTGTTAAGGAGACATTTTCTATTCAGATGTACTTGGTCTTGAGCGGCAAGGATGGGAGGTTTGCAGCCAATCTTTTTTCAGTTGATCAAATTTAAACAAGAGTAACTATAGCAAAGAATATTTTACTTCGAGCAAGTAAGACTGAATACAATACAAAAGAAGCCGTGGGGGAACACGGCAAAGAGAATTTCGAGCAGTGTATGTACTCAGACATTTATCACAATGTGGTTGGTTCATGCTATTCAGAGGAATTAACTTGACTGACTAGTAGGCACGCAGCACAAAACTAAACACAGGTTGCATTGACTTGCGTGTGCCATTTCGTTTTTAAAAATAGGATTGATCAAAGGGAAATTATTGCTAGCATGGTGTGCAAATAGAAATTTGATTAAACACAGTTGCCGAGGGTTTCAAAGCACCATAAATAGACATTAGGAATTTAAACCTGTTCCAAATGGATCTCCTACTGGCACTAGGCATAAAATATTAGAATTATAAAATTATTTAATTAAAGCCAATTTTCAAAAAGAAATGCGTTCGCTTTTTGTTAATCATTTAAATTGATGAGTTAACATTCATATTTTCAATTAACTACTTTATGCTTGGTCTGCAGCCTTGCTGTCAATTATAGTACTAGTAGTAAAGAAAATGTAAACGGTGCATCTCAGGATTCTGTCACACGCGTTCGGTCTTTGCATGAGTCTCTCTCTCGGTTTACACACAGACCAGATTAACACTTCCTGCCTGTGAAAGTCAAGTATTGATTTGTTCGCTCTGCTTACTTGTTCAAACGTCAAAACCAAACACATTTCTTCCATGTCTTAAGATGAATGCTTCCACAGCATAAATTAAACTGGTCTGAGAATAAAAAGTGACATGTGGGCACAGACCTCTGTTCAATGCCCAGGTGTGCGTTGATGGAGGCATAGCGGGCTGTGCCAGTCAGGTTCTTGTCTTCTCTGTAAGGGATGTGCTGTCGTGTTCGGTTGTCTCGGTACTTCTTCGCCAAACCAAAGTCAATAAGGAACAGCTGACAGAGAGGGAGAGAACACACGCTTGTTATCTGTCGGTGACGCTCCAGTGCGATAACAATCCACAAAGGAAATCACAGAATACGATGCACAAAATTACATGACATTTAAAAAAAAAAAAAGGAAAAAAAGAAAGAAAATGAGCTGAGCCCTGTTGTAAATCATGAATGTCCAAAATATTATCCTACTGATTTAGAAGATCAACATGTACATGCACAAGGGGGTGACGGAGGGGGGTTAGGCTTACAACAATAGCATCCCTAAATATCTGCTACCTGTCCTAAATGTGGTAATCGTAGTCTTACTTCCAGAATTCTTAGTGGTTACCTCTCCATGTAGAGTATGATAGTTAGTGTATCAATGTTTAGTTACTTATGTTGATAGTTAATTATACTGTAAAAACAATGTTGCCATTATGCTGTGGGAGTTCCCTCAAACGTTCTGTTTAATGGCTCAAACGGTCGAACATCATTTCTGCATTCGACATCCAGAAGGGGAATACACTTAGTGTCGTTAACCATTTGATTCTGCGAGGATGAATTATGAGGGGAAACGGCAGTCAGACTTTCTTTTAATCAAAAATGATGGACGTCCTCTGCCAGCCTTGATGGCTCGTACACTAAATCACAGTAAACATCCAAGGTGAACACTTCATGAAGTACACCAAAAGAACCACACCAAAGCCCGACCCCCAACCTCACATCTGTGTGTGTGCGCGCTAAAGGGGTAATCTAAACACTGACACCACCTGGGGACCGTAGCAAGCAGATCTGTGTCACCATGGAATAAACTGACAAGTCAGCATGTCCATCTACCTGCATCCTCCAAGACCAGCCCTGTTGTACGGTAACCACAGCTGCTCGCTGTCGGTGTTACTGCTGTATGTCCAACGAGCACACCTCTGCAGTGACGCTCTCATTTCAACAATATTGTCACACCTTATGCTACATTTCTGTGGTTCTAAAACTGTCAATCTAAGCATTAACTTGTAAACTTAGATTGTTATCATCCAAAAACCTCTAGCCAGAGTAAGCTCTCCTAAACTGATCTATATCAATCATACATGTGTCCGTATAACTACAACAGTACACCCCATGTTCTTTGTGAATGTAAGCAGACAATACAAACTTGACACCAGTTGAATAACAAAAGCAGATCAACACATATTCAAACACAACAGACACTTTCAATGAAAAAATAACCAGAAGTAAAACCCCAGGTTTGGAAAATACCCGTTCCTCCAAATCTACACGTTTATGGAGGAACCGATTAACACAAACTAAGACAATGATACTGCCGCTTTGCAACACATGTAGACGTTGCTGGTCCATAGTGTGACCATATCAGACAAGCATAACAGCAGCTTGCACATGACAAGTTCAGTTGCATTCACAGGCCTGAACAGAACATATTTGAGCTTGTAGGTGCAACTGCCTCCCAGTAAAACAGCAAGTAGGCCAGTCAATGATCAGACACTTCCTTTTTTATGAGGGAAAGGTTTACCATCCACATTCAAATGTACAATGGTAGTTGAAGCCCTGAATTGACTAAAGCTTTCTGGTCAGTTAGGCTTGCTCAGAACTACAGTGCTCCAAGGAAAATCTGCATTTGCCCAATTTCACAAACTCTGCATAGTTAAAAAAAATAAAAATTTTGAAATCTAAATGGTTCTCACAGATTGAAACATGTATTGACGGTTTCATTGGAATGCACAAAGCCCTATTTGGACAGCAGCAGTAGCCTATATGGGAAGCTGATTCGTGGTAACACATGGTCTCAGGCCAATTATCTCAAATATAACAGCCTGTTTGGAGTCATTGTTACGTTAAAGAGTCACGTGCCCTTTTCACACAGTGAAAAGAAATTGCAAAGTTAAGCATGTTAGACATTTATTGTAATATATAAAAAGCCCACTTAGTCCCCTCACTTAATTCACGTAACTGGGAGGATTTTCACATGAAGCAGTTGAACGGGGCGCTGGGAGGAGCGTGGCAGTTGTCGCTCTGGTCTGTCTTTGATGAAGCAACTCCATAGTGGCTCTTTGCATCTTAGACTGTACAGTTATACGGTCACTGTAAATAAAGCTGCATAGTATTTTAATAAAGACTTGTTTTAATGTTCCTCAATTGCATTACATCAGTTAAATATGCACCTCTATTGGGCTCAGAGTCACAGAAGGATATAAAATGATTTGGTACCGTATCCCAATTCTCATCTATAAATTTCGATGGGATGGATACAGATGTACTATCAGTTATACGAATTGAATTCCTAATTCTTTGGTTTGTATTAACAAAAAACAATTAAAATACGGTCTTTGCTCCCAAATTGAGAAATTCCATCAGGACAAACATCACATTAAAAGAGACAAGAGGCGGCTTTTAATGTAGACAAGCCTTTTGAGACTTGATTAGAAGCACTGGGACCCAGTATTACAACAAAGTGGAACAACAGCTACTCCCGAGGCAATGCCGGTCTACTTTCCTCTACCATTGTAATGCGTGTCAGTGCACACTGGGTGGGGGGAGTACATACATTGGGTATTATGAGTGCAAGATGGGTGCTGGTGGTCTGATTCACTTTAAACTAGTGTAGTAGTTAGGTATGATTGCGAAGCGACAACTGCTGTTGTGAGGCAGCTGGTGTTGTGGTAAAGGTCACACCTGGTTTAATCCTGAGAAAGATGGGTCCTGAGAAGAGCTAACAGCCAAGCTTCTTTTCCTCTTCGCCACTGACGAGTCTAAACACTAGGGCAGACAGTAGAGGGGCAGGGGTCAAAATCACACAGCCTCTATCCACCTTCAGTCACAGTTAGCATGAGTACAACAGGCACTTCTGGTTGCATCCACATGGTTTTATCCCTTTGATACAACTAACAGTGTCCTGTACGACTACGAGAAGCCCATTCCAGGCTGGATCTACACTGGCAAGTGATCCACTTTAAGTCCTTGTAGTACAGAAATGATCATTCAGGCCATCGTTCTGGAAGAAACCACATTTCTATGAATTTCTTCTGTCCAGACACCCATAGGATCAACCCTGTTCAACAAGCTAAAAGTGTCAGGAGTCGTTGAAACTTCAATATCATGTCTGACAGTGACAGTAAGGGCCAGTGCAGACAGGCAACGCCATGGCTCAGAAAATACTTGGGGGAGTGAGGGGATGTTGGCAGTAGATGGTAAACACCTGAGCCCATGGTTCTTCATCCAGCAGCAAAACAAATAAGTTTTTCTGGTAACGAAGAACGCCCACTAGTGACATACCATCCTAACCAAGTTGCTCACGGACCACCACTGACAGAGTTCCTGCCTCTTGCATGAAAAGCTTCAATCATACGCAGCTGAACATGAGGTGTCAAATCTATACTGGATGTTACGTCCCCAGAAATCTGGGTTCGTATAATGAGCTGGAACGTATCACTGGAGAACCACATTGGGGGAAAGTGGCTGCAATCACCTGTATCACATTAGGGCATCTTCAAACTTAACCAAACATTGCTCTTATCGGGGATGGACCAAATGTCCACACACACTTTGTCTGCAATGAAGCAGCACTAAATCCCAGCAGTGTTTGCATTATTGATAAAAATAAAATGTATGTTTACAAGTATTTGTGTAGCTACACAGCCTAAAATGTAAGCTATGAAACAATGATCCCAAAAAAAGCAGCACTGCTGGTACTCTGCACTAGCACTTTTCCTGCCATAAAAAACATTGGTGTTCTAGCACGGCTCTGGGGCACAACTTAGTGTATGGGCTTTAACTTCTCTTAAATCTCCAACACGATCCGGTCTTCACAAGCAAGCATTTGAGACCCAAACCGAAATCAGACCTAGACTACCCTCAGCCAGAGGTGGACATGACAGTCCAACATGTGTAGAGGTGATTGTTAAAAAGGTGCAACACGGTGTTGAAAATGCAAAAATAAGTGAAAATTTTTTTTTTTAAGTGCAGATAGCGGACATGTGTTGGTAAACACAGCGGGCTCCTGGCTACAGATAAACAGCCTCCTGAACATCGAGTATTCAACAATTAGGGAGCAGTGTACTCAGCATAAACTACCAGGAGCCCTGACCAGGTGCTGCTATTAATTGGGCTTGGAAAACAGACGCACACATTGACAATTAAAAATCAGGTGTCCCTGACTACAAAGTGGTTTGAGAATGTTACTCCAACAAAGTTAATCATCTTGAAAAGAAACCTGTTGAGCACATTTTCTGCCAACTGAGAACTAAAGAAATTACAAACTACGCTCAGTATAGTTCAAAATCTTTAAGCTCTGTATTGTTTTGGGAACCACACAGCCACAAACACAGCCACGAGATGCACGGTCACAGAGTAAACTATGAGAAACGACATGGAGAGCAACTTCTGTAAAATGTTTTGCGATTGTGGGACGCCTAAAATGTTTGCCCCTTCAATTCATATAAAGAAAGCTTATTGTCTTGGACATTGTCAAGACATTTTAACCAATACATTCAAAGTCCTTACATTTTCTGAAAACTGAACCGTACACAAATCCTGATAAAAAAAAGTTTAACGCTGACCCTTCATTAGAACAACTTAATGTAAAGTAACCTCCAGATAACAGCACGGCAAAGTCAACATGTCAACCCTAGCATGTGCCTTCTGAGTTTAGCTGTGAAACCAAACAACCATTATTGCTCCAGTTGACACTTCCAATAGTAGATGGTACACACATTTTTCCCCATAAGATGCACTTTTACTTTGGTGTCATTACATACAGCGGTCTCATTCTTGAGTATGTAAAAGTATGAGGAAAAAAAATTCCGTAAGTCTCCTACACAGGTGTAAAAGCTCCCTATCCATTTTTGGATCGGAAAAATTATTGAAAAAATTCAATAGTATTAAAGGGACTCCGCAGTAGCCAGAAGGTGCAACAAATGAACATGTATGTGCTGACAAAAGGTCACAAGAGGCTGGCTGCAGCAGGACAGATCCGTGGAGGTTGGGCCACCTGCTGTGCAAAGTTAAAAACATCCATCCAATGCTTTAACTTAACCACATGTTGCCTGTCTGCAAGGGCTCCAAAGAATTTCAGGCAACTTGATGACACACATCACACCAGTCTCACACAAATTACATCACACAACAGCAAAACCGTTTCAATGTGCGTTTTGAGTGAATGGCCAGTAAACCAGCATCATTGTCCACAATGGATATTGAGTCTTCAGAAGAAATGTCTGCTGGTGCGAGCACCACGTGGGCGCATGTACGGACAAATCACAAACCACTATGTTGTCTTACTGTCTGTTATGCACCAACCGCCAAGTCAAATTCCTTGCATGCCCAACGTATTTTGGTAATAAATGTTCCTGATTCAAATGAGTGCACGGGCAGTTTTTTGTTGATTCAAGACTTTCTTGGGGTGCAGGGGGGCTTTAGTGGAGGCCTCACAGGAGCTTCACGCCAGAGAGATGAGGTGCAGTTTTTTCTAATCCCCACAGTCCAGCCAAAATTAGACCCTGAAAAGGAAGGGAATGCTTTGGAAGAGACAGACATCCGCTCAGCATTGAGTTGAGTGCTTGGTGTTGGTTTTCCCCTCGCTGTGGGAAGATTTGTCTTAGAAATCTAACTTATAACTGTGGATTCGGGGTGGAATGGCAGTGCAGTTTCATGTCCCGGTTCCGTTGTTAGTGTGTTCAATTTTGGCCAACATTTGTATACAATATTTGATAACTAATAATTGTTGGGAGTTCTGTTTGGAGAACGTTCAAACTGATTTTCTAGGCCTTGTAGCCCAGACGTTAACCTTTCCACAAGGGCAGCGTCTCGGGAATCCTGTCGCCAGCGACAAAGCGTGTAATAGGAGGGTTAAATTAAAGAAACATAGATTGATTTGGTTAATTACAAAGTCCAAGCTTATGGTTTTTGACCAAAACAGTAACTTATGACTCAGTTACGAGTTCTTTAAAGATTAAAGCAGGACTCACCCCGACATGTACTACGTAGAGATCTGAAAATGATGCTGCCAGTTAACTAAACAGTCACAAATGAAACGCCAAGTATCATGCTTGAGTTTGTGTCCATTCTGCTTTGACATTACATTCAAAACTTAGACCACATGCAGAAGTGGGAGAAGAAATAGGAACAGTTCACCGGAACAAATAAACAGCAAGACAGGAGCAAAACAAAGAAACGAGCAAACAACGTAGTAAAGCAGGGGAAATTGGTGAATTTGGTTGCTAGAAAAACTCATTTTAAGTTCAAATCTGTCTTTTAACCAAATAGTCAGATCCAAGAAGTTCAGTGTACAAAGTAAAGCATGTTACGCAATTGTTGTCCCATATCATATATTGAATTATAACTCCATTTCAGAAATAAATACATTTACTTTACTAGAAAATTTCTTAGCAAAAAGCCTTAACAAATGAACTGTTGCCAAAAGGTAATTCCCACTAGCAGAACCTTCTATTCTCAAAACATTTTTTGGATAACAAACTCATTAGTGATGCAGTGATTATGAAATATATTAATTATATTTTGAGGTTTGTTATTATCAGCTTACATGTTCACTGCAGTTTAAGGCTTGCAACATAGAAACAATGCTAGTACCTAATGACTGTGCACATTCCCAGAAGGAAGTAATAGTATGAATTATGAGTCCTCAGCTTAGAGTTAGTCCCGAGTTGTCTGGTCTTCAATATTTGTTGTGGTATCTGGGAGATTAATCTGAATGCAAATAGAACCATAAAATCTCAGTCACATGAATGTTTTTGCTCGCATTTCTGATTTGTACCGGTAGCTAGCTAACCAGGTATCTTGTTATCCAGAATCAAACAATGAAAACCACACAGAAATAAAAAAAATGTATGCATCATTTTCAGACTCAATGAATGCTTTAGTTCTACATGAACATACTTCATCTGGTCTATTGCGTTGTAATTTTATTGAAGTATGGAAAACAGACTTCACTCTTCAGCACCTACATTTTACAGAACTCCTCCACTGTCAGATGTACAAATTATACAGTAACTATGTCTTATTCAGATTATATTTCACATAAAACTAAAACTCGATTGATGTTTGCTGTGTTGAGAACAGGTGGCTGTCAGTCAAAACAGTGATAAAAAAGAAGAAGTGATAAAATACTATCAAACAGGCTTACTAAAAACCGTTTAAAGATTCTTTAAACATTCTGAAACAGCAGCACTGTGGGTAGAGTTGCAGCCATTAAAAGCTTTGTTAAGCATATAGCGGAATCACTATTAATGAAGCTACATTTGGCAATTGGGGAAGAGACCAGGACTGAAGTGAACATGCCCACCCGGCCAGACAGCTTTATCATAGGCCATACTTACAGCATGTATGGGACTCAAACGGGTCTTACCTTGTTACAGTGACGGCCGATGCCCATGAGAAAGTTGTCTGGTTTGATATCTCTGTGGATGAAGTTCTTTGTGTGTACATACTCAATTCTGCTAATCATCTGAAATGAAAAGAAAGCCAAGGTTAAAAATGTCAATGTACACTGAAATAGGTTATTTAAAAATTGATAGGCTTTTTTTAAAGTAAATACGTAAGATTAAACTTGCACACACGCGTGCGCACACACACGCACGCGCGCAAAACCAAGGCAGAGACCACCTCACAAAGATAATAGGTTGGAACCAGGAGCACACGGTTTGCACTGAATCAGGTTCCTCAGACATTTGGATTGCTTCAGAACATTCCAGATGTAGATGTAAGTGTTAGATACCTGGTCTGCCAGCATAAGGACCGTCTTCATGGTGAAGCGGCGAGAACAGAAGTTGAAGAGGTCCTCCAGACTTGGTCCAAGCAGGTCCATGACTAGGACATTGTAGTCCTTCTCTTGGCCATACCACCTGTGGACACAGTAGTCACATCATGAGAGGGCTGTGACTCAAAGTACATAGTCAGATCCAACAACTAGAATACAGATCTAACATGTCACTGCTTTCCTTGGAAAAGGCGTGTGTCCTCAATACACGACATGTGTATTATGGTTGTTTAATTCCGATAATAATAATAATAATAATAATAATAGAATGTCACTATCTTCTTTTTTTCCCCAGAAGTCAGAAACTAGATACTCCACCATCTGAATGCCAAATCGGATTCCCGCCTATGCCTACTACTAGGCGTACTAAAGACAAAATTGTGATGAAATTATATGTAGAGGTATCACAATATGGATTCCAATTCTACTTTTGGGAATACACCAATGTAGTTAAATCAATAGTTCCATGTTTGTGCAGGCATGTAACCGTTTGTGCATGCAGGGCGTTTGCACTGATGCCTAACAAGCTGCCTAGTGGTAAAGAAAGCCAATGCACAAACCGGCTCATCCCCTCATTTATAATCAACTGTAGTCATGGCATAAAACCGTTCGCCATTTGATTCATTTTTATGCAATTGAATTCCTTTTTTACAGCCCAAAATCGTAAATTTGCCTCAAAGGGCTTTACAGTCTGTGCACATGCAACATCCCCAAACCTTCCCAACTGGCTGGCAATATTACGTTACAGGTCATTTAGCAGACGCTTTTATCCATAGTGACTTACACTATAAACCCATGGCTTTTTCACATTTTTGCCCGGGGAGCAATTCGGGGTTAGGTGTCTTGCTCAGGGACACTTCGACATGAGGCAGCCTGGACTCAAACCAACCGTGTGCTTCCCAGCACACCTTCTCTAACCCCTGCGCCACGACAACCCCCATTATGTTGCGATGGTTAGGAAAAGCTGTTAAAAACTTCCTGAGTCTAGATCGCAATTCTCCAAGCTTATCTTAAAATAAATGCAATCGTTCAATTCCGTTTTGCAAAAACATGCCACTTGTGACTGATCCCTCTCAAAGTAGTGCTGTAATATGGGATGCTACAGATGAAGATCTTTGTTCCAATCTCCCCCCAAAAAAAGATTTTGTTATCAAATTTGTATTCGAATCAGTTTTTTTTGTACTATGCCAGTTTTCCTAGAGGAAGAATGCAAAATGACCTTGCTTACAGTAGAATAATGTGACACGTATCGCCAGAGTTTCACCAGCATTTCCTACATTCCCAGAGCTACATTTTTTTAATGCATCACCGTTGTTTCTTGTCTCAGTCTAACCTCAGAAACAATGGCCGGCTCGCAACAACAACAAACTCTGTCACTACATGAAAACAGCAATGTAAGAGGACTAACGGGAGGCCGGAGAGGCTCCAACACAAGCTGTACCCAAGAGGAGCTGTGTGGAGTTTGTTTTTTTTAAAATCTGAAGCAAGTTAGATCAGAAAAGGGGTTTATAGCAAAGTTGGGTGAGCCGCTGGAAACCTTTTATCGTCGGGGCAGCGCAAAACCTAAACACCAGCACTCAACAGGTACGCGTTTCACAACAGTGTTGGTGTTGGTCAGTCAGAAACATACGTAGCCTTCTTTGTTCTTATTCAAACATTTTTGCAGCACACATTAGAAGAGACGTTGTTTCAGTAGGTGTGAAAAAAAGGGCGGTGACTGCATAAAAGGTGAGCCAGGTTGTAGTGCGGGTGGAGAAGGGGAGGCAGGACCAGCAGGTTGGACAAGCTTAAACAAGACTTTGTTGCAACATTAAGTCAGCATTAGCAGTTCAAAAAGGTTCCTACAATAAAGGTGGAAAATCTACAACAGAACTCTTCCTGGTTCTTACCAAAGAAATTGGAAAGATTAGGACTCTAATGGCCATGAATTAAACACAAAAATAAACAGTTGGTTTCCAACACGTGTGCTCATCTATGATGGCAGTTAGCTAACAAAGCAACTCTAGTTTGTAAAGAAGGTGTGTGTGTGTGTGTTCGTTCAGAGTTCAGGTTTCAACAAAGTTATCATGCCTTAATGTCTCCCAGGTCATTGTCTCTACAGTGCCGGCTGTACTGTACAAGGCAGTGTTTCATCAACCCCCACCACCCCTCAGAAAGTCTTGATTGTTTTACGTTTAGCAGAAGTTTCAAATTAACTATTCTAGATGAATCAGTCAACTTAAGCCACTGTCATACTACCATGAAAAAATCAAATTCAGGTCAGTCCAAGAACATATGTATCACCCATGACAGGCATTTCTTCAAAAAGTCAATAGGGCCATGATGCGTTTCACAACATTAGGCAAGAAGCCATTTCGACCAGTCTTAATATACGTATTGCAAGTTACTTTGGATGAAAGCGTCAGTTAAATGACATGTAATGTCATGTCATTCCAACAGTAGTTAGAGAATTACTCTTCTCTGCTGCTGTAGTTACTTTGTACCATTTGAGACTGCAGGGTTTGGGATTTAGGGTTTTTTCTATAAAAACACATGGACTAATGGAATGAGTGTCTCCATGTTTCTCATGGATTACATGCAAGACGAAACAAATACGAGTTGGCATTAATTTAAGAAATAAAACACAAAGGCCCCAAGAATTTCGCTAGTTTAAAGTTTGCACCAGTATTAATAGTCCTTATCCAAGTGGCATTAAAGATATGAAATGGGTACATATACATCAGATTCTACAGAATTGGATAAATAAATATGCAAGCTGACCAAACACACAAACAAGTTTGATCAGCTTTATTCGGTATTAAGGCTCAATATCAAATAAAGCTGATCAAACTGGCCCGCTTTAATAACACACTCCCTCTGCCAAATTCATACATAAATTAAACTGTGACGAATGCCATACTCTGCTTCAGTTATACTTTAGGGCAGAAAACATAAGAAACGTGCAGTAAAAAATGGGTTGATTGATTATAATCAATCACAGAATCGTATTCATTCGCTCACTTTAAATGCAGTGGCAAGAATCACTCATCAGAAAAACGAACATCTCCTATAATCCGATATACAAAAACAAAGAAATATCTGAGGATCGCTCCCAGCAGGGACCAGTCAAATGCGCAGCATAGCGCCCATAACAGAAGTGAAGTAGACATGCGCGTGCGTCTGCACAGTGTGTATACCTGATAGTTGTGTACAGTGTGGAAGTCTCTAAAACGTTACCACATGCTCTGCTCAGCCAATGCTAAATCGCAATCTGAACACAACAAAGCCCACGAAGCGCAATAACGGGAAATAATGGCCCCTAGCGTGTAGGGCCGAGTTCTCGCGGTGAAAACACACGAGTATCGGGGGTCTTAGCTTGTTGTTTTCGCTCCTGAGCTCCGCCGCCATTTTCTAACACAGTAAGGGAAGACATGTTGGGAGCTAACACAACAAAAGAGGAGCGGCCATTTCCAACCGTGGTTGGTTCTCCTCGGCCCTAACCTCGGTTATTCACCGTGGAACGACACGGGTTATGTCCAAACAGGACCGAGACAAAGCAACCGGTGCGATGGAAAGCCGACGGGCTTTTAACGCGTCTGCTAAGTTTCCGAGAATAGTCTAAGTAACGCTGGACAGCTTAGCAGGCCTAATGCCGGCCAGGCTGCTGCCTCTCCGGCATTATCCGGACCAGTCTTCTCATCGTAGAATGTGCAACAATAATGCAGCTAATCAAAGACATCTAACACATACATACAATGTCACTTGATTTCCGGTAGGAAAAGTTACCAGAATGTAACGGAATAAATGTTCTCCTTACCTGATGTGTGGAATCCCGACACCACCTTGTAGGATTTTATACAGCTTGCTTTCGTATAACAGCTGCGGATGTCTGGCTTTCTGCGATTCCAATTTTACAGCTACCTCCTGAAAACGACAGACAAAAGATAACACTCATGTATATCAATGTTACTGCATCAGTTCCAGCAAAGGCGGATGTAGCTCGACAAACGTTGTGAAATGAACAAAGCCGATGAATCTATCGTTAATCGCCTTTGACTAATTACATGTTAGTTAAAATACAAGTTACCGTCTAACCTACTAAGCTATGTAACAATCGTACCATAATATGTCTAAGTTACTTCAGTCACGGTTATGTTCACTGGGGAAATTGCCTACATTATTTCCAACATAGACCGATCGAATGTTAGACGTGTAAGCAGTGAATTACCTCTCCATTCGTGATGTTGATGGCCAGATAAATGTCACCAAAGGATCCCGATCCAATTTTTCTGACGAGCTTGTATTTTCCACCGACTATGAATTCGGCCTTGGAGCCACTGCTGCTCGCCATAATATCCACCAAAGGGCAATCTCCACCCAATTCACTTTAGACGATTGTGTGGCAGTCTAGCCAATTGTCAGCAGAACATACAAAGTCTTGTATGTCCAGTGGTCGTTGACGAGGGCTAATACAAACTAGCTGTAAACGTTACTCCAACGATTCTTTTCGACTATTAACGTAAAAATCAAGATGGAAAGTGGATTTCTCCCAAATTCGTTCGCTTTATTCATAAGCTACCGGCTTCAATGTATCTTCGTCCGAAAAAAACCTCTTGCAAGAAACACGGAATTCCGTGTCAGTCTCGAAGTATGTACATTCAAAACTAAATCCAAAAAAGGCTTACGGCCTTTAGCAACCACCCAGCTAGCTCGTAGCAGCAGCTAACGTTAGTGAGAACTAACTATAGCTAGCGTTAGCATCAAGCTAACGCTGTAGCAAGGATCGTCTCGGAAAAATGCCGACCTCCCTTCGTGCGGAGTAGCAAAAAAAGCCCTTCTAATTACAATTCCGATGGAAATGTTGCTTTTACAATCGTTTCAATCCTTCAAGGGCGATTTCGGCAAACTTCAAGGGTCGCAACCGTCTGTAGAAAGCGCAACCCACTCACTCCGCCATCTTGTCTTCCCTACCCTTTCTCTCAGCTGGTTTCCGTTGGAGGCGATTAGCTAAAGTTAGATATCTCATGACCCCTTCAGGTGCTATCGGAAATAATTTATCAAGCTTTATGACATGACTGCCTCGAAGTCATACAGTTTCGATAGAAGCTATCCTATCTCTAAGATTCTTCTAAGTGTACCAAGTCAACTACTGAAAAGTCAGAAATAGATTTTTACAGTCAATACAATGTTCTATTGTGCCCGGTACATATCAGTGATTTGTTTAATAATTACTACCCGTTGTGTAAAATACTACAGTTTCAGCAAAATGGATGCAATGGCACCATCACTGGCAGTATAGATATATTCTTAACGTTGACCCTAAATGTTGACACTGAATTAAGCTTATTTAAAAAATAATTATAGGCCCACACAGTGTCTTAGTGCACTTGTTAACAAACTGCTATTACATGCAACACAACAAAAGTTCATTTGGATTAATGAATCATTTCCCAATCGTTTTACTTCTTCTTTCTTCGTTCCCATTCTGACGGCGTTGTGTGAACGCAGCATAGGGGAGGGGACCCTATGTTTGTGGGCATGTTGCTTCAGGTACAGGTGAGAAAGTCCAATGAAATGCGGAAAGTCCTGTTTGAGCTTTACATCCGCGAGTTTTACAGCTTATAGGACCACAAAGCACAGTTCAAGAGGCGTATGATACCATGAGGCTCATTACCGAAGAAGAACCAAAGTTAAGAAAACAGGAAGAATAGTATCTATAGATTGCCTGGTTTACTGGGAAACTTGATTTCGCAACACAAATGTGTACATAATGCTGTTTTAAAGCCCTCTATACACTGTCTTTACTAGACTCATTGATTTGCCTTTTCTTCCCAGAGTAGTGAACTTCATACGCAGAATAAAAAAAAATACTGTACCCAACCCATTCAATATTTAACAGTGTCAGATTTTATTGTATAATATAACTAACCCCTAAAAAAACTAAGAACTTCGTGGTGGATACACTGAGGGGTGTCATTCATTAACACTAATCATAATGTAATCTTTTCCAGGAGCAGCAGCAGGGTGTGTAGCAACGTTCTTAAATAAGGAAACATATGCGTCAAGTAGGTCTAAATGATTTCAGATTGTCCATCACGCTTTGAGCTGGACCTTGTGGTAGAATAGTTCTGCACAGTGCTATATGTTGGCTCTGTGGCACTCTGAGATTTGTTAAAAAGTGCATTATAAATAAAATGCATTATTATTATTATTATGGTATGACAAGGTTAGTGTACTAATACACCACAAATTGTATAGATCATATTCCTTTTGGCTTGCGCTGACGGAAAATATTTCAAATGTTATTGGCTAATTTTTAGCTAAACACCACGAGAATTTGGTCACAGGAAGGATCAAATTTTTTCCAAATGAATTCCCTCGGCTATTGGCTATAACACGTTTTCAACAAATATGAGAAAGTAAGTAATTTCAATAAAAGGCAACATTTTTCTTTTTGTTCGCTTTGGTTGTCTGCAACATGTATTTGAACAAATAAGAGTAAAGTCACTTTACATTACATTACAGGTCATTTAGCAGACGCTTTTATCCAAAGCGACTTACATTACACTTTAAACCCATGGCTTTTTTCACATTTTTGCCCGGGGAGCAATTAGGGGTTAGGTGTCTTGCTCAGGGACACTCAAATGAACTTGCTCTGGATGTTGCCCTGTGGGTTTCCATGTGTTGACGTCAGTAGCAAGATGTCACTGATGTTCACTATACAGAGGGATTCCTTTTGAACAGACAGCCACGCTGCAGTCCGTGACTGGTCTCCTTAATGGTGCTCGGCTCAGCCGTCCACTTGCACCCTCTGCTGCTGATCTTCTTCCCTCACAAAGGGACACATCGTCTCTAGTTCAAATCAATTCAATTCATTTTATTTTGTACAGCCAAAAATCAGAGGGCCTTACAGTGTGTACACATGCAAAAACATGTACACATGTGGCACAGGAAAAAAGAAATGAAAAAAAAAAAATGCAACAGGGAGAAAGAATCCTCAGGGAGAACGGCCGAGGAGGATCCCTCTCCTGGGATGGAATAAATGGGTATCATGTGTACAGAATGAACAACATGCAATACTTTCAATTCATACAACATAATGATTCAAATATTGCGTGTAGTAAGCCAAGTTTAAGGCAGGGCCGGTGCAGAAACCACCACCATCAGATATTGTAGCGTCTAATTAGTCTCATCATGTCTCTTTTTATCCAAAGGGTGTGTGTGTGTGTGTGTGTGTGTGTGTGTGTGTGTTTTCCCTGATTGCGCTCATCCTACTCAGCTGTCCAGTCCACCCAGCTGCCTCCAATTGTCTCATCACCCCACTCGCATATCCTCTCCCCTGTGTTCCCTGCTCCAGTCGGCAGATTGCCATTGTTCTTCCCCTTGTGCGCTTTGTGGCACCTGTGCCAATCCTGCGTGTTCCTTCGACTTGAGACTTTGCCTTTGGTTACTTGTTCCCCGCTCCGGTTTGGAGTTGTTTTGTGTTCCTTTGTTTGTTATTTTTGGTGACCAGTAAAGAACCACCCTTTCTACTTCCTCTCGTCTCCAGTGTCACTTTCTGCTCTTGAGTCCTAGTCCAGCCTTGAAGTGTGACAGATGTAACTAACCACCATCGTATGTATCCACCATCACATGTAACCATCGTCAGATATAAGCTCCATCAAATATAACTAGCGTCCAGCTGCAGGTGTCAGCAGGCCCATGGCAGGAGGAACCATGATGATTAGGTCACGGTCCCATCTGGACCAGTCAGCATATTATAACACAGAACCATATAGTACAGTACTATATATTACATTTTACTGAAGAATAATATATATGGAAAAAGTACAGTATGTATAGTATATTACAGTACAGCATTTAATGTATTTATATATAACAGTGTTGTATTTGTTATGTGTGCAGTATAGTATACTATATCATGGTATTGTCGCCTTTACAGTATAATAGGATATAGTACAGTTTAATATGGTACATTTTGTGCAGTGTAATATAGTGTATGATATAGTATGATTATTTACAGTACTGTTGACACTGTATGTAGGACTGTAACAAAATGCTTCCCCTGCAGCTTTCAAATGGTTCTCACTATAAACTAGCAGATGGACCTTCAGTTGAAATAGTTTGTCAAACTGCCGTTTATGTGTTTCAAACCATTTCCAAAGTCCCAGATGACCTTCGGCCCTCTTATTTAACTTGATGTTTATGTTTCCGGAGTGTAATTCCTTTGACCTAATGGTGTTTTGTTGTGACACAAATGAGCAGGTATGTGTCACCTGGCCTTGGCAATGCAGCCAATCAGGGCCGCGCCAACCAGCTCAACAGGTTGTGCTCGAAAGGCAAACAGAACGTGTGAAACACACACCTGCTACACTCAGAGACACGTCTGCAACCTGCTAGTCATGAAGCTGACCGTGCTGTGCTGTTCTGTTCTGCTGCTCTCTGGTGAGTTTATTTACAGCAAAAACTAACAATATTAACACCTCGTTTAGTTGTAGAATGGTTTTTCCTTTTAGACCCAAAAGAATGGAAAGAGCAGCATTTTTTCTTCTCATTCTCGGGGGCGTTGTGGTGAAACGGGGTTGGGTTTTCAGACATTAGACAGAAAAACAAAACAAAGAATGACTAAGTAGTAAAACAAAGTATTTAATGATATCATTAAACATTTTCAAGAAGATTTTAGGGCTCATTAAGAACCTAAATGATTTGTGGATGTAGTTTAAAATGACATGGTAAACACTGCATAATATTGAGTATACCTGCTTAAGTTCTTCATATGTAGTACAATTAAAACCTTGAGTAAGGTGCGTCTTCATCTAAAAGTGACATTTCAAATCATACTGACGTAACATATGTCTCAAACTGGGGTGGATCATGTTGTTTTGTTCAGATGTGTTAAATCGGCCATCTCAAGGCCTCAAATAAGAAGATAAGGACATAGAGTCCTTCAATTATTGATGCTAGACTCCTCTTACCTAAACCCCCCACCGACTGAAACACCTGTTGCCACTTCCTCATCCTTCATCTTCCAATAAACTAGGTCCCTTGGATCATAAAACCCACCTACGCTGTTTGGTGTGGATGCCTGTCATCATCAAGTGAACTCAGAACTGGATTACTAATGGACCTAATATATAGTCCTACTGGTATAAACAGTAATGTTTGCACCAGCGTTTTAGTAAACAAGGTTAACTAACAAGTCAGCAGCTATGTTGATACGAGACTTTTTATTATGCTTTAGCTTGAAAATCAGTACTGAGATATTTATTCTCAGAAAGTCCAATGTTGTTTCCATAAACGGCAGAAGCAAAAAAACAAGGTGAGGCGAAGGGAACCCGGACACCGGATTGTGACATTTGGCCGGGGAACATTCGTATAGTAAAAGCTGCCGTCCCACACCTTCACAACTCCACAGCTCTACAGACTCGCGCAGTGGTTTCAGTTTTGCTTTATTGCCGGGCTGCTGTTACACATTCCTGATCTTTTGTAAGATCAGTGAATAAAGACCCACCGGGTTTTAAAGTGTTCTTTAATCTGACCAGGTTAATGTGTTTGTTCACTATTACAATCGGATCTGTAGCTTTTAGACTGTATCCTACTTAACGTTTATCACAGCTGAATCACTTTGACGTCTAACTATCCTTCAAACACATACTGTAGACTCTTCTGTATTCTCCTCTTTGAAATGTATTTTTCCTTTTGTGCGTGTAGTCCTGTCCCACAGGGCCGTGGCAGGTGTGGATGATGCACGTGAACAAGGAGCCAATGATGGATTCACACAGGTGAGCGTGCTGTGTGTTCTATTGACTGATGGGTTATAGTACTGATATCTGAATGGCTCTAAACATGTCAATAGCTAAGCTAACTTAAGCAAGACTGATGGGGCTAACAGTTTTTTCCTCAAGGGGGGCTGGAGGGTGGGTGCTATTGCTGCTCTTTATCTTTACTATGATAAAGGTTCTTTGCTGTTAATAGTCATAATGTTGAATAAACTGTCCTTACCGGTTATCCAATTTGTAGTCAGCAAATGCGTTCGCACCAGAAAGGAACCGGAATATGTTTCATTTTGATGAGGACTGAGACCCCGTCTTTCTGGTCAGACCTTCCCTCAGGGAAAGCCTCACTTTCCTTGTGACTTTATCTTTGATCAAACTCTGGAATCTCCGGACCAAACGTGGTGGGTGCTAATGGACCACAGAGCATGTGGAGTAAAACACCTTTTGGTAGTTCTGGATCTAAACTGCAGCATCAGTTGTCTTTTAATCTGAGGACGCATTGAGTCAACATCAACATTAAATGCCCGGTAATCACGTACAGGAAGTGCAGTTCATTTTCAAAATATGATTCATTAATGTTGAGAACAATCTCTGTTTATATAACTTAAATGTTTCTAATCAGTAATCCTGTAAATGCCTGTGTTTGTGTCCAGTCTGACTGTGAGAAGTATTCCACCCAATCCGGCTGCACCAAGGAGTATGATCCAGTATGTGGCAATGATGGAACGACCTACAGCACCGAATGTGTTCTCTGCCAGTACAACAGGCACGTAATACACATTAAAACCATTAATAAGGATCATGCGCTCCCATTTTATTAATAGCTGATTTATTTCTGATCCTGGCAGCGTGACCACAATGATGTAATGTGTTCTTCTTGTTTCTTACAGAGAACTGAAGAAAACTGTGAGAGTCGCAGGCAGAGGGGAGTGCCCATCTTAACTGGCCGTGTTGTCCAGTGGCACACGGGCGCACACACAATAATCATTCCATGTAACTCAATAAAGTCACATACCGCATACATGTTTTCTGTATATGTTTATTCATCATATATGTATATTAAAGAAGGTGATCTGAACTGCTTTAAGTCATGATCTATTTCATTTTAAAGATCTCCACAGGAAGTGTGCGTTTCTTAAGTTGCAATGTATTGCGCTGTTAGTGTGTTGCTGGCCATACGGTTAAGTAATCTCTCCATACGTTTGGTCTGTTTACTGGTCAGTCCCTATGGTTTGAAAACAAAAATATTTTTATGCAGCAGAACACCAACACAACTTAAATACAAAAAAATGTGAATGGCATTATTTGACTGTGATGAAACACATGATGTACACCAAAACATGTTACTCCATGGTGGCGCTACTACAAGGGGCCGATTGACGAGATGCCGATTAAGGCCCAGAGCTTTCGCTAGTAGCATTGTGCTTCCACCCAGACCCACACTCAGGAGCATGGTGCAGAAACAGCATTATGCCCGATGTTGATATGTATGAGAGAAACAAACTATAGCTTAATGACTCATTCGTATCAAATCATTATAGCAGGCAAAACAGGTTAGAAAAATGCTGTGTGCAACTTAATTTAGACTTGGAGGATTTAGAAGGAGGATTTATTATCATTTTGGTTTTCTAAGGGAAGTAAGAGAAATTGTGGACATTCATAAGAGAACAATGACATTCTGAAAACGAGGCTGGTTTGGACAAATGTTCTGTATTTCTCAGTATGTCTCGGCCCACTTGAAGAACAGCTGGTGACAGCGGGAGCATGAATGAATGAATGAATGAATGAATGAACTCCCTCACGCGACTCGTTGTTTTCGGGGCTCTTAAACGTCCCCTGCTGACTGCAGAGAATCGCCGTATTCACAAACCACCTGTTGCGTTGTGCGTCTTAATCTGAAAATGCGGCCGGAAGATGGTGTCCTCGGTGTTGCGGACGCCGCCTTCACGCGGCTCCGTAACGGTGCCTGCCATCCCCGTACCTGCACGAGACCGTCCCGCATCCAGCGGTGTCCTCGCGCCCCGTACTGAGAAAGGACTATATTCACCGGCGGCTGGACAGATATTAACCTCCTAGTGGCTCTTCAAAGGCTGAAGAATAATAAGACGACGTGTCCCGCGAAACCCGACTGATACCTGGCGACGAGGAAGAGGGGTGGTGGGGGGCTCTCCGCATCTGTTGCCTGGGTGAATTCATTAACACGTTAGCATCCAGCTAGCTAGCCTCACTCCAAGGTACCGAACACAACGAGCTTTAAATTTGACCGAAATTGCGAATGTCATCTCTCTTTGGTAGCGCACGGCGCTCGACATGAGTACTTTGTAAATACCGGGTTCGGTTCCGGTGCGATAGTTTACACCCGTAAAAGAAGACGGACCTAAAGGTGTAGGAATGGGTTTCGTGTGAGGCTGGGGAGCTAACGGGGGCTAGCCAGCTAGCTTCATGGAAATCCAGTCGTAGGCTATGCGGCCGCTGCAGCGTAGCTTCTAGCTACACACCCTGCTAGCTGGAATGGAGCGTCTGTTTCCCGTTACGCCTCACTGTGTCTCCGATAGATTGAATATAATGAGAGCGCAGTATTCTGTAGTCCGCTAAAAGGCCGACGTGACAATGGAGTCTTTCCTGCAGATAGCTCCCCATTCCCTGGCTATAGTGTTGTCCAGGGTCGGGGCTGGGGAGGCGGTGGGGGCGGCCGGGGTGTCAGAGAGCGACGCGTTGCCGAGACATCACACCGGCTATGAGATATTTGCCGATTTCAAAGCAGAAAACACCAAGCAACATGTGTGGAACCAGAGGATCAGCGAAGCTGTGTCCGAGACCTTCTTTCTAGGATGGATAGACGAGCACGTGCTGCTGATCCAGGGGAAGGAGGACCACCTCGAGGTGCTCAGGGAGGGATGGATGCGGAGGTCGCTCAATCCGCCGCGGGGATTCACCATCAAATACCTGGGTAAGGCCTATACACCCACCGCGGTCTGCTCCTCGAGGCCGACGCACTCTGTATTCTTATGTTTGCATTGATTCTACGCGTCGACACGGTCTCCTTTCAGCACGGGCACGATTGCTGCCCATCACCATAGCGCATTGCATTCAGGATCATTTCTGTCTAAAAAGTGACACAGGACACGTTGAACCTTTTTTAGAAGTAATCACATTTTAGGGAAACTTGATTTATATTTGTCATTGAGGTGGATAGAACATCCTGATCTAATTATGGCCAAGCTACCAAACAAGATAATCAACCATTTCAATGCTTTTGTCCCAAAATAACTTGGGAAAAGGAAGTTGGATTGTTTATTTTTTGAATATGTAACAGGGTAGATAGACCCTGTGACGTATTCATCTTGTGCCTGCTATCGTTTGAGTTTACAGTGGGTCAGTCAGTCTTTATGCTTTTCTATTTTAACTCAGATATGAAGTGCAATCACATTTAACGTAACCTCGGGTCACACGTGTAATGCAAAGTGAAGATGTGAGTACTTATTATTTTGAAGTCACTTGTCTAGAGGCTCATTTCATATTTGAATCAGAGGATCGATGGTTTGGGTCCTTGGGCAAGACCCTTCACTGCAAGTTTGTCTCTAAGCCTCCGGTGAATGAATAGGTATGAATGATAGGTGGGTAGCACGTGTGTAGGAGGACCTATTATCAGTGTCAGAGAGGAAAAGAGATCCACAGGTGCAAGTTGATTTTAGGCTGTGTGTGTGTGTGTGTGTGTGTGTGTGTGGGGTTAATTCGGTGCCACCTGCCGATTAAATTTAAAGGGTTAACCCTGCAGTTTGCACCGCCTGCAGCCTCAGATGGGCCAATCCATCAAGGTGGACCCGCTTTTCTTCTTTCAGCTTTTTTCTTTTAACTGATTAATCTATAAAATTCAGTTAACATTCCATCCTTGTGAAGCCACATACATATTTTTTGTGTCAGTCCTATTAAATGATTAGTCCTCCTCCCTGGCTGCTGTGTTTGATTTTTGACTTTGAAACGTTCTCTTGTTTATGTGTCTCCTGGCCGCCATGATTTCTGAGATTGTAATGAGACAAGGAGAAAAAGTTGATGTTGTGATCTTTGCAAACATCTTTGATGCAACGTGACGAGCCAATCGGCGTTGAGATCTGTACACCTAAAATCTGTCAACTTTATTTAGTGGCTACAGATCTAGCGACTATCCCTGGTGTCATTGGAGTCTTCTCTGGTGTCTGACGTGAAAGCACGCATCGTTCTGCAGTTCCTGTCCTCAGCGAGTCAGTCTCACAGGAGCTCCACGCAGCAGAGAGCCGTCCAGACTGAGAATGAATGTTGGTCAACTCTCAAAGTGAGGCCCTTCTGCCTGATTGCTCCATTTGACCGGGCGGCCATAGCGTGTCCAGGTGGTTCCACTAGTGCAAGGCTGTCTGCAATGGGCCCCCCCAACACTCAACACCGAGCTTCCTCCGGTCCTGGACATCACAGCTGCTATGGCGCTGTGCCCCCACTAGCACTCACTAACAAAGAGTATGTGCTCCATCTCAGTTCGAAATCTCGCATAAGCATCCATATATATCCGTGTGTTAAAAGAAAATCCTAATTTTTAAGTTGATATTTAAAAAGATAAATTCATTCACATTCATTGCACCAAAGTGTATTCCTGTTTATCTGATCGTAAATCCATTGTGACCTTTTCCTCTGGATTGGCGTTTCTGCCCAATAGTTCATAAATGAGACAACAATAATGTTGCACATTAATCATTCTGTCATTCAAATTAGATAAAACTCAAAAACATTATGCTGTAGTCTGTTTTTTTTAAGTGTATATATATATTTTCCTTTTGCAGCAATTTAAAACAGTCTTTAATTAATCTTTCAATTTGTTCTCTAGTAATGTGCACGTTCTCTGGAACGGTTGTATTGATAAAGGGAACTGTTTGTCTCCTCCATACACGGATACACTTCTATGTGTGTTGGTTTTTCTGCTCTGATTAAAGGGAAGAAAGACCGTAGTTTCTCCCGACTACGCACGCACGCACACACACTTTGTCTGAACATTTCTGTGTGTGTGTGAGTACTTACACAAAGCCGTGCACACACATGTGCAGATCTTGCAAGTGCACAACCGCAGGCGCGAGTGCGTCTTAACTAGGCTGACCCAAGGCTTTGGCCGCCACGGTAATCACCGGTCAGCATAGTAATCCAATGCAGCGTTTCGCATTTTTTAAAGTTATTTTACTGTTTACTCGTCACCTCAAATATCACACATGAGTTAAGGAATAGTAATCCTTATGCATCAACAACAAAGGAAGTTATAATGGTAATTCGTTGCATTTAATGAGTTACTGTATTATCAAATGAAGTCCTCAGTGCTGCCTCTCTTTCCGTTTTGTGACTGCAGTGAAGGTATTTTACCCAACAAATATGGATTGAAGCAGAATCTTCAACTATATATAGTTTGGAATTGATTACATCTATCTTTTTTATTAAATGTAGACCTGTAGAGTCCTAAAGGTCTGTGGTGTTGACGCTTCACAAGAGAACATTCCCATTCTTACTTTGTCTCCTCAGCAGCATCAATGAGAACCCGTCTGTCTGGCTCAGAGGCACTCCAACCGCCGAGCTCCTATTAGTCAGTAGATTCAGTTTCAACAACTGTGTGGTTACTGCACAGCTTCCCCAGTGTCTACACACACACACACACACACACACACACACACACACACACACACACACACCTGGGAGCGGTAACAGTAATTTCCTCCTGATGAAGGTCTCAGCTCAATTACCTTCAAAATGTACTTCATCTGTCTGTACACGATCTGGGGTGTGTGTGTGTGTGTGTGTGTGTGTGTGTGTGTGTGTGTGTGTGTGTGTGTGCCTGCAGGCGTGGAGTTTCCTGGCCTTTAACTCATGACATCTTTCTCTCTAGTTTGTCTGACTTTGATTTTTGTAACCTTTTAATTGATTTTGATATAAAAGTTGTGTGCTTACAAGACAGGATTAGTGTCATCAAAGCAGTAACACAACAGCAGCATGTCATGACGAGAGCTGGGAGAAATATTGCAGGGGGAAGGGGACAAATGCCCAGGAGACCTGTTGTGATGCTAGCAAAGCTTTTCTCCATTCTTGTATAAATGAAATAGTTTGCTAGTGTCAGACTCACTGTTATTTAGTTAGTTTTCCGTCGTCTCATAATGAAAGGTTTTACGTGTGATGCTGGTTTTGGAACCTGAAGAGGGTTTGTCCACTAGGGGGCAGCAGTTCCCAGTGAGACGTGAACCTCTGTCCTTCCTCGCTGCGGGTGTTTCCTTCTGCAGCTCGGTCACCACACTGCTCATGATCTTCTCCAAGGATCTGAGAAATACCCACAAAGGAATAATTGATACAACATGGAGGAAGGCGATCTCTGCAGCTGCTCTACTGCTGTAGAGCCAGTTATGTCGGCGGAACCCCACTCTGTGTTTGTTACTGGGACGACGCGTCCCAGTTTACCCACACTTAAATTACCGTTTCACTTTGCACTTCCATTTTGCTAAACCAAACAGGAATAATATTTAGTAAGTAGGTAATCTCAGTTCATACTTTATTTTGTCTTTTGACATAATAAACTAAGTTTTCTTAGATACAATTGCTTTGTCAGTTTGTTTAATTGAAGTACTTTGACCCTCCATTGGCTACATTCTTTCAAACATTTCATTCTACGTTTTGTCAAAACCTGTAGATTAAAGCAGATTAACTTAACGTAACACACAGCATTCAATTGTCCTGTAATTAGACCCTTCACACTCCCAAGAAACCACAAATGTTTCTCAATTATTTTCAAAATTGTCTCGTTCCGCCAAGCCTGGACAAAAATCCTGATTTTAAAATGATGAAAAACGTTTATTATCAAGCCACAACCTACGGTGACCAATACGTACGATGTTGGTCATTTCACATTTCCATAACAACATCGTAGTAATTCAAAAGATACATATGACAGAAACACCTGGTTTGGTTTACTCTGAGTCAAATACTTGACAGATGCAAAGTATTCAAGCCCTTGTGAGATCAATTGTGTATCACAATATATGATTTCATCACAATATGATTCCTTTTGAAGACAATAAGTAATCACTTTAAATTGTCACCCCGTCAGAGAAAAATAAACAGGCCCATCACCAGCAAAGCATTACCAAGACCGCACGGTACAGAGTCCGATTACAGCTGTGCTAAACATGCTTCCTTCCATAATGTTGCACACTTAATTCAACTGTTGAACAGGCTCCAATGAAATGCAGTATGAAACTTAGCACCCCTACCAGTTTTCTGAGCAAACGGGAGGATGCCCAAGATTGTAACGTTCCTTGCGTTATTAGCAACACATCTGCAGTGCAGAGAGCCATTGCTTTACAGGTCCTCTGAAATGAGCCCGACTGATCCCAGTTGGTTATGACCAACTGGCCCCGTGGTTGGATAGGACAAGCAGGTTGAGCCGTTATCCAGTCGGTCAATGATTGTAAGGTTGCACATCAAAAACACCCAAATAAACACGTCACAGTAGAAATCACACAGGGAAACTACCAGTCACCGGATGGATGGAAAGCAATTCATGTGCAATTCAACTGTATATGCTTATGGACACGGATGTAACGAGGACAATGCTGCCAAAGCGCTGCGTTATAATGAGATCACAGGAGAGGGAGTGCGGCGCTGCATGGACATGTTGGCAGTGTGTCACTAGTGTTCACAACGATGTGTCTCCATGTGTTGCTCTGTGTGGCAGCATTAGAACAGTGTGCTGTGAATTAGGAGCTCAGTGCGAATGGGCTGGCTGGGGGGTTCTCAGGACGCCCACAGACCCAGTTTTTAGCGGGTTTTCAGAAACGTTAATGTTTTCACGGAGTGCCATTGGGCTGTAGGAACTCAGGGGGTTTTTTATGAATGGGTAGCACCGCTGTTTTTTAGCAACTGTGTCTGTGTCTGTGTGTGTGTGTGTGTGTGTGTGTGGGGGGGGGGGGGGGTTGACTACACGATTCTCTCCCTCCCTCTGCCTGCTCCCTCTTCTCCCTCCTCTCCAACAACAACACGGTGAGGGGCAGAGGGAGAGCAGACAGGCGAGCAGCAGGCAGCACGAGAGAGGAGCGCCCGGACCAAAGAGAAGACAAAGGAGAATCTGAATCGGCAGCGCCCTGCTCTGGATTAACCCTTTCTCCCCACTAAATGCTGCTTTTTGTGGATTCCTCCCCTTTACACGTCTTCCATCACCCCCGTGCTCCGCTGTGGTACAATGTCTCTTTCTCTCTCTCACACACGCATACAAACAGTTTCTTTCCTCGAGGATCCACTACTGGTGTGTGTGAGCGGAGTCCTGCGGTAACGGTCATGGATGCAGGCAGAAGAGAGGAGTATTTCTTCTTCTCCCATGGAGATTTTGACGTTTTCTCTCCTCCTGCTGCGTGAGCCTCTGTCCTCTCGCTTTCTTTTGTATTAGCGCTCACTCCCCCTTTTCTTTCTAACCTCCCTTTGCTGCTTGGGCTTTTGTCTATCTGACAGGGGTCCAGGCTTTCCTTTTTCCCGCCCTCCCCACACTCCTTCCTCCTGCTTCCACTGGAGGGTAGACACTATGCGTCTGACACTGAGCCAAGGCACCATGCTAGGCTAACTGCTAGCCACTGGTGTGGTGTAGACACCTCAGCTTTTTTCCGTGTGTGTGCTTGGGTGAATTCAAACATCACAGCAGAAGCATTGATGTAAAGTTGACCAGTCATTTCATGGTGGATCTGGTGTGACCCGAGAAGGACGGCAGTGGCAGGAAGAAGTGGGTAGGCAGATGGAGGTGACCGTAACATGACCATGAGAAAGTCTTGCAAATGCCTGACCGGCCTTCTTCTATTGGACCACATGGTGATGACTTGATTTCCAGTAATGGATTCATTCCCACTAACGTTCCGCGATGGAATTTACGTGAGGAACTGGGGACTTGCAGTCTGGGGGACAACCATTTGACAAGTTCGCTTGTGGGAGAAACCTTTTGGACTTGTAGATACACTGGCCATCTGTCTGCCACCCAGCGTGGCGAAGATGAAGAAGACAAGCAGCCGCACGCTCAGGCGGCCATGGCCCAGCTCTGAACTGTTAGAGCGCCTGCTGCCACCAGCAGCCTCGGTAGAGCTTCACAGGAGCCGACGCTCGCACAGCGAGAAGGACTACAGGACCCACAAGCACGGCATGAGGAGCCAGCAGCCTCCACAGTACCTGTGTCAGAGTCCTCCTCCTTACGCACACACAGGTACTGTACAACCGACGCACTACCAGGGTCTCACTGTTACTCACAGGCGTTACAGGGTTTAACTGTTTGGGTGCTGCAGAACAGCTGATTAGGGAGGTCACATAAAATACACACCAAGTTAACATGGACCCTCTTCAATGGCTCTTTGGCACCGCAAGTGTGTCGTTTGTGAAATGAATTCTTTTAAATCCGAGTCCCCTTAAATCAGCATTTCACAGAACTCTGGCCGAGGACAGGCGGCTCTCTGTGGGGCGAGATGAGGCTGACCGCCCGGTGTCAGGCCGTCCCGTTAACTATTGACCTCACATCTCCCACATCCTCGGAGCAAAAGTCAGAATTTTGACAAACCGACCGCAGAAATGTTCTAACTTCTCGTCTGAAAAAGTTCTAAAATTACATTCCGTGACTTCAATATCTTAAAGACTTAAAAGCATATTAAAGAAGGGCGTAAGATTGGTGCTTTTCGCACCAAAACCCGCCCTTTTTGCTTCCGCCATCCGGTGTAACTGAGATGCCTTCCGTATGCTAGTGAGATTACGCGTATGAAATATGTGTGAGACGCCTGTATGTGTATCTTTGTAATGATATGCAAGAGATTCAGTAATGCATGTATAAGTTCAACTAATGTATATATGTGTGTGTAATATATATATATATATTTGAGGTTGGGATAAGGCCATGGGAGAGCACAAGGCCTCTCCTAACAGTTCATCATCATTAACCCTGTGTCCTCGTTTAGCACTGCAGTAGGAGAAATCCTACTCAAACACAGCGTTCTGATATTGGTTACATGTTGGCAGAGGACAATATTAAGAAAAAAAACATTTCCATACTACTAGCATAGATTGTTACCTAATAATCATTTTAATCTGACCAAATTAAATAGCTGCGTTTTTAATGGGCCTTTTACTCAGTGAAGTCATTCTTCAGTGATTTAAAAAAAAATCATATCGTTAACCAGTGAATTTAAGACCGGCCAAATCTGGAACATGGAAAATGATGGAACCTTTTGCCAAAAATAAGGAAATTTGTCTATTTACAAATATTTGCATATACATTCTCTGTAGATTAAATAACTAATTGAGTAACTATTTGTGGTGTGGTTATAAGAATGTTTCTTATTATTACCAAACTGAAAAGCTCATTGAGTTATTCAATACCAAAATGCTCAGGGAACAGTAACTAGTGTCCCAATGAACCAAAATGAAATCAAGTATTAGTGATATTTTGGGACAGTAAAACCCCGTTGCTTTCGGCCAGGGTTTCCACCACTGGAATGTGAACCTGCCATAAAGTGAAAGTTAGAGGCCGGCAGCTTCGATCCCGACGCAGGTCATTTTGTGTCACCATAACCACGTATGTCAGCTTAGTTTGTTTTCTACAGATGTATTAAATACATATTCTATGAATTACCACATGGTAGACTTATTTTTGTACTAAGTGTTTTCTCATTTAATTAAAAGCTTTACTGCAGGATGAACATCGTTCCCTTTAGATGACCCAGGTGTGCGTCATTATACCTGCATATGTTTACATCAGGGTATGTTTGAAGGACTCACGGATCAGCTGGGCCAGCTCTTCGCTGTGGGTCGACTCCTCTGTACTTGGTAGCTGGCTCATTGCATGGTGGCGAGATGCTTTTTAGTTGTGAGTGGAGTTAGAATGCTACTTGGAATAGAACCAACAACCCTCTGCGTGCATCCTGAGGCTTATTAATGGCCACTGTACAGTTGAGCTGTGTGCACAGTGGGAGTGGAGGAAGCTCCTGTGAATGTGCATGTGCAGTGGGACAGCCAACCCGCTGCGCTATCAGCAACTTTTTAAACGTTCTTGTGACATTTGGCCAATGCGTGACCGCTCTGTAACCATGACAGTAGTGCTTTAGATCTACAAGGGTGGTATTTGTAGCTCTCCAACATCATGGCACTGGCCATATCTGGAACAGAGCCACTTAGGCTTTGATTTGGAGAGCATTGGCCATAAGGAGTAGATGCAAGTCTACTACTTTTAGTCTCTTTCCAACGTCTACTAACATCAAAGAATAGCCCCTCCACCCTCTGTGTATTATTAGTACTTGTTTTGTCCTTGATCGTATTGTGTCTTTACTGAATTGTAGTTTGTGTCACTGCTGTGGGCTCTGCTTTATTGAAAGGTGACATCACAGTGTGAAGATGGAAGTGATTGTATTCAGAAGGGCACATTTAGTTGTTACCGATGGTCCTTGTGTTAGTTGTGGTTATTTCCACAAGGTAAGGCTGCTGAGGGCTTAATGTCCGGCACAAGGCTGCAGCACTGAGGACGGGGTTTTAGATCAGGTGATGTCATTTCTTGTAAAGAGCTGTAACCTCCTCGGATTGTCAGTTGATCCTATTTAGCAGAGTTACTTTTTCAAGTTTCAATAAGAGGGCATGGGACAGCAAGAGCGTGTGCTAACTCTGATATTATTCAACTTTTCCTAAAAAGAAAGTCTGAAGAGAGGGCAGCACTGGACTCCAAAGGTAAAAACCCCTTCAGTGGTTGTGAAGCAGAAAGTAGGCTGTCATGTCTGGTAGGGCTCATGTGATGCTCATGTGTGACTGTAGGGTTTTTCTATTTATTGTACAATACAGTGGGAATACATGGATTACTATGAAAAAATTATGATTACAGCTTTTTGTTCATTATTTGTCATGCAGATTAGCATTTAGAAATGATTGCCTGCTGGTGTAGTGGCGAGCGCGGTGACCTCTCACCTCCGCGCCAGTGGCTGTCTCTGTAAGGCTACGGCCACACTACCACATTTTTCTTTTTAAACGCATTTGTTTTGCCACGTTTGCTCTGAGCGGGGTAGGGAGGGTGCGCTGGGAACCACAAGGTTGGTGGTTCAAGTCCTGGCTGCCCCATGTCGAGGTGTCCCTGAGCAAGACACTCTAACCCCTAATTGCTCCACGGGCAAAATGTAAAAGCCATGGGTTGAAAATGAAATGTAAGTTGCTTTGGATAAAAGCGTCAGCTAAGTGACCTGTAATGCTATAGAACACCAAAACTGGCACCTTCGTACGTTTCACAGATGATAGACGTGAAAGGGTCTGGAGAAGCTAAAGCGAACGCTATGCTGCCTGCAACATGGTTCAGCAGACCGGTTTGGTGGTGGCTCAGTGATGGTCTGAGGAGGCATATCCATGGAGCGACTCACAGGCCAGAGAACGGCAGTCTGACTGCCATTAGGTATCGGGATGATATCTTTGGTCCATGGTCAGACCCTACGCTGGTGCAGTAGGTCCTGGGTTCCTCCTGATGCACGACAATGCAACGGCCTAATGTGGCAAGAGAATGCAGGCAGTAGCTGGAGGATGAAGGAATTGATGCTATTGAATGGCCATCACCTGACCTAAAGCCGATAGATCACATCTGGGACATTATGTTTCGGTCCATCAGAGACCGATCTAGAACATCCGTCGTCTATGCTGACGGGTACAAGCAAGCATTTTGAGTTGCAGAAATTGAACTTTGGTAAAATGCACTAGCCTGCCACATTTCTTTTTGAATTGATTTTTGTGATACCTATAAAATGAAGCCGTCTGGGAATGGAAAGAATCAAAAGTCCTTTCGTTCCGAAGACCTTAAACTGTCCATATAAGTATATATATCCAACATCATTTTCTTCACATTGAGATCTAATGTGTTTTTGAACAGTCCAGAATGCAGGCTGTCATTGACTAATAAATAAAATAATTTCTTAGTTGTCAATTAGTTAAATGAGCACTGCTAGTGGGCTAATCCAACTTTCATTTGGTGTCCATTTTGGGGGACGCAGTGGACAGAAGTGTGTCCACTGGTCTGTAAGCATGTAAAGCTGCACATGCTGGGTTTGTAAACTCCGTAACCCCCGGTGAGCTGCATCCGCGGGCACGCACACACACACACGCTGATGTAACGGAGTCTCCTCTCCTGTAATGCGATTGTAGCTCCTCCTTTCCTCCGTTCGCTCAGGGCAGCTACACACACTCCCATGCACACACAAAAGCACCAAATGTACTTCTCTACCATTGTGCCTTGTTATTTTTCTCTTACACACTCATGCATTCTCACAATTTACATCCTCTCTTTTTCATACACACACACACACACACATAGTCTTCTGCCTCTTGACCAATCAGATGGCCCAAAGTCTCGGCCTGGTTTAGAAGGGCTGGGCTCCTGCAGTCCTGGGCCTGCAGCGACTGACGCTATTTTAGTCCACTTCCTCTGTCCTGTCTGTCACACACACACACACACACACACACACACACACACAGTGGTAACAGAACGCATGAGTTATAAGTCTGACTATGATTGCAGCTGTAAAGTTAAATGTCTGTACACTAACATTTTGTTGCCACAATTAAAAATACAGGTGCCATTGTCTTTACCTTATATTTTGAGTAATTGTTGTTGTATGAATGCTTATTGTTCAGGTTCATCTGGACATTTTTCAGTTGAATCGGTTCTGTTATGATGATGATGATGATGATGTTGGAGTGTCCCTGAGCAAGACACTTAGCCCCTAATTGGTCCTGGCTAAATGAAATGTAATATAATAATTTAGCTTGTCGTTGAAGCAGCGTTGTAGTAAGTGTTTTCTTCTGGACACCACGCACCTTTAAATCCCTTCTGATGAACATCGTCAATTGAGGTGAACTCTTAATGTTGAGTAACTTCAGTGACGTTGGATAATATGGTCAAACTCCTCCATCCCAATATTACATCTGTATAACAATATCAAATAATACAGAAATGAGACCAGTGTAGCATCAGAGGCTGATGGTGTGGTCGAGTCCAAGGCTAGCCAAAGTTCATCAGTGTTTCTATGACAACATTTTTTGTCATAGACACACATGCATGTAATGTGTACAAAGCAGCACACGTGACATAAATGTCATAAGCATCTGACAAAATGTTATGTACTTCAGTCTGTTTGTAATTTGGAGGAATGAGCCTCGTCAGAGGCGTGCTGTGAAGCCGGGTATATTTTCGGAGTA